CATCCGCAAACGTTTCAATATCCAATCATCACCAATATCAATTCAACTACTGAAAAACCTACTGGAGCATAAAATTCAACAAGAACATATTTATGTCTTTGAATATACGAATTAAAATTACGAGAAGTCAATTCTTTCACTCCACGCATTCGAGATTGCGGCTTGAGAGAAGCATTCACTGATTCAATTCCGGAAGAGGAAAAACATTGGAACGCAATGAGAGCGAATAACAAAACGAAGAGAAGGGAACTTTTCATTTTTTTTTAGATGGTAATTTTTTTGTGACAGTTGAAGGATCAGGTCAAGTCAAAGGTTTGTGTTTTGTTCACTGAAAGGTACATACGAGCCTTAAAAAACACAAAGTCGATAACAAAAACATCACTTGAAGACTATATAACCCAATGAATCTTGTAAAGAACAAGATGATAATTCTTGATGAACACCATCATGTTTATTGTGGCCGAAAGAATATGGCTTTTAAGAGATTCTAAAAAAAATATATTAAGAAGACTGAGACAAACTCTTCAGCCTACGATTCCAACCGATATTTATCTAAAATAGGAGAATCCAAATGATTCCATGATGAATAGCTCCCTTAGGCACAAGTGAGAGCCAATTCCTCTAAAAGGTATTTTTTTTTTTTTTTTTGATGGTTTCGAGTTTAATTGATCGGAAGTTGAAGAGCTTGATGTGATGAATCTAAACATAAGCAGATCTTACTTGCATGCTACCAATCCATGAGGCTGTATTCCTTGATCATTCTCCGCAAGAAACAAAACACAGCCTCACTTTTAAGACATACGTCTGAACATATTCATTATTACGAAACTATTCAACAATGCAAATACACCGTTTTTCTACCGATCTGATCGATGGTCTCCGTACAACCACCGAAACAAGAATATCTTGCAAACAAAGTCTGCAGAGCGTATCGACAGTTCGAACACACCGTCCCGCAAAAATTTTTGTTTTTGCGCGCGAGTGCGCAGGCAAATTAAAAGCTGAGTCTCTCACAGAGAACAAAACCAAACAAAACAAAAAAATTCAAACAACATTTCCTCTCGTACACTACGTCTCTACGATATTCGATTTTAAAGCTAATTGGAAACTGTACTATGCTCAGAAAAGGAACTCGAACAACGTTGTCAAGAGACTGGCAAGACAGATATTGGACGTTGTCCATTTGCAGCGAACGACAAAAAGTGTTTCTCCAATCCGGCATGGCTCACCCGACAGATGGCAAAATGGCAACAAGCACTGACTGAAAATGATGTGCATTTTATCAAGTGCATTCGAGTGACTGCACGCCTCCCAATCATGAAGAATTCTGAGAGATAAGTCCTGAATGTTGTTGTGATCGAGGCACTTGTTTTCTCACTAAGACAATCCAAGAACTCTTTGTGTGCATACTCTGGACTAATAGTTCTTCCACCAAAGCAATAACAGAAGGTCTTTGGATGGAACTTCAGATCACAGGTGACCTTCCAGTGAATTATGAAACCTTGGAGAGTTATGGATTTGATCCCAAAATGACCAATTTCAGAACCAATCTTTTGGCCCATGGTGTTGGAGGGTTCTTGCATTTCGGATTCAAATACTGCGCTCCAGCTCATGCCAAAAAAATCGCAAACGACCCGAGAAATCTTCTCGAACCACTATCTCTAGAAAGAAGAAAAAGTAACCTTGCATGTGGTTGCTGTTATTGTAAATATGCACAATTTTTGTTGTACTTTAATCATTGAACAAAATAAAATACCCTTAATAGATGCATGTCTTTGTGAAATAAGTGGAGATGTTTGAAAATACAAGAAAAATTTGGTCGACGATACGAATCATTCACTCGATAGTTGGTGCTGGTGACACAACTTGTCTCCTTCTTTTAGATCCAAAATTTATACAGCAAATGAAACTCATGTACTCTATGAGTATGACATTGTTCAAATTCTGAAAGCATGTTATGGCTTGGTTGAAATTAACACATCTTCATCAAAATTGTGTTGTTGGTTGAGCATTATTGTTGTGTAGGTGAAATAGATCACAATATTTTAATATTTACAATCATCATGCAAGAAACAAATTACATATACATGCTATGAATATTATCCTTTCCTCTATTGGGATCTAATTTCCGCTCTTCATATTCTGGACAATCCGTTAGCACATCCTTCCTACAGATGGGACAAGTATTATGTTTTCGGAGCCATGTTTTTAAACAATTCAAATGAAAGAAATGATGACATTCCAATTCATGACATTGGTCATCCTTTTTGTAACCTTCTCCACAAATTGGGCAGTCTTCATCTTTGTGTGAGGCATGTTCTGGATTTTCGGGATCAAACCAAATCACTTCCATATCCCGCAAAAAGGTGTTAGAGGCAGGTGGTTTACCGGAATGAGCATCCAAATCAAAAACACCTGCTTGATGTTGTTGAATAATTCTCCAAATGACCTCATCACCCGAGAGGTGATTGTGTTGGTCATTCTCTTCATCCACATTGTGGTCGGAAAAGTAAAAACTCATTTCTCAGAAAAAGCAAACAATCGGATCGAATCGGAAAGAGCTATTTTTTAAAAATTGAATTTGAAATTGGATTACAAAAAGAGATCCACAAGAAGGTCTGTCAAGAGTGCGCACGCTTTTTTGTTTGTTGCGACAATGCTCCTTTCTGAATGACATTCTCATTCAAAATGAACTTATGTTGATGTCTTATATGACAATTTTTGAAAGGAACAACCTGCAGGTCGTTTGCTTTAGACAATAATTCTCAGTTTCAAAATCATGGATATAATTTGACTGGCTTTTTCTGCATTCAATTCGACACGAACCTGTTGTGAAATTTTAGAGACACAATCGGACAAGTGAATGAGTGTGAGATGGGACATGGCATTCAGAAAATGAAGGGAAGGAACACCCACCAAAGAACACTTATAAGGTTGAGGATTTTTAGAGACCTCCACGACACTGTCACAATTGGGTGACAATAAAAGGTGAGAGGATGTTGGCATGAATAAAGATAAGTAAGCGTAACTACTTGTGGCATTGGAAAGGAAAATGTGTGTTTGTGAGAAGAGTTCGACGAGTGCCATTTCATTCAAGTTTTCCAATTTCATGTCCTTGTAAATGTTAATGTTTTTTAAGTGGTTCAATAGAAGAGCATCTTCTTTGAGATGAGTTTCAAGGCTTGTTGCAATTTCATGTGGATTGTCAATACTCTGATAATCAATTAAAATATTGACAAGAGGAGAGTCCATAGATGATGAAGAATGAATTCCCAAATTTGAAAGAATTGTTTTTCGAAGTTGTTGAATTGGCAATTCACTGAATTGTAACTGAGAATGCTTTCTGTGAGGCTGTTGTGACATTATCGATCGATCTCCAACACCAATGATCAAATGTCTAAAGCATGTATCTATTTGTTCTCGGGAATTTTCTAACTTGTCCTTGAATGGTTGTTGATTTCTATCGTTCGATTGAGTCTCAATATCTTGAATAGAAAGAATGGTACTCCGTTGCTTGTTTGTCAACTCTCGAGAAAAGGAATCATCTATTGGACATGGAGCTTTTTCAATTCGATAATATAGAGAGGCAGCATCGGTTTGTGACATCTCCTCTCTATTAGCTACAGAGTGGGATGTTTCACTCGTCGACACAACATATGAACATTTTTGGAGAATGGGCAAGGACGAGAGCATTTGTGTCCACACGAGAGAAGTTTTCACAGCTTGAGGTTTCTTTTCAAATTGTGACGCCAATTCTTCCTCGCACCATAAATGCTTCTTTGTTGAGGGATTCACAATAGGAAGATGTACCTGTCGAGAAGTGTCTGATGAACATGAATTGTCTCCATTGGTAGTTCTATAAAATATTTCATCCAAAAACAAAATCAAAGATTCATGCAAGTTAATTTCAAATTTCATTGCCAAATCCACTAATGCTACTAAATTATCGGCAAACAAGTGGCCAATATGGTTGGCAGCGAATCTCATCATTGCTATTGTTGGCCGGTCAATCCATCGAATATTGTTGTTTTGAGAGGATTTCGGAATTTTGTGACCAATTATGAATTTCATACGAGCTGCACCTCTCTTGCCAAAGCGTGTGGTTTGAAAATATGCGAATGGACCATTGGAGCTCAATCCAATTAACGGTTTGTAAAATTGTTCATAAAATTCTTGAGACGGTACAAAGAAGAGAAATTCTCCTCTATGATTCATGCAAACATTTTCCAATATTAATGACGTTTTTGACATGTCTTCATGTTGTGACTTTTCATGATGATGAATTTGTCGTACTCTACTGTAAAGCAAGGCATGCTGCGCTTGTTTCGATGCAGAAATAGAATTCTGCTGCATGGAGAGAATTAAATTCGAGTCATGGTCGTCACCAATTATTATTATTCCACCTCCTGATTTATACTGTTCCAATATTAATTTTAAATGTCTTCCAAATGTATTTCCAACTTTCTCTCCAACAAAAACAGATTCCGATGAAGATGTAGCACTCTTTGAAGCATGAGGACTCCAGAAACCACTCAGAAAATAAGCTCCAAACAATGTTGAAAATATCACACATACAACCATCACTCGAAATTTGAAAGAGAATTTTCCAAAACCAGATGAAATGATAAAATTATTGTCGGAATGTTGAGTGCCACTTCTCCGAATTTTCTTTGATTTATATCGATTTCCATTCGTCGTTGTTGATTTCAATATCGAATAGGATTTGGTATTTTCAGAGGACGAAGATCCGAAAATAACATCCAAATCATTGGAAATTCGTTCATGCTCGGTCAATCGATGATCTTGTTCGGAACAAGAAGAAGAAGAATAATCATCTAGTATTTTTTGTAGTTGGTTTTTGTATGAAGGTGATGATTGATCATGGCTATTCGAACTTGCAATCCGTGGATCCTCCTCATCGTGAAGTGTGGTTGTTGATTTCTTGTGAACCATTTTTTTGACACTTGAAAGGTCGTCGAAAGAAGAAGCAAGATCAACCACCAATACCGTACCGACCAACCCCACCTTACAATTTCAGAATCATAACAAACGTGCGCCAAGATTTACTCACATTTTTTCTTCTTCCACTTCTCTTTAGACTGATCAAAAGGACACCACAAGGTCAATCACCTTCGGAGAAAGATGGAAGGACATTTCTCATCTAATTATAATTCAGATCTGAACAAATACTTAATAATATTAATAATGTAATAATCATGATTAAAAAAAATGTATGCCTTGTGGGTTCGCCTCAAACAACAAGTGCTTGGACTTGAACACGACGATGGAGAGACTGTAAATATTCCGAATGATCATGTTGAGTATGATGAGTTTGATGATGAGGTGGATGGCAGTGGTTCTGTGTCTAACATCACCAGTTCCTCCGTGATGGCATCCATGGATGAAACGACCTTTCAAATATCGGAAGAAATGGTTGCTTTGCCTTCCTCGGACTCGAGTGGAGATTTGAATGTAAATTCGGGTATGAATCAAACGAATGTGAGCGGAGGAGGAGGATCCGTTTCTTTGCAAGTTTCAAGAAAGAGTAATATTAAATGGACTCTCTGTAGAACCACTCCAGCAGCTTTGGAAATTTATAAAAAGAAGAAGAGTGAAGCTGCTGCTATTTCTTCGAATCCTACAAGTGGTATCAATAGTGCCATTAATTTATCTGAAAGTCCAAAGAAACAATGTACATTACAAAAAAAAGAAACAACAACCATGATCTCGGTGACAGTGAGAGAAGGTCGATATGAGGTTGAGTCGTGTCGTGACGTTCCATATTTTGAAGGATCCAATGATCCAAAACACAAATTGAACATCTTTAGAAGTAGAGTGAAAAGAACTGGCACGCAGGAAGCTGTCAAGCTGCCAGTTCTGTTTTTTTGTCACGGAGGAAGTTGGCGTAGAGGTGACAGAAATCACAGATGGTTCGATACTTATAGTAGATTGGCCATGAGAGTTTGTCAAGACTTTCCGTGCATATTTGTGGTCATTGGCTATAGATTGGCGCCAGCTGTCAAAGCAGTACCAGACCAATGTGAAGATGTGCTTACCTCATTCCAATTTTGTGTTGATAATATTGAAAAGTATGGAGGTGATCCTTCAAACATGGTTCTATTTGGACACAGCGCTGGAGCACATTTAATAAGCTTGTGCCTTCTGAAATATGGAATGAATTTGAAAAATCTCAAGGAACCTCAAATCAAGGATGGTACTGAAAATCAGAGAGATCTTCTCGATCGACTACTCATAGAAAAAATTAAGGGCGTCATTTGTGTTGGAGCCGTTTTTGATGTTCAGTATGTGGCAGATCGAGTGATGAACTTACCTAGAAAGCTCATTGTTGAACCTGCTTTTGGAGTGGCCGAAAATTACGAAGAATGTTCACCAATATTCTACGTTGAAAAAGAGAGACTATTTTTCACCAAACACATCAAAGATCTAAAATCTGTACCTTCCTTTTTTATTTCAAATGCTGAGAATGATTTGACTTTGTTTTCATTCTTTTCCATTGTAGACCAAGGAGAACAATTTGCAGAGAAAATGAAACAAGTTTATCAAGACTTGTCGTCTGAAAATCCATTATGGAATTCGGAAAGGCCCCCACAAGTCAAATACAGACGATACGGAGGTCACACCAACCATTTTACAATCATTGGTCTTGGAGCTAGTATGGGAAATCCATACGAGCCATTAATCGAGGATATCATTGAATTTTCAAAGCAAGTTTTGCAAGGTCACAAGATTTTGGAACAAGAGAAAGAAATAGTGACTGTTGAACCACTTACTTCTACGTCAACACTGGTGGTGACCAACACTACAACAGAAATTCAGAAGCCTTTTTTAGCCAATCCATCTGAAAACAGCACACAAGAAAGTCAATCGTTATCAATCTCAGAAGGAGAACAACATCATCATTCGATTGAGCAAACACAAAACACTTTCACTTTGTAATTATCTATTTGTTTCAAAATATAGAATTGAAACTGGTAAATGTCGTCTTCCCCTTAATAATCAGGAATAAGAGGAACAAAGATTGAAAGTACTGACATCCAAACAATGTTATTCTCTCATAACCATCAATCAGTTGGTGGCAAACGTTTTAGATTTTCTTTCTCATGCAACCAATTCAGGATCGTGATGTTTCAGCTTTTGAACTTGTTAGCCCTTTTCAGTCCGTTGCCACCTGTCGACCAAATGAACATTGTCTCAAAAAAAGTTATCGCAACGAATATCTTTGCATTATTAAATCCTCCAACCACACTTCCATCAGCGACATCAATTACCATCCTTGGACCTCAAATACACTCATCTCCTCCGTTTCATCATCGATACAATTATGACGCGCATCATCATTGAGCGAGCACTGTCATCCATTCCCTTTTCATCATTCAGACCAAACAACAACAACGAACCACCACATGAGAGACCAACAAACACCTCTCGTATTTGCTACCTCTCCTCCGAGCTTGTACGAACTTGTCCTAGCAAGAACCACCCCAACGACACGATAATCAAGGTTTTGGGAACAGATATTCAAGAACACCAACATCCAAAAACAACAACAATTATTAAAAAATTATTCGCATCATCATCATCGGAAGTGTTCGACGACGGTGGTAGGACAGAGCAACAACAAGAGATTGATAATGATGAACAACATTTGATCGATTCAGAGAGATTCTATCATCATCTACAAGAACCACACTCCAATAATTGTTTATTTCGACAAGAACATCCTCGTGAATTTATACTGCCACAAGTAAGAGCTTCCCTATTTGGCACAGAAGACTCTCTGCAACAAGAAGATTTTTCCTCTTCAACAACAACATCGAATCATATTAGTAATTTATTTAATCATCATCATCACTCCAATAGCAGTAACATTAATAACAACAAAATCATGACTCGGAAACGAATGAATTTAATTTCTGCCATATCATCATCCAATTCAGAAAAGAAGATTTTCAAAAAGCGGAACCTCACATTCTCACAACAAATTTTGAGTCATTTGGCCTCATGGATACATGCATTTGTAATCTTATCAATGATGCTCTGTGTGTCAAATGTTGTGGGCATTGTTAGTTTGTCCTCTACGGTTTTATCTATCTCATCATCTAACAATCATAATGACCATGTGAATGTAAATAACACCTCGAAACATTCATTGGTTTCCCAACATTATCATTCCAACTTCATTTTATTAGAATCCTATTCTCATCATTCGCATCAATTTTGGAACACTGCTTCCATTTCAGTAGATACAGCTGTCAATCATGATGCAACAACACTAGCACTGACGACTACTCAAAACTACATTAATTTATTCATGCATGAATACAATCATTCCTCATCAACTTCCACCACCAACAGCTATGAATATCCCCATCATTGGCTTCTTCAAAGTCTGTACTTACATTTCAAGGATTTTGCAGAGAGTGCTACACTATCCAATTTTGGCACGACCAATAGATTCATTCTATTTGTCAATGCTGCTCAAACAAGAACACTTAAATCAGCCTTAGAAGAACCCTCTCTTTCCCTCCCTCCTTCTTCCTTTGAGCTATTATATTCGGAATCTTCTCTCTATCGACCATTCATAGATCATAATGACACTGATTTAACTTCAATATTTATGAAAAACATTCCCTATTTTGAGCATAATAATCTGACTTTGTACAACTTGCCAATATCAGATGCTTTCAAAAATTTTACGAAGGAAAATTCTGATTTGTTGTCTGAAATGTTTTCGACAGCACAGAATCTTCTCTCGTCATCCTCACAAATTTTGAATGGTACTACTTCTAATACTTTGAATTTTATATTACATGACCCTGTACTGGTTTCCAATCAAAGAGAATTGAGGCCAACAGCTCTCAAATCCGGTACATCAACATACTCTGGTAACGATGGCATGCATTTGTTTGGAGCAGTTTCGAGTGATGGACAACAAATTCTAATACTTCCAGTTCTGGAGCAATATAAAACAGGATTATTCTCGAGATATGAGAAATGGTTAGGAATTGAAGATTTTTGCTCTTATAACAATATGAAATTGACCTCCCTTGAATCGAGTTCTTTCTTCGAGTTGCGTACAAATGGCATCAACACAAAGAAGTGGTTGCAATCCATTAGATCTCTCAGCGTGCCTTTACCCTTTCTGATCTTTGATGGAATAACAAATACTTTCAATATTTCGGAAAATTTCTCTGTAAGCGCTTCAAGCATACGAGACTTTAAGTTCTGTATCTACAAAGGCACTGACAATGACTATCATTTTTTAGGTGCCATTTTGTTTGATAATGGTCAATTACTCACATGGCTTGATGATTTTAGAGAGGGAATGAAACTTTCAGGCAATGGTGCTTCTACCTTCATTCAAATTGAGTCTTCTTACAGAAGAATATATGCTTTGGAGCAAAATGGGACATTATTTAGAATTGAGGATAATCTTATTGCTGGTAATTCAAGCTTGCTTTCTCAATATCATATGGTTCCAGAAAATAAGGGGAGTGAATCATTGCACATTGTTTCATTTGTCATCGATAAAGCATACTCTAATGACACTTCCAATGATATTGACTCGATCATGCTCTTGGCTACAAATAGGAATATTGATTATATTTACATGAAAGGCAATAATCATTATTGCCAAATTAATGTTGCATTTTGCCTTGGTAATGATTCTGACTATCAAGTTGTGGATACCTACTCACTTACATACTCACCATTGGTAGATTGGAAGCGAGTGACCAACATATTCTACAATAGTGGTGGGTCTGTGGTGACATTAAATTCTGGAACTTTGATTGTTTGGGGTAACAACAAGAATGCAAAATTGGGAATATCTTCGGTATCGATAGTACCGTATCCTGTTCCTGTGGATTTTAATTTTCCAACAGCCTCAGAATCAGTATGGAAGTACTATATTTTTGATAGCTTTTCTCTCTACTTGACCAATCAAAAAAGAATTTTCATGGTAGCAAAGTTTGGTAATGGAAGTGAGAATTATGATATGAATGTGTACAATACGACTTTTAATTTACAAATGCACACTCAACTTGCAAGTACGAATATTTATCAGGAGATTATGCCAGAGTTTAAATATTTGGATGATTTAAATGAAATTGTGCAAATTCCTCAGTTGATTCAAACACAGATTGGAACCTCAACTGTTTATGTACCAAGTGTATTGTTGTTTATTGGAGTCTCAACTTTGCGTATACAAAGCTTTATTACTTCTGGTGCCCTTACTAATTTTAATGTATATGAGAAAAATTTTGGAACAGGATACTACAATAGTGAATGTGGTTCACTTCCTCTCAACATAGCTTTTAACTTTACATCGATTTCTGAAATTGGAGACATTAGAGGTAGTGGCTTTCAAAGAGGACCCATGTTTGCTTCCTCCTATCTGGTAAAAGATCAAACCTGGAAGATTTGGGGACCTGCTCAAAATTTGGTCAACACATTGGAATTATCTCAATTTGGAGACTTAAATACTGTGTCACTAAGCGACACCTACTCATTGACATCGTTAAAGCATGACAATCAAACTTTGGTTTTCTCAGTAGAAGGTCAGCAATCATTCTATCTCGAAACAGCCACCAACAAGTATCAAATTGTTGGGCTACCTGATGGCGGAGACATAGTATCGTTTGACCTATTCTCAGGATATTCATTCAAAGAAATCAATAATTCAGATGCAAATTGTGCTCTCTCCTCATTTGGAAATTTATTCTGCTGGGGTGGATTTTTGAGAAGAATGATGAATGCTAATTTCAATCCAACCCTTGAAGGAAATCCTCTGTATACTGTGATTTATACCAATGTTAGCTTGGTTCGTTTCAACATTCCATGTAACCTTTTCAGCGTAAGCACAGGCCACATTTCAATTCTTGGAAAGGACAGTAGAGTTTATAACATTGGAATCAGCATATTCAAGGCTTCCACGTTGTTGAGGGGCTCTCGTAGTAATTTGTTGACTCCTTTTGTGTTTTATGGCGCGGAAGATTCACAACAAGATTCGACATTTGAATTGTTTGTTAACACTGCCACATTGTCCACTTCTTCTGTATGCAAGAAGATTGTCTCGCTCATGAGTAGTACTTTTTGCTTAGGAACCGATAACAAATTATACTATCAACTATTGCTGCCTGCTATTGTCGCAAACAGTTCTGTTAGTATTGGAAATTATTTTACTGCATGCCCATCAGATACACAATTCTACAGCAACGTTACCATAACAAGCGCTGCTTTTAATTCATCCGTACTGGTTTCTTTCCCTAAAACAGAGCAATATTCAGTTGTAGACATTGAAGGAGATGATTTTACGTTACTCATTTTAACGAGTACCGATAGGTTATTGAAATTTTCATATTTTGGACCTTTTGATCCCTTCTTAAAATACCATTCGTTGTGCTCTACTGACTTACTAGACTCCATTTCTAGTACCTTTAGTTCTGTGTTTACAGGTAATAGAAAAGTTGTCTCCATGAAATGTTCACGAGGTGATGCATTGTTTACCATTGATTCTTCCAAATGTGCAGATGGCTATTTTGGAAATGATTGCTCCATTGAGGGATCTTGTACGGATGCTCAAAACAAGGGATTATATTGTGCTGACAGCCAGTTTGTGTCACTTCCTAATGGTGCCAAAGTACCAAAAACTGAGAAATCTTCATACTGTTGGTTTGGAAAATGTCTATGCAAAAAAGGTTTCACTGGTAACAATTGTGACATTCCTATATGTTACAATTTGACCAGTTTTGATTCAGAGCACGTTGCTTGTGGTGGGTTAGAACGAGGCATTTGTGTTGCACCTGATACATGCCAATGCCGAAACGGCTTATTTAGTGGCCGTGAATGTGAAGTGAGCGTACCTCCATCGGCTACCATGATAATTGGAGATTCTTCCATCACTACCGATGGAAAATACATGACTCAATCGGGATCAATCATTGATTCGGCAATATCACAAATATGCAGTATGCAGCTTGTTATTTCGACAAATTTATCAGTGCAAATGACATCAAATTTCTCATTCACGTTTGATATTTCTTCGTACAGCAATGGAATTTCTACTCCAATTTTGAGGTTGAAAAATTCCACCTTAGTAGTTCCCTCTTCACTCTTATCTACAAAGCACAATTATAATATTTCCTTGTCCGTTTCGAATTTAATGAACAATGCAAGCACCACGGTTTATTTCTTACTTGAAAACCTTGATTGTAGCATGTTTGGTATTTATTGTTTCAGAGATGACGACTGTGGACTTGGCCAAGGTACGGTCGGAGGTAAATGCAACACATCGACAGGAGTTTGCACATGCTATGAAAACTATTTTGGACCTACTTGCAGCACACCTGCTTCATTCTTTGAACCAAATATTTCACTTTCATTTGATTCAAAGTTTTCAACAGATCATCCTGCCACTGCATTGTTATTTAAGGATTCAGATCAGATTACCTTAGACGCAAGCAAAACCATCTTCTCTCCATCAAAGTATGGAAGCTTTCAAAAATATTTTTGGAGAACAACAGTGAACACAAGCAAAAATGTCACTCTTTGGAATAAGCTAATTTACAACAAAATCACTCATAACACTCAGGAGAGTTTAGTGTGGATTGTAAACGGAACAGACTTACTTCCAACAGTTAATTACGGTATTGAATTTGTTGTTCAAACATTCCTTCCAGAAACGAGAAAACGATCTTCTTTCAACACTCACGAACAATCATCATACAAGATGGTATTAGAACGTTCTCAAGCTGTACAAGTATCGAAAAATGCGACCAAGAGTTTAGTGGCGCAAATCGATGGAGGGCTTACTGAAGAATATTTGCCGCTATACGCCGTAAGAAACTCCTTACAGAGCCAAGTATTTGTTAACTCATTCGAAAATATTTATATTCCTTCTGTACAATCTGATGGTACAATCAAATTGTCATCAACAAGTTTCGATCCTGAGGATTTACCTTTGTTAGGAGAATTTTATGAAAGATATAATTGGAGCTGTTATAGAATTTATGGGCACGATTACAATGCTCTCAGCGTGAAACAAGTTCGTACAGATATCGCATCTAACTTGCTCGCACCCTGTTCGTTAACCCCAAATGTTGCATTATCCAAATCCTCACTTCGAATTCCAACGAATTTACTTGATTATTATTCCACCTATGTAATCGTGTTGGACTATTCAATCAACACACGAACCAGCTCTACATTCAAAATGTTAAGAACTTTGAAACAGAACGAAAACTGGTCTGTTCGTGTATATCCAACGATTGAAGGCCCATTTTTGGATCCTTTCAAAAGTACTGTACTAAGTGGAGAGATTGTTCCTGGAGGAATTTTCTTATCTGGAATTACAAACCTTACTTGGGAATGGACAGTGAGTTATTGGGGTAAGGAAAATTCCCAGCTGAGCTCTCCAATTCTTTTCAAGAGGTCTACTAGCTCAGTTCTTTTCATTGAACCAAAAGCATTGTTTGCATACGAGAATAATCAGTCTGGAGCTAGTATTTATGAATTTAAAGTAAGAGCCAAAATTAATAATCAATATTGGACAAGCGCCTCTTTCACACGAAAAGTAGCATCCATGCAGTCCCGTGCTTTATTATCAGTAGAGAGGGTAAAAATAAGTCCTGTTGTACAGGGCATGAATAGACCATTACTGGATCAGTTCTCAATTTCAATTCCTTCATTCGACATTAGTATAAGTGGAAACATGAAATATGAGGTTTATTATTCAATTGTAGGAGACAGTTCAGACTCTACTCTTCGACTTTTGGCAAGTAAGACCAGATCGAATGAAATTGTCACTTTTCTTCCGGTATCACATACTTCAGCCTTAGATATCCATGTATTTGCAATATTATATGATGAAGGTTCAGAATCAGAAAACTTTTATTACTGGATTAGCTCAGAGCAAGTCAATCTTGCTCTCAACTCTACTGTGATTGTCAATAATACTCTCACTAACGGGTTGGCTTATCTAAATACCATTTCTTCAATGCTTGACAACATTCAGCAGAATATGACCGACATACTCCCTAACATTGAATTGATACTGGAAAGAAATGGTCGACAATATTTCGACCCATCCATGTTAACAGATCTTTTCCTCACTTTAGATAAGCTTTGTGAATCTTTAAACGAATTAGGTAAAGCATATGAAATGACCTCTGCAGCTTTCACCACAATGGAACCTGATATTAGAAAAAAGATATTACAGGTAGCACTTTCTACAAAACAAAAATTATTACAAATTTCCATCATGTCCAAAGATTCAAAAACTCGAAGTAAGGCCTACTTATTGCAACTCATCAATTCATTAGTGAAACAATCCTCAAGTTTGTCTTTGGACTCAATCAGTGAATTAGTTGCTCAGCTACTACAACCATTACTCGTAAATACTATGAAGACAATGAACAAGTTCATCACATCCAAGATCAATATTGTGGATAAGCGACTTGTCTCGAATACTGGCAGTTTCTCAAACAAGCTACCATCTATCTCTGAAACATTTTTGTCAGTACTTGATTCCTTGCTGTCAACACCTTCAGCGAATAGTCACATCATTATGCCAAACGAGGATCAAACATTGTCGAGTTTCTGCCAAAAATGGATTCATCTGTTGTCACTAAGACTTGTTGAGGAGTCAGAGCCTTCTGAAACTTTCTCTCTCATTAATAAGAATGTGGAAATTGCATACAGAAGAGATTTATTAAATCTGTTGCTTGGTAGTGATGTAAAGCATGATAACTCCATGGATGTAGACTACGTCAATGACACAAGAGAGTGGAAAGTGAATGGAGATTTGCTGGTTGTCCAACTTCCAGACGAAATTAAGCAGCAAAGTCTATTCATCTCTGATATTGATGTTGACGCAGAGACAACCACCCAACGTCAATCTCGAAAATTGACTCTTGCCTCAACGCAAAGCACCGTTACCTCTTTCGATGTTACTTCTCCTTTACCTTTGAATATTTCTGATCAGTTTGTTGGTTTCAAGATTGTAACATTTAAGAATTTGGATGCAAATAACTCCCAAACTCTTCTTGGAAATGCAATGATCAGTGTAGAGTTCTTGTACAATCAACAACCATTGAAATTACGTGAGCTTAAATCTCCAATAGAAATGGTTTTCTTTGCTGATCCATCAATTTACTTACCCTATTATTTATGGCTTGGAGGAGGTTGTCATTATTGGAATGAAACCACAGAGCAGTGGTCCAAAGAAGGATGCACTACAGTCGCTTCCTATGCCATGTTTGGAAACTCAAAACCAAATGGAAATTTGATTTCATCCGATCTAAATCCCACATTTAACAGAATTTATTGTAGTTGCAATCACACTACCCTCTTTGCAGTGTTAAAAACCAATGATTCCAACATTTCATTAGTTCAGAACTTTACCAACAAGATTTGGGGAGATTTGACTTCAAATTCGCTTATTATTTTCTTTTGCATTTTCCAGATTGTCTTTATGCTCATGATCAAAACCAAGCACAACATTGCTCTCAAATTCCGTGGCTTGATACCATTTTATGGAACTGGTGTTCTTTTATTGGAGGCAATATTCACTCTCGTAAGAGATGGTCTTATTATGAATATTTTCCTGACTGGAGTACAAATACCATATATGGACACAATTGATGGTACTTTGAGAACAATAGTGGATCCATTGTTTAGTACCATGATTTTTGCATACACTCTTAGTATTTGGCAATACTATCACAAAGAAAGATTCCAATATCTCATGAAAAAATACCAAGAGAAGGATGAAAAATATTCAATTCGAAGATATGTCAAATTTACATCAAGATCCTATCTTGTCATGCCATGTTTTATTATATATGCAGCACAATTAGTGACATACACCATACTTTTGGTATTGGCTTCTGTCTCCATTTTAAATTTCAAATTAGTATTCTCTGTTTTTAGTTTGATTCGAGGTGGAATTATTGCTGCAAGTGTTTTGGCAGCATTTTTCTTAATGATATTTGTGGAACTCATCATGAAAAAGTTACTTAATTTTAATGATGTGAAAAATGATGGATTTTTAAAGTTTGAAGGTACTTTCAATGGAGACGTTTACTTATTCAAACTCGAATGGCTTGCATACATGTTTATGGCTAGTTTATTGGTTCTTGCAGAGGGTTATGATATTTTGAATATTCTTGCACCTAATCTCTACAGCAACACGTTCCCTGAAGGTTCAGTGGCATTCCAACTCTATAGCCGGCAGGCACATATTCACATGTTGGAAATAGCACCAATCATACTGTTATTCATGATCAAGTGTTTGGTGTTGCTGGTGTATGGAGGATTTGTATCATGCATGACTGCAAGAAAACATACATTATGCTGTTTTGCTGGCTCACAAACTGATACCACTTCAGACAGTGAATTATTGGATGTAGTGAATGATCCTGTTTTGGGTCCTCTCTTTGAATCTTATTGCATGAAAGAATTTTCACTACCTCTCGTGTATCTGTACAAGCAATTGGTTGACATTTGTGCGTTTGATGGACCTCATTCAATGTTTGAACGATCTCAGCATGTGAGAAAAATTTACAAACGATTTTTGAAAAAGTATAGTCCATTCCCAGTGCCAATCAATAGAAAGACCATGAGAATGTTCCACATTAGAAAAGATCAAGATGAAGCCATTACGGCTCAAGAGTTGGAGGACTTAATTTCAATACTTCAAGTTGAAACCACAGATGCACTCATGAGTATTTATTGGAGATTTAAAAAGACTGAAGCATACAAGAAGAACGAGAAGAAGAGTGTCGTTAATCCTTATCTCAACGAAGATTTGTAATTAAACTGTAAAATTGTTGATTATGGTGGAATATATTGACATTTAACTTCATCTTTGGTTGACGTCGACTTTTTTGGTAAATCCAATTTCAATGTCTTTTTCACTGAGGGTTGTGATTGTTTCATAGCTGCGTTGTTGCGTGGTTTTGAAACCTTGGTTGCTTCGTAGTCTTCATCCACTTTGATTTCATCCACTAAACGTTGTCGTTTTAAAATGGTAGAATAACTGACTTGAGCTTTTGAATAGGAGCCATATCTGAGTGCTTTGAGAGGTTGCTCTGTTTTCACATAATCCACAAGTGTTCGTGTTTTTTGACCAGCAGCAACAATTTGGTGTTGTCGATGACTCTTCCGAACATGGCAATTGTTCACGAGAAGAATTCTCTATTGATTGTTGTTCTTGTTGTGGTGTTTCATCATTATGAGAGGTCGATCCCTGATGTTCCGACACTGTGACAGTCTTGTCATTTGTTTTGTCCAATTCGTCAAATAATTTTCGTCTTGCTTTCAATGCGTTTGCAAGTGAATTTTCAACCATTCTGAGTCGTTGCTTTTTGTAAACACTCACAAACACCTGTCCTGAATTGACATCTGCCTCAAGTGAATAATTATGCAGCAAGGATGATCCAGACATGGATTTTTTCTTTTCAATGGTATTCTTTTGTTTCATGGTATCTGTGGTCGTGTCACTTGCTCCATCTTGATGACTGCAAATAGGGCAGTGTGAAATGCAATTAATTTCATCCAAACAATGTTCATGCATGGCATGTCCACAATAAAACACTCGTAACTTTCCTCCTTTCATGTTATCTTCCTGAAGATCATAAATGGAGGATTCACATAATCGACAGGTATAACTTTGTGGTTTTGTACCTCGTTTCAATCGACGAATGTATCGATTTTGTAACCAATTCACGTCATTGCATAATAATCGATTAATGGAATGATAGAGCATTAATTCGAAACCACACTTGTCATACATGTCTAAAAGCGGTTCTTTAAAATATCCATATAAATCCTTCTTGTAATTAATCGTTGCACTTTGTAATAATCCAAAAACAGAAAATTTCTTTTCAAATTTCTTTTCTGCATTCATCGACATGTGTGGATCTTGTTGTTCTTCATCTTGAATACTTGATGATGAATTTGACATTTCTGTGAAAATAAATTTCAGTAAATGGTGTAAACACACTTGGAAAAATAGATTGCTTGGTCGATTTTTTAAATTTTTAGGAGCAAGAGGATCCGTTGCTTCTCTCAACTTTCGTTCTTCTTCTCGTGCCTTTTCATACTCTAAATCAGCAAGATACTTTTTAAGAGAAGTAATTCGTTTTTCAATTTTGGCAATCTTTTCATAGGTTGTCTTTGTGACAACTGGATCAAATTCATATCTCACTTTTTCTTGAAGTTTTTCTTTTTCTCGAATGGCAGAATTAATCATTTCTTTGTGATCATTAATGTTGTCTTCAATGGTGATATCTTCGTCATCACTGAGATCATCCATGAAAGTCATGTCATTATCAATTTCATCATCATTGGAATCATTGTCTTCGTCGTCATCACTATTTGATGATTTCTTCTTCTTTTTCTGAGTACTTGGTATGCTTTCATTAGATTTTGAAGATGAATGGTTTGTTGCAACCGCTGTGATTGTAGATGATGCATTATTTTGTGAGGCTGCTGCATATGAATCAAAAAGTTCTCGTAGAGGCACAATAATCTTATCCAGTAAATGGAACCACAATATTTTCACATCCTTATCTGTTAATCTTCCATTGTCCATATTTCTCTTACACATGTTGACAATATCAGTGATGAGAGATTTGAATTTTTCATAAGTTTCCGATTGCAAAATGTTCATGACACTACTTGAATAGAGCTGAACTTCGAGTAGTCTTCTTTTACCTCTGGATAAACTTTCAGGATTGGTGATCATTGAAGTCATTTCTTGAGTGGCCGATGTTTCATGCATTTCTGATGCTGAAGACTTGGCAAAAGCAGTGACAACAGAAAGCATTTTGTTTGCCCAACTTTTAAGCTCGAATTTTTCCTCTTCTTTTTTCACTTTTGGATCCACCACTGTTGACAATTTTAACTTTCGTTGCTGTTGTTCTTCTTCCCATTTAATTTGTAGAAAGGTTTTGTACTTTCCATCAAACTCTTTCAATAAATAGAATAGATCTGAAAGTGGTGGTCCATTAATTCCTCCATCATCTGCACTGTTGTTTTCAGAGTTATTCGTTACAGCTAGATAATCGTTGAAATTGATGCTTCGAATAAATCGATCTTCTTCTGAAACACATTGTTCTGCAAGACTTCTCATCTTTTCGTCGACTTTTTCAAGATACAACTTGACGGCTCCAACAACATCCCCTCCTCTCTCTAAAAGATAGGATGTGGCGTCAATGATGTTGTGTTGTCTACAGAATTTAAGACATTCATCAATGGGATAATCTCGTTGTGAAGCAACATAGGTATAAACAGATTGAGGTTCAAATTCACACAGTAATTGGAAATATTTGAGATGAACATTTCTATCGAGAGTTAACCCCTTACGTTTCAACAGCTCGTGCATCGAATCACTTGTGTTCTCCACTCCAATAATATTTTTAAGGTAAAGGAATTGTAATTTAGGATACTTATTCAACGAAGAAATTACTTTTTCATGCTCACTTGTAAAATGCATGATGATTAAGTGAGCAGTGGCATCGCTATCACATTCGATCAGTTGTGACAAATGATTGATGGTAGCAGTTTTGATTCTTGCATAAATTTGATCCTTATTGAGAATTGTCTTTTCATTAATTTGGAAGAGTTCACTAATCTCACGATTGACAATGTTGGACTCTAGTTTGGTCAAATTATTAATAAACGTGAAAACTCCACTTCTTAAATCATTGTCAGAAAGGTAGGCATCTAATAATTTCTCATAATCTCCTTTAAGAGAGTACAAATAAATGAGCACTTTGTGGAATCGAGAATTTCTACAACATGTAATAAGCTCTTCCATATTAATGACAGCCTTGGAATCTTTTCTGTCAATGATATTCAAAATGTTAGTTAAAATTGCAACCAATTCTAGTTGTGTGGTGCTAATATCATCGTCAAAAAGATTTCCTTCATAACACAAGGTTGAAAAAATTCTGTGAATGACATCAGTAGAGACACGAATAGAATTTCTATCTGGAAATTGCTGGCTGGAATGAGATAGCTGTTTAGCCATAAATAATGAAAAGTATACGCAATCTTCCAGATTTGGAATCCAATTGGATTGTGGTTGCTGCTCCTCTTCAATGGAAAACTTCTTGGTTCTGATTTCCCAAGGGGAAAATGCATGGCTTGAGGAAGAACAAAATATATATGTCAAAGCATCCACAACAGACTGTTTGGTTAACGGTGCATATAGGGGATGAGATGGCTGAGTCCCTTGCTGTTCGGAAGTCCAGAGGCTGGTGGTTGAAGTGTCAGAGAAAACGTCATCTAACCATTTAAAGAATCTCTTAGAGTCAAGAATAATCAGACGAGAAAGTGTGTGGAATCGTTTGGTTGAGTATTGACTGACAGTAGTTTCCTGAACTACTGTGTTCAGAAGCGTCAACTTGATATCGTACAATAAGCTAGTAGAAATTCGTTGGTTTGAAATCGACATTGCGTTGAGAAAACAGTTTTCTAGATAATCAAACAGGAGTGTCACACATTGTGGCCTGTCACTGGCGTTATTGTTACTTGGATCAAAAATTATTTTCAAAATCTCTTTCACTGGAGTAACAAAGTCGCCTAATCCCTTGTTATAGATATGTGCCATAGCTTTGAAGAGTCGATATTGTTTACATTTTTCAATAAGTTTCTTGCAAAAATCTGGATTGCTATATTCCTTGGTGCTGATGTGATCATTGTATTCAAGCGACAGTAATAAATGTTCAAGAGCGCTTAAATTTCGTCGATCATATTGTTCAAAATGGTGATTGATAATTTTTTCAATAAATTGATTGGGAATAACAACAATCTCGGATTCTCTGGAAACTAGTAATCCTTTGACAATGAATTCCTCGATGATAGATAAAAACAGTTTGTCATTGTGTTTGGCTTTAAATATTTCATAAAAAGTGGTAAATATTTTTTCAGATTTCTCAATTTCAATCGAATATCGAATACAAGTTTTAGCCAACTAATCATTGGATTGTGTTAAAAAAAAATTAAATTTGAAATATTATTTTACGACTTACCTCAGCATAATATTCATAAGATTCATAAGATTCTTCATGATCGGACGATAATTGTGATGTGTAATATTCCACATATCCTTCCAAAATTGAGTTAATGATATCACCTGCTAGTTGTTTTCGAAGACTTGAATCCGTTGGAAGACCAATAACTGCAATACCTTTTCCTTGATAAAAATTCAGAGCAAGTTTGAGAGCATGATTCCATGATCCCATTTCTAAGAGCTGGTCGATACGCTCCTTCCAACTGAGCACTTTTACAGTAATGACCACTTGATTATTAATGTTCATGTCATTGTCACAAAGTAAATAGGCAACGCCATCCACAGACGAAGATTTTGTACAGAGGGATGAATGGAAGGACGGCACTGGATGAAGAGTGAATTTTCCACTTTCGTTCTTAATGTCAAATCTTGAATGGTAGGTCAAATGATGTGTGGATATAATTTTTTCTTGTGTGACTTTGGTCGGTATTTCAAATGTAATTTTTCTCTCTTCGACATTTTTTGTGGCGAATGGATCTACCACTAACACTTGATGATCTCTATCCACCAAAAGCATGACCTGTTCTCCCGACCACACACCTCCAATTAAATCGTTTTTGAATTCCATGCAAGAAACTCTAAACATTTCAGTATTTACATTCGAGTTGTAATTGTGTGGCAGTGACGAATCGACTTCTCCAAGCAATGTTTGAGGTTCTATTTCAAGTTGGAAAATATTCAAAATGTTTCCCCATGCGATGGCTAGTAGTGGAGGTTTAGTCTTGTGAACTCTCAGTTGTTGGGAAAGTGCAGTCTCATGAGTCGTAATAAATTGAATAGGAGCTAAAGCTCTTCGCCAACACAAGTAAGGTAGCTGAGTTTGGGAAACTTCTTCTGGTTTTGAAAGGAAGCATAATATTTTCACAAAAGGTTCCAGACACATCACAAATATACCAATAGGTGTAGCCATTGCTACAATTAGGTAGTCATTACTCGGATGATAAGTTTCTCCTTCAGGTAAAATTTTCATGTCAACGACTTTTTCAAATTTTTCATCAGTGACTTTCAATACTTCATGAACAAACGAATTACCTCCAAGTCTAATTAGTCTTTCCTTGAGGGTAATTAGTTTTACAACTCCGTACGAAGATACTAGAATTTTGTAGGGATTGTTTTTGATAAATTGAATATTGTCAATAGGAGTTGAAAATTCATAATTAGTATTTTCCTCTCCTTTTCCGTTAATTCTTTTGACAAGTTCTCCATTATTTTGAATGCTCCAGAATGCAATATCTCCATACTCATACCCACAAACGAGGAAATTTCCTGTCGAGGTAATATCCATACATGTGACAGCATTGTACTGGTTAATTTGTTGATGTACAGACTTTTGAGGAGTACTAGATTTTCCAGAGAGTTTGAGATGAGTGACTTTGGTGCTGCTATTGGAAAATATAACACACGTTCCGTTCGAAGTACCAACAGCTAAAATTGTTGAGGATACCTTAATTACTTTACAGATACCAATTTCTTGGCGATGAATTTCCAAATAGTCATTCACCGATTTCATTAAATCTAACTTGAGTATTGACATGTTTTGAGCGAGGGCTCCTCCATAAAAATCTTTCCAGTTTGAGTTCTCTAAAGAATTGAATTCTTTTAAATCTTTGATGTTTTTCTTTCTCATGGCTGTAAGTAGAGCTCTTGCTTCCTCGTTTGATGCTTCTGTGGATGGAGGATTCTTTTGTTCATTGACAGGATCTGTATTTTCTGAATCAAGATCTGAATCGGTTTCATCCGCTCTCATTAAATTGTGCAGATAGTCAGATGCCACTTCAGAGGTTGATGAAGTCGACATGTTTTCGTCATCTTCGAAATGAGAAGCTCCGTGGTGATTATTTTCTTGATCTCCATCATGATGCTGTTGTGAGGGCTCATTTTCTTCATCAGAAGACGATGAAGAGCGTGCAGAGCTTAGAATATTGTCAATCACTCGATCAGTTTGTTTCACACGAAGAGTTCTCAAAAGAATTTTCTTTTTCTCGTATTCTTCTTCAGATGGAACTGTCAAAACTGTTACCAGATGATTTTTGGAATTTCCTGTCATTGTCACTGGTGTATATTGCTGTCTTTTCGTAGTGGGATCATAGGGAATAAATATTTTCTCGAGTTGATATTTTGTTTGTTCTAAAACACTTGCTTGTTTGAGAATTTCAAATTTCTCAGAATCGTCCAATTTCATGTCAAGTAAAATTGCAGAAGGTGAAAAGTAAATACTATTCGATCTTGATACATTGGGCGCTATGGTTTGTTGTTTGTTTTCTACTGCACCATTCGATTTGGTTGTTGACATGAATTCTGAATTTTTTCTTGCAATCGAAGAGGAAACAGAACTCTCATTGTGAATGATCTGATCCAACAAATTTTCATCACGATCGTCATCATATTCATCATCATCGTTATTGAGATAATCATCATCATTGTCTTTTAATATTTTACGTAATATAGCTGCGTGGTTTGAGGATGATAATGCATGATTGGATTTGTTGTGAGCTGTTCCACCATTGTTTTCATCGTCGGAACTTGAAATTTCATCCAAAATATTCGATAAATATTGTTGTCTTTGAATGTAGTGTTCCGATGGTGTATCCATACTCTCCACATCATTATCCTCCTGATCCGATGAATCTTCATCACTGCCCGATAATTGTTGTTCCGTTAACATTAAATCATCGTAATGATAAGAAGTGTTGTTCTTTGTTTCCATCCTCGTCACTACTATCGGCGAAGAGGATGATGATTTGCCCTTCATCGACGACGTCAAGGCTGCAGATGTTGTTGTTGGTGTGGATGCAGTTGACGTCAACGGAGTTTGATGATGGGACGACTTGAGGAGAGGCATTTTTTAATGATGAACGATGAAGTGCATTGGAGAATAAAACGGTCCATGTCAATGGCAACATGTGTTGATTTTGAATCGTCTGGCCAGAAGAAAATGTTTCTTTTGTCTACTGAACTTGCATCCTTTCATTCCATCACTCAAAAGTTTCAAGTTAAACCTTTAAATTTTCAATGCATAAGTAAGAAGTGTGATATTGATAATGCCTAAGAATGGATATCCATTGGGAAATTGCACTGACTTTTGTGAGTACAAATAAAAAAAAGAAAAAGAATGAAGAGAAACATTTTTTTTACATTTGTTTTACTACCTCGAATATTGGGAAATCGTTCATCATTTACAAGAACAAGTGTGATGTAAAATATATTACAATATATTCATGTGGAAGTGTTGTGAAAGTAGGTGAAAGTAAGTTCGCCATCTTAAAAAAATATTGACATTCTCCTTACTATCTATTTCATGGCTCCTGAAAAGCAAGCTGCTCCTTGTGCTGGTGTTCGTCAAGATTTTATTGATTGTGTTTTGAAATATTCGGAATGTGTGAGAAAGCCAGGTACAACCTTTCAGGATTGTATAAAAAACGAGGTATTTCCATACGAATGCAATTCTGTGCGAGAACGTTTGAATTTATGTAAACGATCATTGATTGATCGACGATTCCGATTGAAAGGAACAAGCAAGTTGGAGGAATCCACCAAAGTGGAAGAGGAATGAAAATATATTCGTCAATTATTATAATAATCATATGGTTTGAATTTGTGAATGCTCAGCCTCTCACAACGTCAATCATCAGCCTTTGAAATTAATTTCTCAGCACATGATTGACATTTAGCCGAAATACTTGCAACTTTAATTGTTGGTATGCAAAACAACACGGAAAGAATGATTCATTTGCTGTATCACGGAATAAAGCAGCGTTGTAGGGAGTGTTATTTTCCGAAATTGTACTGCACATATGGTGAGGGTAAACTCGGATGGCCAATATTAACACGACAATTCCTTCTCGAGAAACAACCATTATAAATAATTATTTCATGGCCAACAACTTTACTGCTGCATCTCAAGGACAGAAAAAACACAACAATTGCCATCCAGTAAGGTCCTATCAACACACCTACAACTTGAGATTTCCACTCTCTCCACAACAACCAATAACACCACCAATCAGCAACCTTTTGCTACCTTGAGACTAAGGCCTTCGTTCTCTCAACAACCACTACGAAAGCCCCATCCGAGTGACCATAACGACTGTTTCCCACAACCACACACCAATCGCTCTATTCCTTTATACCTAAAGTCAGAAAACTACGGAGTGCACATACCGCGAAATGTGGCAAGTAGTCGTTGTTTGTTTAAGCTGAAAGAATCCCTTTCTCATTCGGCGATGCCGGTTAAATTTGTCGAAACATCAAAAAAAACGCACCCCTCTCAATTCAAACAACAACCCACTTCTCTAAATCCACCGTGAGCATCATGAAAGGATGCCAAGTGGCAGACATGACAATCAACAACCTTCTCTTAGAGAGAGTCAAGAGGAAGAAGAATATGAACAGAAGTGGAATTCTACTTCTCTTTCTCAGCATGATCAAGAAATGAACCAAGTACACACACAGTTAAGCATGCGTCAACATCAACAACAACCTAGGTCGAATGCAGAAAAACACCGCAGTGATGGTGAAGAAGAAGAAGAGGGAGCAGATGTGGTTGTCTACCCCTCTGGTGATGTGAAAAATGATCAAGTGCGCAATGCCATGGCAATCACCACCACTCCTCCTGCACTCACAATCCATGCAAGCATGTTTGATGGTTGTGGCATGTCTCATAATAATGACATGAGTAACAACGCACGGGCTTACTCCAACAAGCACCAACAGCCTGCCACATCCACAAGCTGTACACACATGCACCATCATGTAAAAGGTGATGATGATCGAAGCAGCATGACGACACCTCCACAATCAATGGCTTCAGAAGGACAAAATGAAGAATTTCGCATCGATTCATCGTTTAGCCAAGTTCCACATCAACAAAATTCATCATCCACAATTTCTGCGGACCAGACCACAACAACCTGTTTACCTTCATCCATGCATGATCTTCATCCTACATCGCATATGACATTGCAACATTCCAAAGTCAAAGTACCAAAATCCGCATCATCAAGAAAAAGAGCACCGTCTCAATCGAAGGTAACACATCTCGATGCATCCACATCGCAACAAATGCATCGACATTATTCTTCAGGAAGCGGAGGAACAAGTACCGAAGAAAATAGTGGAGCTGGTTCCTCATCTCCATTTGCCATTGTAGATGAAACGACACGAACAAGGAAGAAAGTGAAAAAAAAACGTAATCAATTAATGACCTCTGGTGATCAAACGGAGCACAAAGCAGGCAAGGTTAAGATCTATGCCTTTGAGCGACCTTTACTCAATCAAAATGCAAATTTCACAGAAAATTATTTTATATTGACACCTACTGTCACGAATGCAAACAAAGCATCAAGTAGTACAAGTGGAAATGCATTATCGTTGACGAAAACATCAATTTCATCGAGTGGTGATGATGAAGGACATCAAGCTAGCTTAAATGTAGTGTCGATGACGCCCTCTCCCAAAAATTCTCAAAATTTTCACATTTCAAAAAAGAGATCTAAAAAAGAGACGAACAATGACGCAAAAACAACATCAACAACACATCATTCGACAGCCTTAATTCAAGAATCATCTTCATCTCAACATGCACCAACTGTACATTCTTCAAACGAAAACATGCAAGGAAATAATAATAATTTAAACTATTCCTCAATATCTTTCCAAAACCAATCCTCGTCTTCATTGGAGGCCCAAAAAGCAGCATTGGGAGAGTTCTTGAAACGTTTTTTACAGAGTACGTCCTCAACTGCAAGCACTTTTTTCTCACAACGAGCTCAAATTCAACCACCAGTTCAGAGGGAACCTTCATCATCAAATCATCAGCAACAAACCCAACAGGAACCACAATCTCAGCGATTATTCTTACAACAACTGGTTACCATGGCGAGTGCATTGAGTGGACATGACCATAGCAACCAACAACAAACATCCAGTGACTCTGTATTTCAATCAACGTTGTCATCATTACCAGGTGGAGGTCAACAACAAGTAGATCCTGAAGCATTGATTTCAATCATCGATTCAATCCTAACAAGAGAAATGACCAATCGATCTCACGCAGCATTAATCACGAATTCACCACAATCCTCTTTTTCTGAACTTGCTCCAACAACATCTCCATCCACAACATTGATCAACTCTCCGTCTTCATCTTCCTTTTCGGATCATGATCGCAACATGTTAAATACATTACCATCCTCCAATCGATCGAACACCCTACCAACTTCTACTAATTTATCCTTTTCTAACCTTAATACCCAAGATACTTGGGAAGAACAGCGATTACAATCACTTTTTGGGTTGTCACATCCACCTCAATTACAATCAACAGGAATGCCTTTAATTTCATCTCAGCCAGTACAACAACAACAATTCCAGGACCAAAACCAGCCATCGCAAACACAGCAAGAGGTGAATATCATGTCTGGCCAGACCACTCAACAACTATTGGTGGAAACATTAAGAAATTTTTCGACACCATCTCTTCAAACACAACAAAACCTTCCATCCTCTTCGTTGTCTTCTCATTTCCAACAACCCCAATTATCAAACACCACTCCCACCACCCTAACACCTAGCGAGTTTCCAAACGATCCAATCTATCACTTATCCTTTCAGCAACAAGTGTCAACTCAGAGCCATAACCCAACAATGCTTAATAGCATGGAAATTTTTCAATACTTGAGACAAGCATCAAACAACGACCCTTTAAAGATACTCTTCTTGCAATGCCTTGCAATTGTGCAACAACAAGAACAGAAGAATCATGAGCCTAAAAGATAAATCATTTATTTGTTCTAAAAGGTTTCCCAAATGTTGTTTCGATCAATTATATTTCTTTTTGATTGTGAAAATGACTTGTCTCACCTTAGATTGATCATTCTCAAAAGATTAAGGAACTCTATTCTCTGAATTTTCAAACCTTGAAACAACAACATCGCTCTACAATTTTACATCTAGGTTTTTTGAAAATTGTAATCCTCAATGTGATTCGTCAATCATGGCGATTTCATCCCCTTTCATGTCATTTTCTTTTTGAACTTTAAAATGGACTGGAATGTCCTACCCTATCCTATTTCGATGTTTTTATCTTCACTCCTTTTTCATGCAATTGGGAGGAGGTATACAGAGAGAGAAATACGGATGTGTGCTCTGAAATTACGTCGTTCATCGTGTGAGAGAACAAGAATATACTAAGGTCAAATGTCCATCATTTTCGTTTGATGCAATAATGTCGATCCTGAACTATTGCAAACTCCTCATTTATCTCATACCCATGTTTCAAACATGTACAAACCCGTCGTCAGTGGCCATCTCTGGAAACATTACCCTATCTCGTACTGTACTTTGTGACATCTCGAGATGAATGCCAATTTTTCATTGTCAACTCATTCAAAGCTTTACAGTTCTGCACAAGCATTGATGGTAAAACCGAGAGAAGGTTGACTTGAATTTTTTGAAAAAAACAACAACAACAACACAAATTTCATTCTCTTCTCGCGGATCATCCAAAACTCTGCACTCATCAAACCAGAAAAGTACTGTTCGCTTGACAGCCCTGGTCCTGTCCAGAGCAATGACTTGTCTTGGTTTTCCTTGTGGCCTGCCATTGTGACAACAACTTCCAAAGACAGGCAAAAGATCAATCAATGTCCTATCCTAGTAATAAACATCAGCAACAATTCTTCAACAACAACCTCAACAACAACAAGAATGAACCACCATCAACAGCTCTTTCAAACCACAGGATCCTTCTTGATTCAAAGTATGATTCAACCACCACAAAAAAAGAGTCCTCACCACGGATGGATGATGTGAACACATGGCTTTCCATGACAACACCACCACCACCACAGCACGTGCAGGAACAAGAGAAAGAGAATGAGGATGATGACCACATGCATGTAAATCTCCCAACAACAGGACGGATGAGAATCGGTCGAGGTGGTCGAGGTGGTCGTCGACTACCTTTGATTGATCGTGAACAAGAAGAAGACTCTCAAAGGGAGAATTATGGGGTTTCTTCATCGCAAGGAGGACATGAATCACCCACGAGTCGTGGCGAAACGACCAATGTTGTGGTGGTGGGGAAAAATCAAAAACATGTTCGTCTCCAGTCACCACCCAATTTGGAGGTTCATGAAGATGCACAAAACAGGAGATTCACATCAACAACGACAACAACAAGCTCTCAAAGCTCTTTTATTGATGAAACAACGAATCCAGCATCACAAAGAATGACACAGAAAAGAAGGAAACCTTCTTCTTCTTCTTCTCAACAACAACCATTTCCAAGTCCTCATGAGAAATTTTCATCATTTGGAAAAATTTATGCCTTTGAAAAGTCCTTATTTTCAAAGGAGAATCACAATTTTGTTGAAAATTATTATGTTCTTCATAATACAAGCAGTAGTAGTGGCAACAGCAGGATAGAACAACAACAACAAGAAAAGATGCAACACGAATTTCACACCAATTTGATCCAAAATAATACATGCAACGTTGAACATGTACAACAACAACAACTAGTGAATCATCCCTCCATGAACCAATCTTTCACCACCACCTCTACTACTACTACTCGCCCTCCTCTCTTTCTTTATGCAGAAGAGGATTTGTTACATGTGCAAACAAGACGACAAGAGAATTCACCATCGAGTCGTTGTCTTTTACCACCTTTGGAAATCACACAATTTTCGACCATCGAGTTGCAACAATTTGGATTCTTTTGGTTGCCTGCAGACGAATCGACACCAAGACAACGACCACAACCAAGACAACCACCTCCACGACCATCACATGTTGAACCTCATCAGCATGGACAAGAGCGACGACGACGACGACCACCACCACCTCGACCATCACCACATGCACCACAAACACATCGACCAACACCACACAATGATCCTCTCCTGAATGCCATTAACTTGTGCTATGAAGTCATACAGAAACGCAAACTATGATGATGGTCCTTCTCGAGAAGAGAAAGGACCTAAATATTTTCAAAGAATCTCCACATGACCTTAATAAGAAGATTTTATTTCTAAAACGATTGTTAGAGCCAATTATTATTATTATTGAATGAAATTACAAAGTCTATGGTGTGAACGCGCGAACAACAAGAAAAAACAAACACTCGCATCATCATCATCATGTGATTCCATTATCATAATATATTGAATTGTTATTGTACTGTATTCCTGCAATACTTGCACTCGTATAGGAATGATATCACTCGAAAAAGCTGGCCTTGAACATTGAACTAGATTTGGTATAATGCTGCGAATTGGGGATGTATTCACCTCTAACAACAACACCACCACCAACAACAACAACAACAACACTACGAGAGATGATGTTTGTCCGATGCAATTGTTGTCTTTACCGAAATGGGAATGACATCAACACTCGTGAAATACATTTCAAAAAAAAGTCGCTGCACTTGAATTCATTCTTCTAATCAACATGAAGAACCATGAAGAAATTGATCATCAACAACATGTTCTGAACATGATGATGGCCATGATTGGGTCAAACTCATTCTCTCATGAGGTGAATTCCAATTCTAACAACCACCACTACAACTTTCAGAATTCCAATTCAAACAATAACTACAATAACATGTTGGGCACTACTCCTTCGACGGTATTGCATGTGAATGACCTATTGATGATGCCCATGTTGTCCGCAACAAACGACCAACAACCACAACCACAACAACAAATTGTTCAGATCCACTCTCCACTTGCTTCTACTGCATGCATGTGGCAAGAGGATGATTGGCATCCAGAAAACATCAACCGCTCGTATCATGGCATGCAAAATAACATGCAATTCTTGTCAGAGATAGGGTCAAGAACCAAAGAGCACCACATTCAAGGAAATTATGTATCTCCTTCTGCAGCAATACCAAATTTTGGAAAACAACATAACAACCATTCCAAACAAACTTCACATGCAGACAAATACCCATGAAAGAACCAAGCACACAAGAATGAGCAACCTAAACATCATTGACGAAACCAATCAAACAACCATCGATTACAAGAAGAAGAGAAAGAAACAAAAGGAATTCATCCCTCATGCAAGTCATGATACTCACCACTTCTCCTCGCATGAACCATCATCACCATCCAACAAGAACAATTCCAGCAACAATAACACCACCACCACCACAGATGTCTCTTCCTCCAACAATTCAAATTCTATTGTCAAAATTTATGCATTCGAAAGACCCATGTTAAGACAACTCAAGGATTTTGCAGAAAATTACTTTGTCCTCACACCAACTTGTCATTCCAATCAGAGACAGCCTTCTTCTGCATTTTACAAAGAAGAAACCATGAAATGTAAAGAACGACAACAACCTCCTCAACAACGAAGAAAAAGAAGACCAAGAATGGAAGGATTGAATGAGATGGAGCCGTTAGTACATTCTTGTTCCAGCTCCACCACCATGAGTGATTCTTTCTTTAATTCTGGAAATTGTATTCATATGAATGACATCTCGAGAATTTCTTCTCCTGACACTGTGGATGGTTCAAACATAAAATCATTGGGTCAACAACAATACTGTCACATGCCATCCATGCAATGGATCAACAATAATAACTTCAACAATGAGAATCCGTCCATGTTATTGTTGGATCATGTTCCACAACAACAACCTCTTCCTTGTACTCATCACACTCCAGAGTTGAGATCTTTGAGTGTTTCACCTTCATCACAACAGAGTACTGACAGGTGTTTCAACACAGAGACGATGTCACATGTCGTACAAGCGTTCAATCAACAAACTATTTCACACACCTTCAATGGAAATCAACAACAAATGTCATTAGGAATGACATGTTCCAACACCCATCAAGAACAACAACAACAAGGAGAGAATATTCATCTTATTCATGCGGCACTTCAACTCTATTTGAAATTGTCACAAAATGCTAACAACAATGAATACTAGTACTCGAACTCAAATCCGAGAAATAGTTATTGTGGATTGACAAAGAAGAATATATTGCTCTTGTTGCTGCCACCAATTCAAACATGAAGATCGCTCCAATGACACGTCAATTACCTGTTTTCAATTTTCACGCATTCCTTTAATTGTAAACAAATTCATTGAATCCTTTTAAGGAGGGATTTTGCAACTGATAATTCAAACCCAGAGAAAGATGTCAAATGAATATGCAAGGAAACTTCATTCATTCATTATATGCATTTCACACAAAAAAAGAGATGCATTTCACACAAGAGAAATATTCAAGAATCGAAAAAGAGACACTGACAAACGAGAGAGATTTCATGTGAAAAGGGGTGAAGGGTTGTAAGGATATTGAATCATTTGTATTGCAGTAGATACAGGCGAATTGATTCCCTCTTTTGCATATATAAGGGGAACTATAGTCCTTTATGACCCATCATGATGCAAAAACTTCACCTGTCATGTTCATTCTTACTTTGTCTCTTTCTAGAAAGGAGAACTTCTCCCGGCATTCAAAAAAAACATAAAATCCTTTATAGAGAGAGTGTTTAACAATTCCAACAACAACAACAACCACACAATGAACAGAAACTTGATAACAAGAAAATTCAATCATGATGAACAAGGCTCCTTGTTTGCAAGAGAAACCCAATTCGACATGATCATGCAGCCATCATGATTCAATACTTGTTTTGATGAGGAACGACAAGAAGCTGAAACAAGTAAAGGAAAGAATAACTCATTTTCAAGCCAATATTTAAACTTCTCAGTTGACACATGTGATAGCCATGTTCAACCAACTCGATCATTCAATTTCAACAACCAGATGAATGGTCGACCCTTTCATCATTCCTTCTCATCAACCTCACATGTAAGCGACATGTCAACTGATCCTCCAAAGAATCATCACGAGAATATTCAAATTATCGATGAAACCAATCAAACAAGAAAAGAAATTAAAAGAAAGAAAAAGGAAATTTTGGAAGCTTTGAAACGACATCAATCCTCCTATATTTACTTCTTCATCCTCAACAACAAGTGCAACAATTGACCCAATGATCTTCCAAAAAAGATTCTTCGTTGGACTCTTCAAATGTTTTCGAGAATATTTCAACAACCATTCAACAACCACCAACAACACTTTTTCAATATTGGATATTACTCCTCTCTGGCGTCTTTAGAATACGACTCTTCTTGGGAGCATCCATTGAATCGGAACAAAATGTGGTTGACTCCTCAACAAACAATGACACACCACAATACCCTAAATGAAACTCTTCAACAATTACAACATTCTTCACAACATTCACAACAGGTTCAACTTGAAACTGCTCATAAGTATCCAGAAGAGAAAATCATCAGCAAGAGTGTTCTTCTATGGAGAGACTTTTTCAAGCATTCATTCAATCTTGTGTGAAACAACAACTGCATATGGATCGAATTATTATCAGCATGATTACTAAAAAGATACTTTCCTTGTTATTGATAACAGTTATCATCTCCCGCATTCAACCCGATTGGACTCGAGCTGGAATTTCAAACCATTGAAATTAGGGTTTCCAATGAATGAATGGATCATTAAACAAGAAATGATAGTTCCTACCAGCAAGCTCGGTGCTGAACATTCTCCTGTATTTCTTTCTTTGACTTGGATTCATTCGAATTGAACCAATCATCTCCATTCTAAAGAAGGACACAAGAGCCATCCGTCATAGAGTCCCGACAGATGGAAAGAAAATTCCTCATAAAATTCGTGTTTAACATTTTAATTACACATGACCATTTGCATCCATTACTACAAATGTTGAATCAAATACGGACAAAATGCTTCAAAGAATGAATGCATTAGGAACAGCAGCAGGCGAAACAAGGCGAATATTTCAATCGGCACACGGCAATAATGATTTGTCTTGTTGTTCCATTCCAAACAAAAAGAAATAAATGGAACCACCCTTCTCTCCAACAACAAGAACCACCCTTCCATGCAAAGATTATGTAAGAATAATGATGCAAAAGAAGAGTGGAGAAGATGAAGAAACTCAACCAACCACAACAACCACCACGACGAATGTCATCAACACACCAAGAACCTCATTGGATCATGACTTGTTGTTGGGTTTTAGACACGATTTCCAACCATCCAGCATGCTGAGGAATTCTCAATCGAAGGGTCTCCTCTGTAATTCTGTCCAGTTGGAAGAGAATCACACAATTACTAATTGCGCGGAATCAAACGACAACTATTCATGGCTACCTTCGGTTGTTGTTTCAGGCGCGCATTCAACCATCAATAGTAACAATTGTGAGAGAGCAAAATGGGTCGACTTCTTGCCGCAGCAAGTGTTTTTCCCACATGCATGTTGTGAGCAACTGCAATATGATCACCCACACGAAGGATGTTTGGAAGGAGAGGGCGATCGTTTTGATTCGACTTTTCACACTGCATGCATGCCCAATAATAAGGGCGAATCATCTTCGAAAGTGGACTCGACAAGGGATTTATTCTTCACGACAATGACAAATTCGACTCAAGTGGTGTCCAAACCAACCACAGAGTTACAAATAATTGACGAAACCTGTCAAGTGCGAAAGCAGTTCAAACGAAAAAGAAAATCAAACTGCGACGAGAAACGACAAGCACTCAATGAATCTTCCTTACATGAATCGATCAAAATTTATGCATTCGAGAGACCCATGTTAAGGAATAATAGAGAGTTTGCAGATAATTACTTTGTGTTGACTCCTCAACATTTGACTTGTGCGGGAGAAACGTTTAAAGAGGAAAAGATGAAACACAAGGAGAGTCATCAACCTCCAAAGAGAAGGCAAAGAAAGAACTCGATCGGTTATTATTCATCTTCGAGTGCGAGCAGCTCGAAAGGAACGAGTGTTGGTCCAGCCCAACAACCTCCATATCGTTACGCATTTGGTCAACCAGAGACTTCCCATACTCCATCAATATTGAGAAGGAATGAAATAATACCAAATGAAGATCATGATGCCACATGCAATGTGTTTCCTCTTTCTCTAAACTTTGATAAAGACAGTAATGGCGTTGTGAGTGATAATTGCCATCAGAACATTATCCAAGAAGGGAATTTTCTGAATTTTAACAATCATGATCTGATTCAAGCTGCTCCACAACAGACCATTCAGCAACCTCAACTATATGAACTTCTTTTGCAAACCTTGCTTCAGAACTATTTAGGGCAAAGTCAAAAGTGACATTAAACTTCAAAAAATTGTAACTCAAAAATTCTTGTCACAATTTACTTTACAATACTGACTCACGAAAAATAAATTTACAAATGGCATTATTAGTCGCTGTCTGCGGGAAATATAAATAAGCAAATAATTTCAATACGATTGAGTACAACTAATTACTCTTGTCTGTATCTTCGCTCTTCTTGGCGTTCTTAATTAGCCATTGTAATGTCTTGTCAATATTTACAGAGTTTTTAGCGCTGATTGAGTAGCAGCTGACTTCTCTTCCAGTTATTAACTTTAAATCTAATTTATCTATCAATTCTTGTGCTGATCTTGCATTGGGTAAATCATTCTTGTTTCCTAACACTAACAATGGTATAGTAGATAGAGATGCTTTTGAGACTAGTTCATGAAGCTCCTTTTTAGCAACTTCCAGAGTTTGCTCGTCGCTAGCTGAATCCACCACATAAACGATAGCTCCGACACCTCTACAATACCTCTGTTGTTGTGACATTTCAAATCAACAATTGTTCCGGTTCATATTAAGTTATTCGGTCACAATTTTTGTTTAGATAGAATTAAATTTGAATTATTATTTCGTCAGGATGTACAGTTAAAAGTTGCACCAAATTAAATCAGAGCATTGTTAAACAACCGTAACAGTACAGCAATAAACATTCCTGCACATACCTCCCACATGTTTCTGAACTTGGATTGGCCTGTTTGTTGTATGGTTTTAAAATCAAGTAATTATAGATACAAGACAAAATATTCAATAGAGATCAACATCATAACGATACACAGCGAATGATGATTCGGTATTGTTATTAGAATGCAATCATTACAAATTTCCAAAATATTTTTCATGCCAATATTTCACGATGATTATCATTTATCGGAATCAAACAAACACTTACCTCCAATATCCCACAATTTAATTTCCACACCTCCTTTAGAGACCTTTCTCATATTAAATCCAATGGTTGGAATTGTATCTTCATTCATTTGTCCAAACGATATCGTATTTACAAGTGTTGTTTTACCAGCATTTTGTAATCCTACCAATGTAAGCTCCAATTCTTGTTTCCAGAACAAGGATTTAATCCAATCTAAAATTGATTTCAACACACTCAGCATGTTTCTATTATTTTTCTATTGTTATTATATGATGATTCTTCGCACAATAATATTTTATTCTCTAGTCTAAGAGATTGGATCGATTCTGAATTCCGTTGTGTTCAGCAAGCCGACAAGAATTTTGAAAAATTGTGTTGGCTCGTGATGATGATGATGACGCAGATTTTTTTAATGGCGCTTCTCGGAGATGGCCGTTGCTGCTAAAATGTGCATTAATTTTCAAACATCACCATCCTTGCAAAACCAATATTAATTGGCAACGAGTATAGATGTGCAGCCCAATTTGCAAAAGAATGCAAAGAATGCATTGAACAAGGTTCTCTCTGAATTATCATTTTCAACTTGATTGAAATTCTTTCAAAACAAAAAATGCCGACTTATAGACTCTTTGCTCTTCAGGATGCCATCAGGATGATCATTTTCGAATTTCTTGAACTATTCCGAAAGTAACTTTCTGTTGAAATCAAACCGAGTCATTTCTTCATTGTTTGTGAATTTTTGTGAATTTATTGCACAATATTTCAAGCTCAGAAATGGAGTATGGATACAGCAATATTTTGATCCATTTGAGAACACGCTTGATTTGAAACACAACCTGTGCATGAGAGATGAAAACAACCATTGATCTTGGTGGCCCTAACATTAACCCAAAATTCATGCACTTCTTTCAGCCTATTCCCACCTTATAGTCAATTTCTTTTTTCACATGTTTGAGAAAAGGTACTTTTACAAGCATATTGCTTCTTATTTCTTGCTTCTTGTTTGGGGTTGGGAATTCTCAACCCTCTAGCGCTGACTGTCTTCGTCCCCTAATCTCACTGCCACCACCTCACAGTTTCAGATCCGCAAAAAATGCTTCTACAACCATCTTCTCACTTCGACACTCGATTCCAAGAGATTCACCTTCTTTGTGCGAATTGCAAAGCAACCATTGCGATCAATCGTTTGCCATTGTCTGTTGGTAGAATCAATACTACTTCTTCCAACAACTCTGCTTCAAGCATGTTCAGAGTATTCAAAGATCATCAAGCCAAACATGTTGCTCTCATTGGACAGGTGAATACTCTTCGTGATGAACCAATTGGTGATAATCAACCTGAACCTAATAACCCCCCTACTACCAGTACTAGTAGTGAAGAAAAGACACACCTTATGAAATGCGTTTCATGTGGATCCAAAGTCGGATCAGTGTTCAAAGGCACTTTTACCAACACAGAATACAAGAAGCGCATGTTTGATGGTACTGATTGTGTTGTGCAATGTTATTATTATCAAAACAACGATTCAACCACTGTAGAAATGACCTTGAAAGAATGGAAGAAAACCAGATTTGCTCTCAAAGATTTTGCTCTTTATCCAAGAGAAGAAAATACCAGCCATGCAAAGAGAAGCTATCAACACCCACCAGCCGTATCAACGTCAGCAGCATCAGGAAATTTTCATAATGACATGCAGTCCTCAAAACATCATTTCAACCAAACACCTCAACAGGGGGAGACGCTCCAACATCAACCAGTGAGGACTACATTTCCCAAAGTGAACTCTTCTTCTTTCTTTTGTCCAAAACAAACGAGCAATAATCCAAGCTTTTCACACGAGAAAGAAATTGGCTTGCAACGAAATACAATTTGTGACGAACAGCGCAAACCAGTCAATAACGCCTTCAATTCACAAAGAGGCAAAGTCAATTTGCAACACTTTTCAAGCTCATCTCATGATCGATCAACAGGTTTTAAACAAACTGCTCAAACAGGCGAGCAACAACTCAACAGATATGATAGAACAGACGCTCGACCATTCAAGACTGTAATTCATAAGAATGAGCAAATGGAAATTACAAGTGTCCTTCACTTGCTTAATTATGTCTCAAAACTGTTAAGAGAACGAGAGATTATTGTGAAAAATTTCATTGGTGAAAAGTTTAGAAACTTATTCAGCGATGCATTGGTGAAGTTTGACGTTTCTCCAAAGTTAGTGAAACTGATCTTATCGATATTTGCTCTTGAAGAGATCGGTACAAGCTCGCTAAAGACTGAAATCAGTTCAACTTTCTCAACTTTATTGAATTCTACATTTTGGACAATGGATGTCCCAAAATATATTGAAGGACATGTGATTAGTGGAGACCAAGTACTTGAATTATTAGTAGTTTTCCAAAGATGTCTCGAACTCTGTCCAATAGAATCTCATCTTATTCACATTGAACTTTTGGATGACAAGGTCAAGAGATATGAGTTTTTGAGCAATGAATTGAAGGAGAAGATTAATACAATCAAAAAGGTGAAAGAAAGCACATTGTCAAAGGTCAATAGAGAATTCCAGAACGTAGAAAATAGCTCGAAAACCGTTGAGGAAGAAGAGGTGTTTAATTTGGACATTGATATATATCCGAATGTACAAGAGTTATTGGCAGAGGGTGAACGGTTCAAAATCAAAAATATCGTCAGAGGACCCTATCATTCACTTTCTCAATATTTGAGCATTCAGATTGCTTTATTAAGGGAAGATTTTATACAACCATTCAGAGAAGGCATTCAAATGTTCTTGAGCGATGTCGAAACCAAGAAAAATTCGAAACAAAAACGACCAATGATCTCTGTCTTTACAGACGTAACAGTGGACAAAGTAGTAGTCACTCAAGTCCAAAGAGAGTTAGTTTTCACCCTTAAATTTCAATATCCGTGGAGAAAGTTGAATTGGGATTGTACCAAAAAGTTAACTTTTGGTTCTTTACTGTGCTTGTTTCCTCAGAAAGAGTCTGGAAAGAAAGCATATCCAGAATTTGTTGAGGATCCAATATTTGTCACAGTGGTAGATAGAAAAAATGCATCGTCAGGAGAGCTTTCTGTCACTTTTTGCAGAAATGAAGATGTCAAGAGAATGACATGGGAAAAGCCTTATATTATGTTTGAGTCTCCCGTTTATTTCAATAGCGTGAAACCTGTAATAGATTCTCTTATTCGAATTGGACAAGAATGCTTGATCGATCCATCAAAGTTTGCTTTCTATGAAGAATTGATTCAACTCAACCCTCAAAAACCACCCAAGTACATCCTCAATAATTCGATCATTTCATTATCATCCCTAATGAAAAATAATTCTAAAATGGAAAAACAATTGGATGTTCTCACCAGCTGGATAGAGAATGATGAAACATTTCTTGACCCTTCTCAATCTCTTGCTATTAAGCATGCACTTGAAAATAGAATTAGTATTATTCAAGGCCCTCCAGGAACAGGAAAGGTAAGTCATATAAGTTCAATATATTTATCATTCATTCAATCCAATAATTCACATCACTTTAGACATTCACTGGAACTGTGTTGACAAATTTATTGTCTACACATCCGAGTTTAAAAAACAAGCCAATTGTTTGCATTACATATACCAATCATGCGTTAGATCAATTTCTTGAAGTTCTTATTGATAAGTTTCCAAACCTTGTAAGAATTGGATCCAGAAGCAAGAGCGAAAATGATTTACTTCTAAAAAGGAATATAAGTTCTTTAAGACGCCAATATGTAGGCTATTCATATGAGAAACAACAGTGTTTGGAGATCGAACAGAAAATGAAAAAGATCACTGCGAAATTGGCCTCTATTAGATATTCCATGCAGCACCAAATTGAGCTGATATACAATCTATGTGTGAAATATTGCCAAGCATTTATAAGAAAAATTAGAAGCCAATTTCCATCTCAATATTACATGTCGAGAGATTTACAAAACAAAACAACACAGTCAATGTTTGAAGACTGGTATTTTGGACGGGATATTGAACGTGCAACATACTTCAAACAGAACAGCAGGCGCAAACAACTCACTCGCACTGAAAATACCTTTGATGTACTGAGAGAAATGGACAGCGATAGCCATACTGATGAGATATCTGCTGAAGATCAATCCGAAGTTCTTCCAGATCAAAATACAGTTAAACAAAACCCTCAGGATATAGAACAGGACGATGATTCCTCTGTACATGAAAACGAAGACCTCGAGCAGGAAATAGAAGCAGAGACATTAGAAGAAGAACTTAATGAAATGATTGAATATGAAGTGTGGAAAGAAATTGTTGAGTCTTCTTCGACAGTGAAAACTCACCACTATGCAATGGAATCAACAAGTGATTTCATCCAAGAGATAACTCTTCTTGAAGAATATTTTTCAATCTTTCCAAATATTTATGAAATCAAAGTGAAATATCGAACCAAGGCATTTAAGCAATTGCTGTCGTTTGTGGAGAAAAGGCTGAAAGATAACTTTTTGCGTCTAGTTGACAAAAGATCCAAGCTTGAATCAAAGCTTCAAGAACAAAGAACAGAATTAGATTTTTTGATTTTAGAAAGGAATCGTGCAAACTTGATTGGACTTACCTCAACTGCTGCATCCATGCACAGACAATTGTTAACACGATTGAAAGCACCTGTTTACATCATTGAAGAGGCAGCTGAGTTATTAGAAAGTCAAATTTCTTCAATTTTGCATCCACACATTGAGCATTTAATTTTAATTGGAGATGAAAAACAATTGAGACCGAAGGTCAACTCTTATCATTTGGAAAGAAATTGCAATTTTTCCATCAGTTTATTTGAAAGACTTATCATGAATGGACTCAATCATCAAGCCCTAACAATACAACAGCGTATGCGACCAGAAATTCGAAAATTAGTGGATCCATTTTACACTAAGCTCACCGATCATGAAAAGGTAACAAGATATGAAAATGTGAACGGTGTTGGCCTGAATGTCTGCTTTGTTCAACATGATCATGAAGAATCTCAGTCTGAAGATATTCAATCAAAAACAAATGAGTTTGAGGCAGAATTTATATGCAAGATGACCAAGTACATTATCAATGTTAACCAATATGGACCTTCTAACATCACCATCCTCACACCTTACAAAGGACAGCTATTACTAATCAAGTCCAAATTGAGACGCCTGCTTCCAGTTGAGAAAAGTCAAAAGATTCGAGTATCTACTGTAGATGATTTTCAAGGGGAAGAAAATGATGTTACATTACTTTCTTTAGTGAGATCGAATAACAACAACAGTCTTGGATTTGTTTCTATACGAAATAGAATTATTGTCGCTTTGAGTAGAGCGAGAAAAGGTCTCTACATTCTTGGAAATCAAGATTTACTGTCCAACAATAGCGACTGGTTTAATATTTTACAAAGGTTACAAGAATTCAAAATGGTTCACGATCATTTACCATTATTCTGTCCACAACACCCACACAAGAAAGAATGTATTCGCAAGCCAAGCGATTTTGATGGAGTGATTTGGGGAGGATGTAGAGATCCATGTTCTTACACCTTTGCTTGCGGACATGTGTGTCCTTTAACCTGTCACCACCCTGCACTCCACCAAGATGTTAAATGCGAGAAAATTTGTAATTCCAAAATTCAAACTTGTGGACACAGATGCAAGGCAAAGTGTCACCATCCACAAACATGCCCCAAATGTGAAACCAAAATAGAACACGCTTACCAGGATTGTGGACACATTGCCCAAATTCCATGCCATTCTCAGCTCAATCCAAGACCATGTCCGCACATTTGTGGAAAATTTTTAAAGTGTGGCCATTCATGTAAGGTAGGTAGTAGTATTGGGTGAATTTTTTTGAAATCTTTGACATTCTCTTCGATCAGAATCAATGTGGAATTTGCAAGATTCAAGGTGGCTGTTCTAATCACTGTGAGGAAAACATGGAAGGCTTTTGTGAATCATGTCAGAAGAATTACAAAAGAAAATGTTCTTCTCCTGATATGTGTACCAATAAGTGTCCTTCTATATTGGGTTGTGGACATCAATGTTCTGGTACTTGTGGAGATTGTGCAATACAGGGAAAGCACCAAGACTGTGCCTTTGAGTGTAGCAAATATTTAATATGTGGACACAAATGCGTCAAGAAACACAAATGTCACTTGCCATGCTCAAAATGTGAACAAAATTGCGAAGTGATATGCTTCCATGGACGAAATTGCACACTCAAATGTTTCGATCGGTGTATAAAATGTAAAGAACCATGCCCAATCAAGTGTCCTCATCGAGCATGTACGAACTTGTGTCATGAAAGATGCAATGTTGATCCGTGCAATGAACCTTGCTCAAAAGTTTGTCCAAAATGCAATCAAAAATGTGTTGGACTTTGTGGAGAGCCGTGTCCACCATGTATGTTCTGCGAGCAGAAAGAAGGAATATGTGACTGGCAATGCTCTATTTCATTTCAAAAATTTGAGGATATGGACTTGTCAACTGACAGGGTTTATTATTTACCAGAGTGTGGTCATAAATTCCTCTTAGAATCTATGGATCAGTACATACAATCTCAAACTGAGGATTTGGACGGCGAGGGATTTTATGTGAAATATATTTCTTGTCCCAATTGCAAAACTGCTATTTTCACAGCGCCTAGATATCAGAGACAAATTAAATCATGTCTTGAAAGAATGGACAATTTGAAACACAAACTGTTGGAGAAAGAACGTGAAGAGGAAGCAAACAGACTTAGTGCCATTCGAGTTATCTCAGAGACTGTCAATTACGCTCAAGGTAAGCATCAACATGTATTTCTGACATCTGACCCATTCACATGTTTTCAAATTCTAACTCACCACATGAATATACACATTTCCTCTTGCAACTTTGTAACTGTTTAGGTCATTGGTTTGCTTGTAAGAATGGACATCCGTATTTCATTGGCGAATGTGGAGGAGCAATGCAAGAAGGCACGTGTGTGGATTGTGGAGCTCCTATTGGTGGAAGGAATCATCAAGTCACAGAAGGAAATTCATTGGCTACCGAGATAGACGGAGCTACTGCTCCTGCTTGGCCAACAGCTTTACACCGCTAAGTATTGGGGATCTTTTGATGTCCCAAGATTATTAAATTTCACAATTCAAAACAATGTCAATGACTCTGTTATTGCGCAGATCTTTATAGCAAACTCAGGTTCAATTAATTCCTGGTGTGAATTATTGTGACATGAGCACGGCGAGTTTCCAACTATTGATCGATTTGGAGAGGAGAGAGAAATTTGGGGTTCTATGTTATGAACAACAGAAAAATGGCAGTTATATGTAAATGTTCGGGGAATAGTAACGAGCTCCATATTAGTCAAGACTTTTGACAGTCATTGTTGTGGTCATTCGATCAGATGAAATCCAACTAATGTACACTACAAAAGAAAATGATCCATCTTCTTGACACATTTCCTGCGGACGCAATGATCGCTCATGAAACCATTCAATCCATCATGACTCGCATGGAAACCTCCAACACCAATCAACCCATTCGCAACGTTCTTCAATTATCCCATCAACATCATGTCTTGTTAATCTTTCGAAGATTTGTGTCTTTTGGTGGATGTTCGTTTTGTAACAGACGCACGATGGAGCTTCTTGAATTTTATCGTTCTTTGACTCAGTTGAATATTTTACCTGTGGTGGTCTATCCTGAATCGAAAGAGAAGGGAGAGAAGTTCTTTAATGGTGTAAGTATAGTGGTGATGACTGTGGTGATGGTTATGGTGGTTCATACATTGGTTCCAATCATTCCTACACTCTCACCATGTGATCCTCATTTCTTGCATGATGCATTTCATATATACATTCCTCGAGTAGTTAGATGTTCCTGAGCTGGTTCAAATTCCTCGAGTGGCTGATCCAGACAGTGAATTTACCTCTGCTTTTCAAGTCAACACCAGTCCCTACTCCAAGAAGGATTATCTCACCTATCTGTTGCCTCAATTACTACTCGCAAAGAAGGATGGTTTTTCTCAGAGGGAATTACTTCTTCAACGATCGCACTATGAAGGTAAAAGTTTGGACATTCGACCTACCTTGTTTTTATTGAGAGAAGGAAGAGTGGTGTTTGAATGGAGATTGAATTATGCCGATCATTGTACAGAAATTATTCATGATCTCATCTTGTTGATCAAAGTGAATAATGGAGTGAGTGAAAGGATTTTGAGAGAAGAGGAGGAGGAGGAACATGAGAAGTCGTCATCCTCCTCTCTCACAAACTCGATGACACCACAACAGTACTCTCAACGATCGTCATCATCTCAACAAGACTTGATTGAAGTCCGTGTCCAAGAAAGACCAGCCATGAATGAATCTTCAATAGAGAGTAGAGAAGAAACACCTCAAACGACATTCAATGAGGGGGTTGTGGTCATTCCCAATCCCAATGTGGACATTTCACAACATAAAGAGACTCCAGAAAGCATGGGTGGTTCTTCTGCTCCAGAGGTTGAGCTGAATCCTTCCACTCCAGAAGAATTGTCTTCTCAAATCCTGGATGAAAGTTTACAAAATGATTCTCCACACATAACAACTGAACAAGCCATAATTCCTTCTTCCATGATCGATCCATCCCCATTCGTGCATAGTGAATTCATTGCCATCACTAAGGACGTTCCCAAGTATCGAAGAATTCCATCCTCTCCTCTCGTTCAAGTCATTTCTTCAGAAATGAAAGAACAAGAACAATCTGAAAGAACAAAACGAGCCAAACGAATATTGGAACGACAAAGACGACATGAGGTTTCAACTAGTTCGAATGAAAGATCAAGAACAATTCGAATTTCATGTATTTGTTCCTTTGATTCGGTGGAGATGGACGCCTCCATTGACTTGAGAAGTGTGTTGAATGATTCCAAAAAGAGAAGGTATTTCAAATTGTTTTCACACTATGAATACAATGCAGAGAACTTGTTGTTTTGGGAGGAAGTTCACGTCTATTACAAACCCAATGCTTACATTTCCAAATATGGAAAGGCCAAGAAGCTTGCACATTCCATTGGTCAACAATTTCTCTTCGATTCTTCCTCCGTCCTATTCATCAACACCAACGACAAATTGCGAGAAGAAGTGAGAACTCAAATGAAGCGTTTATTTAAATACCACAACACTCATGAAGTGAAACATTTATCCTCGGAAGAACAAGTCCAATTCAATGCACTCGCTCCCTTACTCTTTGACAGTATTCTCAATGAAATGATGACCCAAGTCTTGCCCGACATGTTTGTTCGTTTCAAAGTGAGTCCATTATTCAACGAAATGGAACATAAAACCAATCTTTCCAAATAAACTGTTGTTGTTATTGATTCTTATAATATCAACTCAACCTGATTCCTAAGAGATCTCTAATGAGATTTTCATTTCCTATACTCAAACTCCTTCAATCTTTACAAAATTAAAATGATCCATTGGAGGCCTCCAAACTCGCAAGATTATGCATGAGTTAAACTGTGGTGTGTCACTCTTAATTTCGTCATGTCAAATCTCTCTAAACACATGATCCTCTTACAATGAACTTTTTAATATTAAAAAAATGGGTCAACCATCTTCCACGGGCTCCGTCCGTTCCAACAACAACCACCACACGACGACCGATACGAGTCAGCCTGGTGGTGGTCTTGGAACCATACTTGGGGCATCCTCTCTTCCGAATATTCATGCAACCTCTCAGCATAACCCTGCGATGGGAACAATGACCCCAAACTCACCAAATGTTTCCTTTAATAATAATAATAATAATAACAACATGAATACTGGTGGAAATAATCCCACTCCGATCGTTGTGGCTCCTCCTCCAACCGATCCACTGCTCATCTCTCTCAATGAGCTCGCTCAAATTCTTGTTCAATTCAATGAAGATCCTCTTATCTATTTATTGGATGAAATTTCTCGTCATTATCGAGAATTACAGTTTGGTAATTTAAAGAAATATTTAAACGTGCCAAAATATGCAAGTGATTGGTTAGAGGGAGGAGGTGATCGAGGAGGTGGAGGTTTGTTTGGTGGTGGGTCATTTGGTGGATCAGGATTGGATGACGAGGATGACGATGATCTCGGAGTGAAGTACAACACAAATTCTGCATACACTGTGTGGTTGACAGCTTTGAAAGATCGCCAAATTCCAAGATTTATCAAAAAATTGGAAAAGTTTAAAGATTATTCTGGAAGAAAACCAAACATTTCATTTAATGTGCAAATGTCAACGTCATCCACACAAAATAGTTTGAGAAGAGCTTCCTCGTTTGTTGGAGCTCAAGCAAATCAAAGGCCTAGTTATGTGGTTGACTTGGATAGTAAACAGAGATACTATGAAGTGAGAAATGAAATGATGATAATTTTAACACATGTCTTGGAAGAAATCAAAGATTTGAGGGAATGTATTGAGCAAAAGAGAAAAAGCGAAGCAACACTTGGAGCCAATTCTACCATTTCCGATAGTATTAACGTAACTCCGCTTTTTAATGATTTTGATTTTGAAAAACAGTGGTGGGAACAAAAAATTGGAGTCCAAAATTTCAGTGTGAGGAAGAAGGGATTTATTGATGCTGTTGAGGTAGGTTTAGAGACAATTCAATACTATTTGTTTAGCAAATGCTTATTGCACGTGACTTGGTGTCACTCTTAAATAACACATAACAATGTAAATAATAGGAAACCTTTGCTCACCTTAAAACAAAATGGGATATTGATTTACTAGAGGAAATAGCTGACCCAACATGTGATGGAGTGGTGAGTGTGACCGATCTTAAGAACGTGGTGCGTTGGTTAGGAAGCATTTTCAGATGGCAAAGTGATGAACTCAAACTTCGTAGTATTGCTGCAAGAGAGGAATATGCTCCTCTAAATTTCCTCCCTCACTTTTGGGGATCTCTAACAGGACTGGTATGTGGTAGTGTTTAACTTGTATATTTTTTTACATTCGACAAATACCCCTATTGCGTGAATCTTTTTTTGTCGCCACAGGACGCACAAGATTTACTTCGAAATGAAGAACCAGGCACCTATCTCATAAGGTTCAACGAATGTGAGCCTGGTACTTTGTGTCTTTCAAGTGTCCAGGAAGAAGTTGGAAGTACTGAAGAAAATGGCCATGGATTCTTCTCCTCTCGTCAAGTTTATCATTTTGTGTTGAGAAGAACAAAGACAGACAAAGAGGGAGCTTGTTATTATCTAAGTGAGGCAGACAAAGCAGGAAAATTCAAAACCGTCACCGAACTGATTGATAAGTGTTACTTCCTTACATTTAAATATCCCTATGTCAATGATGAACTGAAAAGTACATCTATTACCAAGAAGCGGGAAGTAGATGTGTTAAGTGCTCTCAGATTTTATTCTTCAGAGCATGATGATAGTACTCCTTATCCATTTGTAATTTTCAAGGGTAAATTTACCACTGCAAAGAAAGATTCAGATGTCAACAAACAAAAGACGCTCAGTATTTCAAGTAAGGCAAAAGCATTGGATCAAAGTTCTAGTTCTGGAAATTTAAATTCAAGCACAAATTCCTTATCGAGTTTGGCTCGTGCAGAAGGCAGCAGTGCAAGTATTCGACGAGTAGAAACAGGAAAAGAAGAAATTATTGACCTTGGAGAAGAATGATAAATTCTACACCATCATGAAAAAATCAAAACCACTTCAAGCCATCAATCAAGATAGGAATTTGTATTGACAGTCATGACATGAGGACTCTCATTACCGTTTGCCATTACATGCATCCAACCGAGTATGCTGTTGGATTAGCCCTTGTCAGATCGATGTCTGAAGAAGTCAGTACTTGCACATATCATTGAAATAGAAAATGTAGTCACAGACTGAAATGAAAGCAGACTCTTTTGAAAACTTTCGGAGACTGAAGTAAAGCAACCACAAAAGTTGGAACTGAAACTGGTTGCTCTTATTTCCGTAAAGGATCCAAAGAATTTATATAAATTGCTCAAGAAAAAACAGACATGAGATCCATGCAATCCTGCCAAAGGCTTTTCAAGAGAAAACTGATCTTGCATTTACTCGAACTCGTTTTTTGATCCGCAGCTTGATTTTTCTCTCTAATAAATTTCTCCCATGATTAAGGTGATGAGAGAAGACCATCCAGTGAAAGGATGAGCCCCTTGTCCATTTCCATTCAATGCATTATACTGCTCATAGATGGTTCTTGATTTTTTCCATTCATTGTGGAGGGTGTTACCAATATTTCGCCTCAATAAGGTGTAAACTTCGTGACATTTTTCAGAACGAGTTCTACACTTATTCAAAGCTCGAAGAGTTAAATAATTAATGTTAATCCAAATTGGGCCTCTCCAATAATTTTCCCTAGTTCCAAACATGGGATCTGTTCGACTCAAAGAAGACAAACCAAAAGGTGTCCACAAACGTTCTCGAATAATAGTGTTCAATACATGATCAAAGAGAGTAGGATTCTTTTCAAAATCCACAACATCCAACAAGAATGGGAATAAAGAAATGTATCCAATGTGAGGTGAGAATTCTGGTCGAGTCTCATTTCCAATTGGTTTTCCAGCATAATCACTAAACCATTGAATGTCCTTATTGAAATGATATTTCATGATATTTTCTCTCAATGTTTCAAGTCGTTGCACAAGAACTTGATCTTTCTTCTTGAATACCATTTCATGAATTCGATTCATTGTATCAGTCATCATATAAATCCAAGAATATAAATCTAAGTGTCTTTCATCGGTGCTGGGTTGAGTATTTCCTCTTGGATAGTCATCAAGTCCTGATGAGAGAGTATGTCCAGGTGTTCTTCCTCTCCATCGGAATGTATTGGGTATGGAACCAGCTTGTGTTGAGAGGTACCATTCATAATTCTTCTTCATGTTGGGGTAGACTTGTTTCAAGAAGGAAATCATACTCTCTCTTTCTGAAATGCTGTTGTTATTACTAAAAGCATTGCTTTCATGTAGGAAGGAGGGTTGTTGAGTGCCATGTAAATCCAATTCAACCATCGATTGACTCTTCTCATCATTCAATGAAGAAGAAGAAGAACCGTCACGAATAGGACCCAAATGCTGTTGCAACAACTCCAAAACACCCAAAAACAAAACAGGTGGATTTGCATGAGTATCGTGTTGAACTTGAAATTCTCTTGGAACACGAGTTCTTGCTTCCTCTCCCAATATTTGCTCTCTTGGGATCCAACCTGTACTTGGATCCATCACACGGAACCAATTCGTGATGATATCTTTGGAAATTTGTTTGTTCCATCTCTGAATGAGAAGAGAGTGGAATCCTTCATCCCATAAGAAACCACGTGGAAAGAAGGATCGACAAGGGCATGCTGTGAAGAGTGAGTAGGGTGGAATGGTACGAATTTCACCATTTCCATATTGATGATAGGAATTTCCATAGTAATATCCAATTCCACCAACAAGGTTGGATAAGGCATACATGGCCATTTCCTTTTCATCATTGTTGAAGTTCTTGTCTTTCAAATGAAAAGTTTCCTCGAATTTTGTTTCAAAACATCCTTTCAGCTTTTTGATATTTTCATCGAAATGTTCAAGATGATGAAGTGCATATTCCTTGATTTGATAATTTGAGAAAATGTCAGGATGTTGCTCATGAGAGAGGAAGACCACATTCAAATCGAATGGAGAGCGTACAATTTTCTGAATGACTAGAACGTTGCTGTCATCGTCAATGGTATTTGGTAAGGTTGCAATAGGAAACGGAGTGGTGTCCCATGGTGACGCTCCAACATTTTGTCCTTTCATTTGTTGCTCTTGGAATTTCTCTTGAATACTATTGATGGATGAAATCATTTGCTGAGAGAGCATTTGTTTGACATCTTGATGAATTTTCCAAACATCGCTTGGATTTTTCTTCACTCCATAAAAGTAAAAGTTGTTGTAGTCATCAACTGGGTTGCTCTCATTCGCAGTGACATGAATAGAAAACTCTCCAATATCTTGATTTTTTCCTCTAATAATGATTGGATTATTGGAGACGAGACCTTGTTTTTTAGATCCTTGAACACCAGAAATTCGAAGTGAAACATCTGGTTCATTTTCCAAAGAAATGTAAAAACAAACAGACATGATTGGCTTGTTTTTTAACTGTTTTAAATCCTTTCCCATAATTCTTACTGTCCAATCTCCTCCCTTTTCATTGGAATGATATTCTCCCTGTTGTTCTTTTGTATTGGAGTTTTCTTTGTTGTCGACATCTACTGGTATAAATGTCTTCTCTTCCACATGTTTCAATAATTTAGTATCTAATTGAATTAAATTTTCAAAATCTCTAATACTTTGCATGGCAAAATACTGTCCGTCATGTCTATTCCATCCATATCTCACATTATTAAAATCCATATTGCTATCATGTCTTAATTTTGAAATACCATCCACCGTATCTGCTCGGTGCCACATTAAGCCGGTGAGAATAGGCTGTGGACTTCTTGTTTTCATTCCAAATATGACTTGTGGTCGATAAGTTCCCCATTTCATGGTATGATTGTAGAATTGAGTTTGAAAAATCGGTTCCGAATATTTGCACTGTTGATCCGTGGTTATTGAATCGTCGGATTTTACTAAAGTACTCATTATGCCATGAGATGAAATAATAAATAATATAAATGATGCGATGAAAATGAGAGAAATTGATAATGATGACGATGATGGATGTGTGATGAAAGAAGGCATCTTTGTTCGAGTGATCATTTTTTTCTCTAAAAGTTGTAATGAATGTTTTATTCACAATTTACGGATGTGGCCAACGAATGAATCCATGAAATCCTTTCAATATGAACCTCGAAATAATTCTTAACGTAAACCAGTCATGACATTTCTCAGAAATTATTAAAATGGTTGGAATTATTAAAAATAATTTCTGCATGAAGATAAAACAGATATTGATGATGAACATCATAGTATCCACGGTTTATCTCCAAGTAAAAATTGAAAATCCACTAGTATGAATACTTTGATCCGCAGTCCGTGCTCTATCGATCATTTTCCTCTTTTCAAACTCCTCTGGAGTGGTCATACATTTCCGATACATTTCTAGCATGAATTGACATGCCAAAAATTCAGAATGAAGCCTTTTTTGAATATCATCCTCTTCTCGATTACTGATCGCCTCGTTGGAATTGAATTCCTGAAATTGTTGTACCTTTTCCAAGCATACCATTCCTTCTTGTCCCATTTCCGAACATGGATTGTTTGTGCTCCACCTACTGCTCGAAATTGCTGTCAAAGGAAGAGGATACATTTTTTAAAGGTGAACGAGCCCTTAAAAAATACCGCAAGATGAACATCAGAATTGACTCTTGCATGCTCCACAGCCTGGAAAGACGTTTGGAAAGAATTGAACAACAAGCGAATTACATTTCAGCTACCCTCAAACAATTAAACTCCAAACTTAATGAATATATACGAAATGAAAAGAACAGAAATTGTGAAGAAAAGGCACGGAAGCCATTAGATCATTCGCATCACTTGTTACAATCTTTACAACATCATTTATGTGACGCAATCACCTTTAGAGAAAATCCATCAGTTGAGAAAACTAACGATCCACCAGTTGAGAAAGATGAGAATACATTATCAACATTGAATCAACCAACTCCATCAAAACAAGAAAAAGAATACAAGCCAAAGAACAAACCTCGCAAAACAAGAAGGACCACACAAGCTAAAAAACAATCATCCACCGACAAAGGCAAGCCAAAAAGAAAAACAAAGCAAAAGAACAAACTTCACGATCATACTAATCATGGACAAAAAGGCAAGATACTATATTTGTATTATGATGATCAGTGCTATCAACAATTCGATAAGAAACGTGTAATGAATGTAAGAACAAGAAAGAAGCATCTCACCTTATACTGGATCCAAGACTGCTCTCCGCCCTTCAACATTATTAATTGTTGTGACTTAGAACTTTGAAGACAATGCTGGTAATCGATATCATTATTAACATATCATTATTAACATATCATATCCATCAACACTATATATACCTATTCATGACCTTTTTACAATAATTGACGACTCAACCTTACAAACCAACGAAAACCATATGCATTAACAGACCAAACACTGCTTTATTTTTGCCTTCTGTTTGAATCATGGACTCAACCCATGTTAACAGTTGCTCCAACACAAGCATGTAATCTGTTAATATTTGATATATCCTGTTAAAAACATTCGACATTCAGAAGTAGTATCTTTACGAAAATGAAGTCCAATGTTGTTTTATGACAAGTATTGAGGCACCGAAGGGCCAATAAACAATATTTAATTTTTTAAAGGTGAAGCTTTGTTTGTCCAAAGCAACACAACAATAATAGTGACACTACATTTCAACAACATATCGTTCACATATTTATTGTAGACAGAACAAATGCGTTCGATACTGCTGCTCATAAAGGGGAGAGTTGTGAGGCTTGTGAGTGACAAGCCAAACAACCACACGCACCTCTTTTCTCTTCAATCTCTAGTAATGGCCATGTAGCTAAAGAATGACTTGGTGAGAACAAAATTTTCAAGTGCGTTCACACAATCATCCCTTCGAGGGATTCGTTCGTTTGGTTCATTCGCAATTTCAAAATCCGTCGAGACATGAGAGCAAAGCAATGCTGAAAGGAAGACAAGAAAAACGCGAACCAACAGCCTTCCGCAACGATCATTGCTTCAGAGAGTATCACAGAAATCGAAGAAACTAGGAGGAGAAGCTCCAATACAGGCACACAGTGTCAGCCCACCAACACCACGACTCTCCTCTTTTTGGCTGATTGAAACGGTTGAGTACCGTTTAGACCTTGTTCAAGAGTTTCTTCTTCTCAGCAATGATTTCGGCTTGGTGTTTCTTTTGCTCCTTCATTGCCACTTGCATCTCAATCGAGTTGAGTTTCATTCTCATTGGATCTTGACCAGTCTTCAAAGAAGCATATCTCTTATTGAAGAGGAATCTCTTCTTGGATCTTCCAGTCTTATCCTTTCCAGTCTGCTTTTGAGGTTCGACCTTTGGAGTTTGATTTCTGACCTTTCCGGCACGTGCCAAGGATCCGTGTTGTTTGCCCATCTTGTTGTTTTAGTGAGTGTGTAGTTATTGCAATTTTTTTGTTGTTTAAAAATATCAACTCAACCGGTGAGGTTTTATTTACAATGTGTGGTTTGTGCGCATTTTGATTTTGAAAGGGCATTGTGGAAAAGAATTCATTTCTTTCTGGCTCACCCTGAGAATGTTGAGAAGAGCCAGTTTTGTCCAATTACTCAAATGAATAATGATGTTGGGAAATGATAATGGACATTGATTTATTGGCGCAGGTTAGCGTATTGTGGTGATGAAATCGGCAGTGGAATGGAATAGTTGACAAGTCTTCTCGATTTGTTCACTCTTACAGTGATACTGAAGAAGCAGAAATAACAAAAATTTCGAGGGTAAAGAAAGAAATGTCGAAATTGCTAATATTAATATCAGCTACAAATCTCAAACAAAACGCGTGGATAATGAACTGCTGCGTGTCCACGGAAAATTACAGTTCTCTTTTGATGAAGAAGCACATTCGCCGAAATCTTCAGAGCCGAAATTTCTCGTTTTACAACTCAACAAGGAAATGTGCTCCACTTAGGAAAGTTCGCATTATCGGATGTGGTCCAGCCGGCCGCAACTCAGCTACAACCCCAAATAAATCAAACCTCATCTGCGACACTAATTCTCTCACAGAACAGAGCATTCGCGTTCTTACCACAACATGGTGTTTAAGGTACATCCTCACAAACAACAACACCACCACCACCATGTGTATTGCGAGACTAGTAAGCATTACACAGAAAAGAATCAACAGGATGAATTTGAAGTTGCCGCAGATGATGAAAAACTCTCAGACACACAAACGATGATGAACATACAGGGTCTACTTCATGTTGTTCCATATCATTGAGGTATTTCCTTGTTCTCACCATTTCAATACTCATCATTTTGTGTTCCATATCCAATTCATGAATGCTCAAGACAAAATTGTAACCTTTTTAGATGGATATATGGGAAAGCTCAAATTGATGGCTCAACTAGGAGCCCAGCAATATAATTCACCAATTGGAATTCATTCATTCACCAAAGATCTCTTTCGAACCTACATGTTTCATTTGACCAAACAATCGGGTGTATTTGTTGGCTACTTTATATATTCTCATCCCTATTCAGAAAGGTATGCAGTAACGGTGGTTTCAACAAATAATACACTCGTATATACCTATCAGGTAAGTTCTAGTCATTAGAAATGGTATCATTACGGAATTTACTCACACATGTGTGAATCATCAATATTATTTGAACAGAATAATCGATTTCCTGGCATCGTTCGAGATCAATTGGATTGGGACTCTGGTTCTGTAATCAAAGCGAATTATTCCATTGATCCAACACCTGCCAACTTGACCAAACAAGAATTTTACGTTTCTGGGTTGGCTATGACCAAAAGTCTTCATCATTGGAGCTCATATTGCACTGTCGTATATTACCTTACTCTACGATCCTATCCAACTTCAACAACAACCTTCGAAAAAGGTTCAAATTGGCATGTGTCGATGTACTGTGCCATTGTATTTGCTTTCCAACTTTTTGAGAGATGAAATTGAAATATTCTCCAAAGGTTATGTGATTATTATTTCACATCCAATTTGTAACAACCGGTTCTACTTCTTCGAATAACAGTGCTTCCTCCATGGTGCAAGTAATTGCTGGAAGTATTACAACCACAACTCCCGATGGTAAAAACACATTACCTCTCTTCAACCTGACAGAAAGGAATGCAGGTAAACTCATGCAAGATATTTACCATACCTATCATGTGGATTTCTTTGATTTACCTGAAAAATTTAAAATCTCAAGTTTAGGAGTGAATTACATTATCATGTTGAAGACATTTTCCTTTGAGAATATCAAGTACAAATTACTGGTTGTGGTCTATGAAGATGAAGTGAGCATGACCAGCTATATCAGTATTGGCGCATCATTAGGAGCAGCCATTCTTGTTGTCATTCTAGGCATTTGTTATGGAATTGTGTTAAGTCATGCCATTACATCACCCATTCAAGCATTGCAACGACATTTAGAGAGAATTAAGGTTCTGGATTTAGAACACCATACCGGAATGAATAATAAGAATAGTATTTTCAAAGAAATGAATGAAATGTGTGATCATTTAAAGGTGACCATTTCATGGCTCAAAGAAATTAAGTGTTTCATTCCAGATAACGTCTTTCATCAATTACGAATAAGAGCACACGATCGTTCATCAGCTTCATTAACTCTCGAACCAAATATGAGATCCAGTGCACAAATGAAACCTCAACTACGGGCATCACATGAACGAAAACATCAACACAAACAATCACTGGAGAATCATCAAGAACCAAATATGAATGACCAAAAACATGAAACTACATCCAATTCCAGCTTAACTTCAAGCACATTAGTCGAGGCATCTTCACTGTTCAAAATGGGGCTTTTTAAGAAGACATGTACGGTTATTTGCATTTGCTTGAACTGGGAAACATCCTGCCATTCAGACATTGAGTGTGAATTACCAAAAATAGTGAATACCATTCGATCCTTGTGTAAAGTTTTTCAAGCCGTTGTTCAAATATCTTCTGTGGAGGAAATTGTCATCATATTCGAGACAGATAAACAATCCAAAAGGAAAAAGAGTGCTTTAGCGGCTGTTGAATGTGCTTTAAAGATTATACGGACATGTTCTCGCAATCATCCCAAGCAACATGGCCACACTACTACATCTCATGAACAAATTACACTAGAAAGACCTTTTTCAATGGGAATTTCCACGAGTGATGAGTCCTATGTTGGAAATTTGGGATCTCACTCTTTTCGATTCTATTCCATTATTTCGCATGCCACTCTTATTGCAAAAGACTTAGCTTTTATTGCTCGCTCGATCAATGCAACTGCAATCATGGATGAGAAAACTTATTTGGAAACTAATAAGCAATTTGTATCAATACCAGTCGATAGGATGTGGATACCAAGTGGCGAAGACGCGACTACTTTTAACGTTTGTTCTGTTTATGAATTGTTAAGAGAAATGGAAGTCAAAGATGACGAGTGGTTATACGAATTGGAGCAAAAGGATGATATTTCTAAATTTCAACAATTGCACTCATTGTTTGACATTTTCCAAGAACAACAAGACAACAATCTTGAAGCCATGTTAATGAAAAATGTGTTATTCTTAAGAGATCACATCATGGCCTATCCATCCGATAGATCCTATGTTCGTCTGTTAAAGTTATTTGAATTTATTTTGAATTCCTCAGGAGTGGGAGAACAATCCACCGATACCAATAACATGGTGAAGAGTCTTGTTGACAAATATTACATTAGAATTCAAAGATCCATTCTTTGCTCTATTGAAAACTCGATCGTTTTTTCCAAGTAATCATTGTAAAGTAATATAATTCCAAAACGAGTGGATCAAACCGAGATAGACAACCTCATAGTTTCAAGATTATCTGACAACAACACCAAATGGAAAAGGGTTTAAGGGAATATCCCGCAGTGGAGCGAAAGAGCATCACAACCTTTGTTGAGCGGTTGCGGCTTATTGAGTTGTGTGCTTCCTTTTTTGATGGTTCCGAGAACATCTCAATTTAGAGTTTTTTTTAAGGTTGAACGCATGAACGAGACACACAGTTCTATACGTGGAGCTCGAGCGCGAGTTAGTTGATCACTTTTCACCAAAAATAAACCGTAAACCCTCGCACCTCCTAAAAAACAAAATTCCAAAGCCTCTTCTCTATTGTATATGATAACGCATTCCTATCAAGCCTTCCTCACACCGTACCGCGCATCTATCAAGCCTATTCATTCAAACAGAACGATTGAGAGAGAGAACCATGGTCAAAGTTCAACCTGTTCAGTCAGGTCATTTTGACAATGAAAATTCAACCTTGGAGTCCAACAAACAACTCAGCGAGTTCTTTTCCTTTCAATCCGAACGAGATTTGGACGATGATATCCTTATTGAGGGAAACAAAAAGAGTGGAAGGCCCTTCTTGCTGAGAGTGCTCCTTAGTGTCCGTCTCTTCCTCATTGTAGTCATTACGATTGTTGTCATATTGACAGCTCTCTCCATTTGGGTAACTGCCTTCACCGTGAATGAACAAACAGCATTGGAGCAAGTCAATGTTATCATTTCGAATATGAATGAAAAGATGTCAGGTTTTCTTCAAAGTCAATTGTTACCAGCAAAACAGGTGGCACAACTCCTCGCTGACGATTATCATAACTTTAAGATTGACCATGATCCTTCCATTCAAAAGTATTTGTTTTCAAAGGTTAAGTTGTTTGGGGTCACGAACACCAATCTATGCTTTGGAGATGGATCTAACAACCAAATGTTTGCATACAGTGTCAATGCTGACAATTCGATCGTGTGGGGTGCCAAACTTCAACAAAGTACTCGTTTTATTATTTCGAAAGCAAACAATGAGACTGGTGAAGTGTACTATGATCAAGTACTGACAAATGTTTCTTATGTCATCAGTAATGCGGACTATTATAAGGAATCTATTCGTATCACACAGGAGTATCCACATGGAGCTTTTGGTGCCCCTTACAAAGTTCTTGGAGGACCACAATCCACTTTTTTTTCCGTTCCAGTTTTCAATCGAACAGATTTGTTGAATGGAATCAAGAATCGAGTGGGTTTTGCAAAGATTAACATTTCTCTTGCAAATATTGCTCAATTCTTGAAAAACGTCAAAGTCTTAACAAAAGGTTATGTCATTATCTCAGAATTTGCCAATAACTTTGTGATTGGAAGTAACCTTGAAATTGAAGGTATTGACGCCAAACGTGTGAAAGCCACAGACATTACCACCCGAAATGCTGGCACTGTCATGAACAAGCTGTTACAACAAACTGGAGACTCTTTGGATCCGTTCATTCTCAACATTGAAAGTAATGGAATCAATTACTTGGTCTCATCTACACCTTTCGTTTACACCAATTTGAAATGGCGAATGACACTTGTTTTTGAAGAGAATGAAATCAAGAAGGGCATTATCATAAGTAGTTACGTCATTCTCGGAGTGACTTTAGGAGTGACCGGATTGGGCATCTTGATGAGCGTTGTGATAGGTTGGATGGTTACAAATCCATTCATCCATCTTCAGGAAGATTTTAAAAAGATTGAAGTGCTCGATTTGGCCAACATTAAAGAAAGAAGTGCGTTCTTTAGTGAAGAGAAAAGTATCTATTCAAGTTTGACCGAGACAGTGAGATGGTTGAGTGAATTTAGAGCCTTCTTGCCAGACTCTGTGTTAAATCAGCTTGAGAATAACAAGGAACAGAAAAATCAAGATTCTAGACCAGAATCAAGCAAGAAAGACGTCAAAGTTCAACTGACTCAAGAAATGTCATTTCAAAGTAAGGAGAATTCAAGCCAGGGAATGGACCATTCAAACAGTGGATCTCATCACCAGACCTCTGCCCACATGAAAACAGATTCCAAATCCTTTTTCAAGATTGGACTTTCATCAAAAGATCTGGTCACACTTGTCCACATTTCCATTCCAAATTTATCAGAAAAGAATTATCCATTCGATGCCTTGAACAATGTCACATCCAAATGTTTGACATCTGTTTCGAATATTTGTAAAACATGTCGTGCAGATGTACAAATTAAGAGTTATGACGAATATGTGGTTATATTTAATGACAAGTTTCCCTGCATAACAGCACTTGAAACTTGTTTGAAGTTGAAGATGGCATTAGAATCATTGAACAATCATCTCACAAAGGAAGGATTGAATCCATTGCAAGTGTGTATGGGAGTTTCAAGTGGAGAGTGTCTCATCGGTAATATTGGAAATAAGCACGTAAGTAATGGTGCATGATCATCTTTTTCATTGATTGCCGTCATCTCTATATAGATGAGATTTTTTGCACAAATTGGTGAAATTGTAAATACTGCGAAAAACTTGTGTGTTTTGGCCAACTTTGTAAATGTTCAAATCTTACTCGATACTCAAACATATCAGCTCACCAAGGATTCTTTTGTGTTTCGACCAGTTGAAAGAATTATGAGTTCATCCAAGAAAAGTATCGACACTGTATATCAACTCATTCAGAAAAACCATGTGGCAGAAGATGAATGGATGTATGAACTTGAAACCAAGCAACATCATGCTAAATTTGAACTATTTGGCACCCATTTCTTTAAATTATTTGATGACCCTCTTTTGGATAAAGAGGAGGCCAATCATGTGAAGAACTTCATGTCCAACATGTTTGAACTGTCTCCTGGAGATGTGGTGCTTCAAAGAATCAACAAATTGATTGAACTGAGCTCCACAAACAAAGGTGGTCAAATGAATCCCTTATCGAGTTATTATACAAATATTTCAACAAATGTCACAAGTTATGTCCAGGGAGAGGTCGCTCAGCTTGATTGTGGCTGTTGAATTAGATATTTTAAAGTTTTCATTGGCATTGTTGAAATAAAAACTTGTTCAGAAGCAACTTAATCTCTATTAAATTTCAGGTTAGCTTTTCAAGTAAAAACAATTTATAAAATATTTAGGAGCAGAGGGAATCGAACCCTCGTCTAAGGAACCACAATCCTTCATTCTACCATTGAACTATGCCCCTTACATCATATATGATTTTAATATTTAATCATCTATTTATTTTTGGAAATACAGAAGATTCACATCCTGTCGTCTAGCAATATGGTTAAGGAGGCACTCAACAAGAAAGCACTTCCAAGGACAACATTGGCATTCCTTGTTACATGGCCACTGGAGGAGGTGGCGTTCGCTGCGGCTTCAGTTTGATGGGGTTGCCCTACTCTTCCTCATCGGAATCATAGGTCGATCCGAATGCTAACTTTTTCGCTTGCTTGATTTGTGAAGGAGTTTCTGGAGCTCGACCTCTGGCAGGCTTTCCGCAAGAGTGAGCATGTGACACCCGTTCCAAAGCTTGTTGTGCATTCAATCGATACAAGTGACTCAGCAAGACACACGACACGGTGGATGTTCTGCCATGACCTCCCCAACAATGCAATAAGAGTTTCTTCTTTGGATTCAAGACCCGAGGAATCAATTCTTGTTGAACAAAGTACGGAAGTAATGAAACGATCGGGAAAGGGCAAATGAAGATATTCAATTTGTTCAAAAGGGGGAATGGTTGATGTTGAGGAGAGAGAATTTCTCTCTTGTGCACGGTCATGAAGCTCTGGAAGACAATTCTCGCTTGTTGTTGAAGAAGACTTCAGTCTTTGGTCCTCGACCATTTCTAACGATGAACGCTTTTTTTTAAATGAACTCGAGAACTTGTGAATATGTATTGATCAAAAAAATCCATTTTATAACTTTTATCAAGGTTACTAACGTTTCTGACTCCTGACCATTTCAAAATTGACATGTTTAGGAGCATTAAGGTCATGATGGAATCCACAAATTCAGAGTTGTGAAATCGCTTGAGGAGCATTAAGGTTTTGGCTTGCTCACATTTGTTCCTGTAGAAGAGTTTTCAAAGTGCAACAGTGTTTCGTAAGGCATCAATTGAGCTTCTCTTCGAACTCTCTTTCTCACCTGATGTTTGACTTGAACGAATTGAATGTTCCTTTTTGTTGATTCTGAAGAGATCTCTTCTTGATTCTTTTCATGAATGTTTTTCTTGTGATGTGCAGGAAGGTTCTTCTTTAGGGATGTTGGATTGGAATGCAATTTCTTTGGAATCTCTCTAAGCGGAATTAGCTTTGAGGAATCCAAGGTTTTGAGATTATTGTTGGTTACTTGATCCTCTTTATGTTGATGATGTTCTGATGAATTGACGACCGAACTGCCCTCACCAAGATGTTGCGTTGTTGAATTCATTCTTCTCAAGAGAGATTCGCTGGCATGGCTTACATCTAAGGGAAACTTATTTTGGTATTCTTCCGTAATTGTGGTTGTTTTCCTTATTGAGAGAGGATGTTGTGTCAAAGAGCAATCAAGGAGAGAAGATTGATCGACGGGTGTAATTTCTTGTGAATCCAACGATGATTTATCGTTTGAATGATGAATGGGAAAGTGAGAAGTAAGAATGATAGCAACCACCATTTGAGAGGTGTTCGCTGCTGCACCATTGAAGGTAGAAGTAGTGGTGATGGTGGTTATGGTTGTTGCATGACAATAGGTGGCATTATTGTTTGTTGGCAATGTAAGAAAAGCTTGTTGTTTCATTGTGGAGGATGGTTTGGTCTTCAGTGGTAGTTGTTGTTTTTTGTCCATCACATGTGGTTTTTAAAACATGAGATAAAGCTCAATGGAGAATAGAGATTTATATATACATTTCTTTCTGTTGGCACAATATATTGATCATGCGAACGAGCATTCATTGAACGCATTGAAGACGGATAAAACCAAAATTATACAAAAACATTAATTAAGCAACTCCTTTATTGAAATTGAATAACGTGGTGTTCTTTTTCTTGTGGCGGTGGTGGTCGTGGTTGTGGCCACGGGTGGATTCGATCCATGCGAGAATGTTTCATGAGTATTCGCCTCTCTTCTCAATAATGGTTGTTCTTGTTGTCCACTTGGCAAGAGTGCACTTTCGTTGGGAGTTGTGTTGGTTGTCGTATTTGATCCATCCTTATTTTGAATCGAATTCCTTGTGTTGGGTGAAAGAATGGAAGATCTTGAGGTTGGAGAATTCTTCTTATTGGCTGTCGTTGTTTGCATTTGAATGACATGTTCGTAGGGTTGTACTTGATCAACTCTTCTCACTTTCTTGGCAATCTTTCGTTTGTTGTAATCAAAAAACTTTAAAGGTCTCTTTTCAGAGGGTGATAATGAGTTGCAATTTGGAGAGTTTGGAGACAGAGTGGTTTGAGAGGAGGAGTTGGCCACTGGTGAATGAATAGGAGGACCAAAAGGAGGACAAGAAGGAGACCCTCCATTATGTGAGATTTTGATCTCAGAGCTGGGGAGTTGTTGGTTGTTCATCACCACGACTACTGGTGGTGATGATGATGATGATGGCACAAACAATGAAAGTCCATAATAGCTTTCAGAAGAATGATTGAATGTACATGATGGTGGTGGAGGACAAGATACACTTTGGAAGGACAAGGTGATCTTTCTAGAAGAGACTTCCACGTGCGAGTGGTTGTGGTGATTCAAAGATCTTTCAAGGGCGATGTCATTGTATTGGTAGTGTCTTATCTCTCTTTTATGCTCTGATGAATGTGATGAACAAGTTGTAGGAGGAGTTTGATTAGAAACGGAAGAGAGTGATTCCTGTCTGTCGAGGTTACCTGATTTTGCTTCCCAACACGGATGATCATAATGATCATGTTGACAATATTCATAGGAGGAGCATTTGGTGATCGTCACATCCCGAGGAGTTGGATTTGCGCTCCTTTGGCGAGAATCATGCAGAAACAACAACGAGGACGACATCTTTGAGGGAGATTTTGAGTTTTTTTCTTGGACTGGTCATGAGTTGGAGATTTTGGGTTCGGTTAAATTTGAGAACAATTTGAGATCGAGGTTGAAGCCATAATTATTAGATTTTTTATCAAAAGAGTCAATTGTCACCAAAAAGTCCAAAGAGTAAATCACTCTCTCAGCAACGCATTTGGACATGATTCAAATAGGATAAACAACGCTTGCACGTAAGACTCCAAGTTAGTCGCTTTGTTCAACGTGTGGATTTAAATAAAGTTGAGACTAGGTTTTCGAACGCAAGTTGCTCGAAAGGTTGTTGTTTTTCGATGTTAAGTTAAAATGAGAAAGGTACACTTGGTTGGAAAAAAACCTTTCAGGTGCTGAATGAATTAATGTTGGAAGTTTGCACAATTGCGATTGAGGTTGTACCTTGATGATTTGTTCTTTTGGACTCTTATACAAGGAGAGAATATCTGTGAGCGAGGGTAATTCAGTGGCACTTTGTGGGACCAGTGCTACAGATTCATGATTGATCTTTTCTCGTCGTGCTTGATTTGTATTGAGGTAAGTGGTCATTTCGTTGATCTTTTGAAGTGAGCCAAGATTGACGTTGGTTTGTTGTTCATACCGTTTGGGTAGAGAACATGTGGCTGGAGGATGAGTCTGTGGTCTTTGTAATGTACTTGTCAGCTTAAGAGTTCCACATGAAAGAAACCTTGCTTCCTATTGGCAGTTGGGGAACGTGACCTTTCGCCAAACATCTGACCTTAACAACAATGAACTCATCCCTCTCATTTATTTAAGGCCAGAGTAAAACCAAAATTATACAAAAACATTAATTAAGCAACTCCTTTATTGAAATTGAATATCGTGGTGTTCTTTTTCTTGTGGCGGTGGTGGTTGTGTTGGTGGAATTCGAACCATGAATGGATAGTTGATCAGCTTGCACCTCTCTTCTCAATGTTTGTTCTTGTGCACAATGTGTCCGTGTCGAGTTGGTTTCACAAGTCAGCATTGTCGTTTGTGGTATATCCTTATTTTGAATCGAAATCCTTGTGTTGGGTGAAAGAATGGAAGATCTTGAGGTTGGAGAATTCTTCTTATTGGTTGTCGTTGTTTGCATTTGAATGACATGTTCGTAGGGTTGTACTTGATCAACTCTTCTCACTTTCTTGGCAATCTTTCGTTTGTTGTAATCAAAAAACTTTAAAGGTCTCTTTTCAGAGGGTGATAATGAGTTGCAATTTGGAGAGTTTGGAGACAGAGTGGTTTGAGAGGAGGAGTTGGCCACTGGTGAATGAATAGGAGGAGATAATCGCTGTGAGATGACGACCTGGTAGCTGGAATGTTGTTGTTTGTAGTCCACCAATGGTGGTGGTGATGATGACGGCACATACAACGAAAGGCCATAATGCTCAGAACAATCTGAAAATTTGCATTGTGGATCCAATGAACCATGAAAGGAGAATGTGATATTTCTGTAAGAGAACTCTTGCGACGATGAACAGGTAGGAGAAAGGTTTGGAACGGAAGAGAGTGGTTTCTTCTCGCCCTGGTGATTGCCAGAGGTTGTTACCTTGAGCGGTTGATCATGATGGCCTTGTTGAGAGGAGTATTTGGCGATCGTCATATCACGACCAGAACCACGACACAACATTTTATTTTTTTTATTTTCTCTTTTTTGGACATTTTGGGATAGGTAAAATATGAGATATCGAGAGATTGTCCACGAGATTGAAGCTGATTGGACTTTTAAAAAGAAGTCAATAATCACCAAAAAGACCAACAAGCGGAAAAATCACTCAGCAAACATTGGAATGATTGGATTAAATCCAGCTTTAGAAGGGAAATTACTCGTTCTTTATAGGATGAGAAATTTCTAAATAAAGGCGAGATAAATCTCAGTTTAATAATTCTCTTATTGAGATTGATGATCGAGGGATGCGGTTTCCCTTTGAAGAAGATGCAACACAGGTCATTGTTGCGACAGCACAACAGCAACTCTCAGACAAGCTCTCTGTGTTGGATGATGAAGATATTACATTGGAATCTGTGGATTTGTTATCACTCAACAAGATGTTATTCGGATGAAGAGTTTGGACATTGGATGTTTGTAATTGCAAGATGTTTTCATAAGGTTGCACTTGATCACATCGTTTCGTTCTCTTCTTCAGGGATTTGTTGTGGTAATCAAAGAATTTGAAGTTTTTTGCCTTCTTGTCTGTATTCAAGGATTGGTGTTCCATTGGGGTGACGGTTCGTTTCATATTTCCTTGAGAGGTTGCATGTCGAGTCATCTTGTGAGGCTTTCGAATCCCATAGTGTGAGTTGCTCGTAAGGTCGTTGTTGTTGTTTTTTGTTGTAACAACACAATGTTTAGGACACACTTGGTTGGAAAAAAACCTTTGAGGTTGTACCTTGATGATTTGTTCTTTTGGACTCTTATACAAGGAGAGAATATCTGTGAGCGAGGGTAATTCAGTGGCACTTTGTGGGACCAGTGCTACAGATTCATGATTGATCTTTTCTCGTCGTGCTTGATTTGTATTGAGGTAAGTGGTCATTTCGTTGATCTTTTGAAGTGAGCCAAGATTGACGTTGGTTTGTTGTTCATACCGTTTGGGTAGAGAACATGTGGCTGGAGGATGAGTCTGTGGTCTTTGTAATGTACTTGTCAGCTTAAGAGTTCCACATGAGGGAATCGTTGACTGTTGGGGAATGTGAGAACATCTGAGATCCGTTCTGGAGAGGTAATCATTGGTCAATAATGATCCAGGAGTTGTCTTTTCATATGGGAAATTGATTCGATCATGTATGACTTGTAATGCAGAGAAAGACATCCGAGAAGGTGTCGAGAGTGGAGATGTTTTTTGTAGGTTGGTGATTGCTCAATTATGTAAAATATGCTCTCATTTATCGTGTTGATTGTCCTACTTTGTTAATTTTAATTTTTGGAATTTTGGGGAATCTTGCGCATGTGCAATATGCGGTCGTGGAGTAATGATATTTAGCTTTTTTGGATCAAAGCTGCGCTTTCGAGGTCGTTTAGTTTTCTACATTTTGGTTCGAGTTGAACCGACGCGGACGAGCAACTTTACACTTTTAATTTATCATCTGTGATTACCTTTTTGAAGAAAATTTTGAAATTTGGAAAATAAGCTGAAAAAGAAAATAGTATAGGGACTATTTGGAAATTGAAATAAATGGGTTGGAGTCATATAAAAGAGGGTCCGTTGCACTTGAGGAAGTGATGCATGCACATCGTTTCGAATATTCATAATGTGCAATAGGATTTATCTCCGATATGCGTTGTAACGTTGTACATGTTTCGTGACGTCAGTCTGAATTACGAAACGCAAAAGTTGAAACACTAATTTGGACGAAGGAAACATCCAAATTCCATGATCGTAATTTTATAGACAAAACTAGAGAATTATCAAACTACGAAAAGAGAAGAACAATAGATTTGTGAATTCCTATTATGAAATTGCCAAATTTCTCTAAAGAGCTTTGTCGTTACAGTTGTATAAAATGTTTTATCATCCTTGGCACGAAATGCTGCATTCACTTATTCTCAATTCTTGTTGTTTGATGAAGTTCAACAAAAAAAATGCCCAAAAATAATAATATTCGCAATAGTCATTCTTCTTCCACCATCGGAACAACAACAAGTTCGAAGAAATCGGAAAGCTCGAAAACCACATTCTCATCAGGAGGAGTGGAGGGGATCAAGAAAAAGCGAGTCAATGCTCAGACTCAATTGGTAAACTCCATCCGAAAGAAGAAGATGGAAAAGGCTTTACAACACGAATATGAATTGGAAAAATTACATAAAGAGGAAGAACGAAACGATTTTCTGAGCAAAATTAATGATGAAAATGCTGTTTCAACAGTGGAAGGACAGTTTGATATGATGAGAGGATTATTGAAAAAAACAAACAAACGATCGGGTTTGGATATGTTTGATGATGACGATGATGCACAGGAGGAGAATCATTCTTCGACCATTCCGAGTGTCTCAAAAAAAGACGATCAGGACATTGATGAAGAGAGACTTGTGAAAACAAGTGAGCAACAGTACTCGATTTTGGAGAAGGTTCTTTCTAAAAAGCAAAAGAGTGACGAGTTCAAAAAAAAGTATGAAAGCAAGATTGTCAATACCACAAATGACAACACTGCACAGCAGCAATATATCAACAAACATCAACCTGTAGCAGCAATCTCTACACCCGCATCATCTCCTCATCAAGCCACCTCACAAACACAACAACAAGCATTTACAGGTGATAATGAGATGCCCTTCATTAAGGCACCCATTACTAAAACCATTTGTCTACATTGCGAGAGAGAAAAGACTCCAAAGGGAATGATGATTAAATATATTGTCATCATTAATGAGAAAGATGAAGTCGTTTATCATTGCCTTTCTGAGGAAGTGAAGAACTTGCTAAACTCTGGTGAAGATCCTGCCGATACAACCAGTCAATTGAGTGGTCTCGGAGAAGTGACATACTCCCTCATGACCATTCGTGATCATGTGAGCAAAATATTAAGAAAGACCTTTGTAATAGTGGGACATACCATTTTCCATAACTTGATTGGAATTTTTGGACCAAGAAATGTTCATGAATTCAAGTCAAAGCTTCGAGATGTTGGTGTTGTGGATCCAAACACTGAACAGAAATATGACACAACTACTCTGACCAACATTCCTCTCATTCTCTCTCGATTGCTAGGTCTTACCAATACGAAAAAGATGAATCGAGTCGAAATTGCCATCAATATGTTGAAATCATACAAATTACATGCAAAAGTATTTGACCAATTCTCAAAGAGATCCTCACTCGATCTTTTAGGTTATGAAGAGAGGCAATTAATGAAACGAGAACAGAAAGCTCACTATCAACAAAAATACATGACCACCATCAATAATGGTATTGACAACATTCTGGCTCAAATGAAGAAGAAGTAAAATAAAAGGTTGATTACGTGTGTTTCATGCGATCCTCCAATATATACGTATTACTTTCCAACAACCAGACAAAAGTCCTCATTGAGTGTGCACCAGTGTCGTTGCACCACACAGCACGAGCTCCTCGGAGTTCTGAACCATCACTGTCCGCTCTTTTTGGATCGACCGTTGCAAAGAACAAAGAAAAAAAGCTATTCGATAACTCCTTCTCTTAACTCCTCAATTTTTTCTTCTCCTCAATTCAAACAAAATCTGAAAAGGACTTTTTGTGGGTAGGTATGATGATGCTGATCCTGAATGAGCCTTGTTTATTCAAACAATTAATATTTATATGATGGTGAAATTGTTCGGTTATGGTTATTGATTCAATCATTAATGATGAAACTAAATAATGGCAATTTGATTTGAAAATGAATTTCATTATGAATTGATGATGATCCGATAATCATTTAATTTATATAATGCGGCATCCCACCTTCATCTTCCATCCTACGACGCAATACTACATTTATAGACAATAACTAAAAAATCTTAACATGACAACAACAAACAACACAAACGGAGGAGAAGTACAAGAATACTTGTATAAAATTCTAGTAGTGGGTGATATTGGTACCGGAAAGACAAGTATTATCAAACGATATGTACATAATATTTTCTCCAATTCGTACAAGTCAACTGTAAGTCTTTAGTGGAGAAAGTTTTGTTCTAGCTTTAAATTCATCCATCTTTCAATTGTTCACCATCATCATCATCGCCAATGGATGGCATTCATCTTGTTGATGGCTTGAATTTTGATTAATATTATCTCATGTTTTGAAAATATCTTTTTCTCATGACGTGTCGTTGTTTGAACACAATTGCTGCTGTGTATCATCGGCACAACCATGAATTTTCACGTGATTATGATACTTTGTGAAAATTTACTGTAATGTTGTTCGTGAATACAGATTGGAGTTGATTTTGCTCTCAAAGTTTTGAATTGGGATGATAATACTATTATCAGGCTTCAATTGTGGGATATTGCAGGACAGGTATGGATTTGTAATTGTTGCTATTTTGTCACAATGTCATTAACAATATCTTTGTGCAAAATTTTCTTCGGATGAAACTATTATTTCCGTATTGGATTTTTAACATCATCATGATTTTCTTCTGTTAAACAGGAGAGATTTGGATCCATGACTAGAGTGTACTACAAGGAAGCTGTTGGCGCTTTTGTTGTTTATGACATTACACGCCCACCAACATTTGAAGCAGTTCAAAAATGGAAGAGTGACATTGAGCATAAGGTGTTCCTTCCTGATGAGCGTCCAATTCCTTGCGTTTTACTGGCCAACAAATGTGACCTTCCAAGTGCTGTCACAAAGACAAAGGAAGAAATGGATCAATATTGCCAAGAAAATGGATTTATTGGATGGTTTGAAACAAGTGCAAAAGACGACAAAAACATTAATCAAGCTGCCAACTTTTTAGTGAAGAAGATTTTGGAAAACCATGCTGAAATGCACAAACAGCAAGGAGAAGAACAGAAAGACAGCTCAACAATCACGTTCGATAATAAGCCTCAACCTTCGGAGCAACAACGACCAAGCAGTGGCTCTGGTTGTCAATGTTAATGAGTGGATCATTGTTACACTTCCTACATGTGTTTTTACAGTTGTAAATAGAGTAAAGTGTAGTAAATGTATATTCTTGCTACTTCATAAGAACATTCATTAAAGCGTGGAACGAAACAATTTTCTCAATCTCCACCAAATTGGCAAGGCAAAGATATATGTAATGAAAATTAAGGACTATCATCTGGACGATTGATATTTTAATTTACTTAGTCACCTTAAACTTTTGAACCTTTTCCAACAAACTCTTGGCATTTTGATCATTCTTGAAGTGGGCACGAACAGGAGCAAGAATATCATTGATGGCTTCTGCCAAAGCTGGTTTCAGATCACCAGGGTGAAGATGCAATTCCTTAAAGTCATTCTCAAGTTCTGCAAAATCGGTGTAGATCTTGTTACCTCCATTTTCTTCCTTTCTTTCAACCTTGAATTGTCCCTTCATTGGCAAAACAATGTGCTTAATATATTCGAGCGGTGGATTCTTTTCAATGTTTCCTGGCTCACAGAATGCAGACTTGAGCTTTCTTCTAACCTCAGTCTCACTGTCTTCCATAAATATAGCAGCATCTGGGTTTGACTTGGCCATCTTTGTACTTCCGTCCAAACCTGGCAACATGTGATGAGAGAGAATAACTGGTGAAAATCTAAACTTGGACTTGGTCTTTTTGTCCTTTCTCTTTGTTTCAGCATACTCTCGAGCTAACATGTTCACCTTTCTTTGATCCATACCTAATTGACAAATGTCGGCCTTCAAATAAAAGATGTCTGCACATTGCATACAAGGATAAAAGATTTGTGCAGCACTCAAATCGCTTGCTTCATCACGACCCATAATTTGAGAGCAACGAACAATACGTTTCAGATTGTTCTCACGGGCGATATCGAGAACTAATAACCAATAAGTGTTTGGATCCTTGTTGATAATTTCACTACTCCAAACAAATTCAACATTGTTCAGGTCCATACCAATACTCTTCCAAACTTCAATCATGTATTTACCGACCGTTTGAATCTTCTCCAAATCTCCTTCCATCTTGTTATTCATCAAAGCAAACCAATCGGCAACTAAAAAGATAAATTTACATCCAGCCTTGGTGAGTTTGTTCACGTTGATGGCCTTCATAACACCTTGAGCAATATGAATACGTCCTGATGGTTCAAATCCGTCATAGCAAATAATTTGCTCCTTCTTATTCTTGATGAGATTGCGTAATTCATCTTCTTGAATACATTCCTCACCGACGCTTCTTATAAGCTTGTATCTTTCTTCTTGTTCTTCAGTGAGTTCAACAGTGATAGGATTTGTTTGTTGAGAGCTTGAAGAGAGATGGGTTTGCTCAAATTGCTCGGTTACGGATTCCACGGTGGTTTGTTGTTCTTGCGAGGATGATGATGAAGACATTTTTTTTTCGCTTTCATTCCTTTCGAGTCCCTTTCTGCGGGATCCAAGAGGAGATTTTCAATCGAATGGAAACCCATGAAGCAAATGAAGAAATTTAACCATGTGTGGAATGAGTATTACAAACTGTGGAATGTATCATTGAGGGAATGAGGTTTGTCCAATAATATTTATTGAGAGATTGACCTTTCGTGCAATTAGAGAATTGAAGTTGTGGTATTAATGGAATCATATGCACCTATGAAATGCTTCAACTTTAATTTAGAAGAAGGGTGTGATTTCTGTCATCCATTTCCATTCATGGCAATACGATATTGAAGGAAGTACAGATCAGAACAGTTTCTAAGATCTAAATTCCACCATACAAACCTTTATTCTGTAGAAAGGTCACAATCCTCATTCTTGTGATTATTTTCTTGTAAATTCTTCTTCTTTTCTCTCACAGCATTTCGTTCTTGGCGAGTTCTTTCTTTTAACTCTTCTTTCGAATAAGGACATCCTTGACTCCAATCCTCAATGTCTTCAATGGTGCAAACATTGTCTTTCACTCGACACAATAAATTAAATACATCCACATGTATTCCAAAAAGTTCCTCCTGACACTTGTCTCTTCTGTATTTACTTCTTGGATCCAATTTGATTAAATCTTCAAATAATTCTTTCACATCTTCGACCTTATCATAGAAGGTGGATTTTCTAATCAGAGAGTCAATCATTTGGAGAGACTTTTCTGAAAAATGTACGTTTGTGATTTCTCGTTGTTTTCGTGGCATATTTTCCATCCAATCGGCAATTTTGGCAAAAAATTCACACTGTGCAGAATCCACAGAATCCTCGCTTGATGAGGAAGAGGAGGGTGGCGAGAGAGTGTTCTGTTCTTTTCCTTCATCATTGTCCTTATTGATTTCATTCTCTAATTTTCGTTTTTTAATTTCATCCGAATAAGTCATCACTAAATCCTTCAAAATTGGAAATGATAATGGATCCTGTAAAACCATATCATACTCTGGAATGTAAGGTTTAATATCAACGATGGGTGTCTGGTCGACTAAATCAATTCCAGACAAGTGTAAAACTGCATTATTATTTTCATCTCTTTCAATTTTGTCCAATTTAACGACACTCATTCCCATTGGATTCGGGCGATAGGGCGAACGACAACTCAATGCTCCAATTTTCTTACCATCAAGTCTAGGTGGCCGAACTTTGGCCTTTTCCATCATTTTGAATTTAATGACCTCCGATGATGAAATTCCATTATTATTTCCTTCATTGTTTTGATGATCATTGGTAATGATTGTAGTCTCCTCAGCTAAATTATTATTTTGATGGAATATCCAAAACAACCATATATGAGAGAAACCCTCTAAACCTTCGACAAAATGTTGTGTGTTATTTGTAAATCCTCCAAACTTTAATGCTAATCTTCCTCTTGCTTTTGGTACGATGAGTGATTGACGAGGACATCCAGTCTTTTGTTTAAAGACCGATTCGAGCATGCCCAGCACTTCAAATTGAAAAAACTTTCGGAGTGTGGAATTGGCAGAAGAGGATGACGCAGACATTTTTTGATGAGTGTTTTTCAAAAAGAATGCAATTTCAAGAAGAATCAAAATATCAAAGTAGTCCTATGTGTGCGCAACCAGTTTGAATGAGCTGAGTTTCGCTTGGATAATGGACTAGAATTAGTCCAGCGAAAGTCCTTTTCTCCATCGAAACTGGTTTGGCGTCACCCAAAAACTGCGTTGCACATGCATAAGAGAATGGTGATATGATTTAAAGGAAACAGAATTTTAATGTGTGTGGGATGAAAACAAGGAAGGGGAGCAGAGAATGGGATGAAGAATCAACTTGTCAGCATTATACTGTGAGAGATAGATTCGTCGAGTTAAAAACAATTGGATAGGTTCATATAGATTGTCTAGAACTTCTTGTGCTTCTTGTGGGCTGGTTTCACAGACTCTGAGTTGTCACCATTGCCATTATTATTGGACCACGACGATGACTTGTTTGACCAAGAGTTATTTCTTCCTCCTTTGTAACCTCCACCTGAATAGGAATTTCCTCCCCTTCCGCCTCGTCCTCGTCCACCTCTGAAACTTCCATTGTTCTTAGGGCTCTTGGATTCAAGAAATTCCATTAGACCTCTCTTCTTTGAGCCATTTTCTTCATTATTGGAGTCTCCATTGGTGTCATGTCCATTGCGGTCACTTTTACCATTATTTGTGGAAGTTTCAATAGAATCTTCTTCATTCTCTTCTTCCTTATTAAACTTGTTGTATCCACCCTTATTAAATGATTGGGATTTATCAAAGCTCTTCTTAAAGTTGCCACTTCCTCCTTTACCTCCCAATCCAAACGATGATTTTAATCCTTCTTCATCAAAATCATTCATTTTGAAACCTAATTTTCTAGCAAACATGTTGAAAACACTTCCATAAGTATTCACAAGTTTGAAGACGTCTCTGGTCAACTGATTATTCGAGACAATACTTTGCACTTCCCTATGGATATCATTCATTTGTCTATCTGTGACATTATTTTCTAATTCTTCAAGTTTTTCCCAATCTTTCTCTTCTTCCTTGTCACTATTTAACATCATGTTAAAATAGGAGAGAGCAACTTCTTTTTCTCTTGGAGTCAAGAACAAGACAGACACACCTTTCTTACCAGCTCTGGCAGTTCTTCCAGCTCTATGGAAATAATCGGCTGGTTGTTCAGGAATGTCAAATTGAACGATTAAATCAACGTTAGGGAAATCGAGTCCTCTTGCAGCAACATTGGTAGCAACAAGTACTCCTGGATTCTTATCTTCCATGAACTGGAAGAAAATTTCACTTCTCTTATTTTGGTTCATGTTACCTGAGAGTTGCACAACTTTTCCAATATTTGAAGTATTTTCAAGAACGCAAGTCACAAATTCAACTGATAATTTGGTGCTCACGAATACAATAATTTTCTTATCAACATTATTTCTCAGCACTGAAACCAGTGCTGCAAGTTTCTTATCATTTGGTACTTGATAATACTTTTGTTCCAATGTAGAAACCTTCTTTGAATTTGCATCATCTAAACCAAGTTTCACAATATCATTCTTGAGTGAAATATGAGCCAAATCTTCAACTTTATCCGTCATGGTTGCAGAGAAGAGATAAGTTTGACGTTGCTTGGGAAGTTGCATGACAATCTTTTTCAAAGTTTCTTCAAAACCACTGTCCAACAATCGATCTGCTTCATCCAAAATGAAATATTTCAAATGGGAAGGATCAAAATTCTCTCTTTGAATGTGATCTAAACATTTACCTGGAGAAGCAATGAGGACTCTTACTTTTTCATCGGCCAATTCAGCCTGTTCCGCAGAGACTTTGTTTCCTCCAATGACACAAGCGGCCTTATATTCGGTGTGTTTTAAGAGTTTGTCAGCAACTTGTTGAATTTGTAAGGCTAATTCTCTTGTTGGAGCCAACACGAGAATGTAAATTCCTTGAACATTCTTTTCATTTTCTAACATGCAAGAGAGTGATGGAATGAGGAAGGCCAAAGTTTTTCCTTGTCCTGTGGCTGCTTGAGCAATAAAGTCTTTACCTTTTCCTTTCTCTCCGAGAGCAGTTGGAATGGTCAGTTGTTGAATAGGAGTCATGGTTTCAAATCCGAATTCTTTCTTGATGGCTTTCAGTAGGAGTGGATGTATTTGTGGCACGTCTGCAAATTTGAGTGATGTTGCCAAAGCACCTTGTGTGGCTGATGTATCAGCGAGTGAAATGGTCTCAACAGATTGCTTCTTTCTCAGCTGCACTGTTGATGAGGCAGAGAGAGTGGAGACATTTCCGTTGGCATCTTTGAGAGTTTTGGTTCCATTTGAGTTGAATTTGATGTGGGCTGGCATTGATGTCGTGCGGAGGAGTGTGTGTGATGAAAAGGAGCAAAATTGTTGTGTGATTGAGAGGATTTAGGGTTTCGGGTGTTCAATTATTTTTTTGTTCAACAAAAATTTTGTCTTGGTTTTCTCTTTCGTCTTTCGAATTTTTCGTTAATATTTGACTCATCGAGTGGAGCTTTATTCACCTCTCCTAATACATTTTCTCTCCCGCGTGGTATGACTAGTTCACAAATCGTTAATGGAAAGAGAACTGGCTCCCAATTGTTGTGATTTGTTGGTATTATTGGTGGACGCTGTTGACATGACAATCATCGAGCTTTCGGAAGCCAGCTTGAGCAAATCAGCGCTCAAGAAAGTCACACACTCAGAGAAAGTGATTTGCTGATTGTTGTTTGGATCAATGATTGAAACAAAATTTTGGAATTCTTCGTCGGTTCCGTTAGGGTTGATTGTTGCTAATAATTGCTTCAATTCATGTTGATTTAAAATTCCATCCTTGTTGGTGTCGACTTCTCTGAACATTTTCACAAACTTGGAAAGGAATTTTTCGTGAGATTCAAGTTGGAAATCAAGCAATACTTCTAGGAATATCTTGTAAGGCACTCTAGTATTCTTTTCAAAACTCTTATTCAAAGTTGAAGGTGATCCAAGGGACATTTGAAGTTTTTGATGCTCTAGAATGGCATCATTAACACGAATAATTACTGTGAGAGAGTCTTCCTTGTTGTACATGTACTTGATGATATCAACCCATTCGTCTTCATTAAGATCACCATTCAACCTATTTTGAATGATTTGATAGATTTCATGATCAACCTTCTTGCTGTATTTTCCTCTCAAAAATACCTTCAATAGTTCTGCGGTTGTATCCTTTAGCTGCTTTTGGACAAATCTGAATTCCTCATCAATTTCGTTTTTAAGAATTTTGCCGAACACTTTGACATCATTGTCTTCTCTTGAAAATCTTTTCACTCCAAAATTGATGGCAGTAGCCCATTCAAAAATTAAGGTTTTAAGCCCGTACTTTTGATTCAAGAAGGTATACAAATGTTGTTCCATTGTTTCTCTTGGTAGTTTGCTCTCTTGGCATTTTTGATCGAACTTGTGCTTTGAAGCATAGATTTCTTCAATAATTTCTTTTAGTTGTTTTAGACTTAGAGGTTTTAACTTGACTTGTTTTGTTTCTTTTGGTTTTATCATACTTTGAGAAAGAATTTGTTGTGGTGTTTGTGAGACTTGCATGGATAGGCGCTGTCTATTAACTTGGACTTGGGTCAATCGGTTCTTATATTCTATATTGGAAACGCAAAGTATTTCATTTGAGAAATTTGGAACAAACATTCAATCACTGTATACTTACTTTCAATTTCAAGCTTTAAGGCTCCAATTTCTTCCGATAATTGTTCTCGCTCTACTTCGTGCTGACGAATCAATTTTGCCTTTGCCTCCTCGCTTTTAGAAGCAACTTGTTGGAGAGATTCAGTTTCCTCAAGAAGGTTGGCAATATCCTTATCAGCACTATCCAGATCTTTCTGAAGTGTCGCTAATTTTGAGAAACAATCAGTAGAAAATGTTTTGATCATTGAGTAGTATGAATCGCACATGTCTGAATACGAATTCTTGACAATCATGAGAATACTGGAGGCTTTCTTATCAAACTCTGAAATCTTTTCAATTACGTTCTCAAAATACGAGTCAAATAGCTGCTTTTTGCAATTCAATAATTCGATTTGGTAACTCAACATTTCTTGTGGTGTTTCTTTAGACCTGTTGAGTTGTTTGAGGATTGGAGTGCTGTTTGGATCAAACGGAGCTCTTTGTCCTAGATAGAGTCCAACAGAATCGTGGAGTCTCTTGAGATCTTTCAAGTCGTCATTGGACGAGTCGATACCCTCTCCCATGTTACCTGCACTGGATAAAGCAGTCTGATTTGTCTGTTTGGGCTCTTTGGGCAATGCTGAATCTTCAGAGGCAACTGGTTTGGGTTCAACTTGATCATGGATCGCTGCTTGAGTCTCTTGAGATGGTTCCACCATCACGGAAGAAGGCTCTCTTTTGGGTTCCTCAGCCAAGGAAAAGTACATTGGTGGATCAACATCGGGAAGGTCCGTTAAGGCTGTTTGAGAAACCATGAATCCATACATACATCTCGATTGCTAATATGCATAATAGTATTACTTACGAGTTCCGTTGAATGATTCTAAATTGGACAAGGAAATGATGATTTCATCCTCTTCCTTCTCATCAAGGGTAATGTACAAATGTTTGAGGTTGGGAAGAGAGAAAAGCCCAGCTAGAACGGATTGAGCACTCTCAAACAAATTATTTCTCAGATCAAGGTATTCCACTTTTTGCAGTCCACTCATGTCAGATGGTAATGTCCGAAGATTGTTGTTCGATAGCCTCAACACTTTGAGGTGCCTAAGTTTGGACAAATCTACTAAAATTTCGTCCAGAGTTCTCAGTGCACAATGATCCAGAGAAACCTCAATTGCATCGGGATACTTGTGCAAAATTGAATTCACTTTTTCCATGGTTGGTGTTGGAATATCAAGGAAGACCGAATGTGTATGTTGATAAGCAGGGCTTAAGGCGGATTATTTTTTTTTTTTAATAAATTTAACGGTTTTTAAACAAACTATCGTATTTATTTCATGGCACTATAGAAACTAAAAGGTAAGACGATACAGAACATAGCAGACATGATTAACGAAAGAGCTAATAAAATCTCGTTCTGTTTGGTTCGGAATTAAGATACCATTTTGAGAAGTATCTGTTTTTTGGTCGTACCTTACTACAGGTGATGGTGTCTTATTAGATTTCATCATGGCAGCAGAGGTATGAATATGGTCGTGAAGTGGTTCAGGTTCTTGTGCAAGCTTCTTTTTACAGAAATAGACAATCACAGCGTTTTCCTTAATCTTGTAATGAATGTGCAACATGAAATCAGTCAGACCAGTACTGGTTGGATTAATGAGTAAATGTTGTGCAGTGCCATCTTTCTTGAATATACTTCCTGCTCTCTCTCCTCCATAAATATTCCACAGTTCAGAAATCACATCATTCCATGGCACATAGGTAACTTCGAAAATTGAGAGAGTAAAATCGTATTCGGTGATTGGAGTTTTGATCCATAATGCATCGAGTTCGTTGAATAAATTTTCGCTCATCCTGAATTTGAGAGCCATATCCCACAATATTTCCAGTTTGAACGAATTTTTGACACTTTGTAGCAAATTTGCCAACTTTCTTTCGTATTGTTGAGCCATTTGTGTAACTACCTTGTACATGTTATCTTTAGAACCTTCTATCTCGCTATCATATGGATGTCTATTGGTTGCATCGACAAACACAATATACATGGTGAGATTCATTGTACTGTCTTCTTCTTGGGGGCTTGGAGATCTTGATGAAGAATTTGATGCGCTGCCGTAATGTGAAAAAGTGGTATGAGAATCCGAATGTACAACTGACTTGGTGACCAATACACAGTACGAGTAATCTGCTTCTTCATGAGAAATGTATGTATCAAGGATGAAACATTCTTTGCTCTTTTGGCTGAATTTAACCTTGTACTTGTCAGAGTTTTTGCAAATATATTCAAAGAAGAATTGGAAAGGATCATTCAGCATTTCTCGCCTCTCAGTGCTATAAGATCGACCCCGCTCGAGTGATTTCATGCTACTTTTAGGTGCTGTTGCCTTTTCTCGCATAATCTCTGCAATGTCTTTAACATTTTCAAAAGTGATAGTATGTGAATGCAAAATATTTCTAGTATGAGGCGGAGGATTTGGATAAAATTGATTAAAGTCTTTCAATAAACTCATAAAGCTCAAAGTAGATGGAAATCCAGAGTAATCTGTTGTTAGATAATTCAAAAAGTTTCTCAAGTGGAAATCATATGAAAACGAATTCATGTGAAGTGAGTGTTTGAATTGGCTTACTTTTCTCAAGAACTCTCCTCTCGTTGAGGCACGAGGGTTCAACAATGAAGGTCTTTGAACTGTGATGTCAGAAATATAAACATTGAGATACACGTAAATGCTGTCGAGACCCAACTCTAGGAATAGTACTCCATCGTCCATTTGTTTATGGAAGTAAATGGTGGTTGGTTGGAGCTTGATGATTTGATTTCCCACCACTTGGACAAGCGGAGTGGGCTGTGGTCTTGTTTTGTCTTTGTCCATTGAGTTATTAATTAGATTCATATCACTAGGTGTCGAGGGTAACAATGGCGACGAGTCATGTTGATCTGAAGGATGCAAGAAAACATCAGAAATATCCAAAGACTTGATATACTCTACGTATTCACTCAAGAATGATTCAAATACTTTTCTATGATAACCAATTTCACGAAGGTTATTATTTTGCTGTTCTTCCGCACCTGGAACGCCCTCAACACTGTCAATATGTTGAATAATTGCAGCTGAAGATGAGGAAATAAAGGATGATGAACCAAACAATATTCTTCTTAAAGGATTAAAAAGAAGGGGCACTCTGCAAAAGTGGATAAGTCTTGAGGTATTCTTAATGAGTTGGAAGTCCCTCGATTTTAGGTTGGTTGATTGAGATTTGTTCCAAAATCCATAAATCTTTGACACTTGTTGTTGTTCAACATTCTTTTTGTAATTCTGGTGAACAATGTGTTTAAAGTGAAGCCCATGAATAAGCAGTGGATCACGTGGTTTGTTGTCATTCATGGTTTTCTTAGCAAGTTGTTTGCAAGGTACCTTATCTAAATCGAATATTCCTTTCAGCAGTGATCCAAATTGATTTTTGCTTGATGGAGGTTTTTTCTCTTTTCTGACTTTCTGAATATCGGATTTTACCGACATGTCATTCGTAGACGAGGAGACTAGTGTGGGATTCGCGCCTAGGTTTTTAAACCGGTTGTACATTTGACCTCCTCTCATGTCTAGAATTGGTTTTGGTGGATTCATGCTTGTTGGAGGATTGCTAGTTGTGACGGCTGTTGCTGAAGGGGTCGTTCTTCTTACTGCATTGGAAGTCTTTGGATCGCTCGGAGCACTTTGCTTATTGTAAATGAGTAAATCAATGTTGTTGAATGCAAATTGTACTTCCTTTTGTGGTTTACCAAGAGGAATCATTAGGTTGGTCGGAACGGTTGCCAAGTTACTCGAATGTGAGTGATAAAAGAGACCCAACTTTTGATGGAGTATGCTGTTGAGTAAGTGAGCTCTACATCTCAACCAGGACACCGTTTGGTGCAAATGATACTTGAACTTTTCAAATTGTTGGGGCTTCCAATTGTATGCAATAACTTGCAATTCGGCACTTGTTAGTATTATAACAATACAGCATTTTCTTGTATACTTGATCGAATTTCTGTAACTAAACCCATCTAAAGAAATGATATCCCCTATTTTGATATTTTCACCAAGGTTAATAACCTTATCAGTTGAAACAGAAAAGTTACCAGCCATCATAACAAAACAAACATTGCTGGAATCGACTAGATGTTGTTCGATAAGATCATTGCTTCTTGAATATTTGGCAAATGTTTGTCTTGCATCTTTGCTGACAAAGGTAATTGGTCTCAGTTTAAAGCTATATGCAGACAACAAATTGTGTAAATCTCCAATAAATCTATTCATTTCCCACAGCGGTAAAAATAGGGCAGCTCTGTGCTCCATTAATGTGGGAGAGCTTATTCTACCTGCCTTGATGGCCTGAGTTTGTAATCTTACCAAAAAATAACGATTGAATCCTTCCAGATTTACAGGCAATGTGAAAAGTCCGCATTCGACAACATAATCTATCAGTGTTTGGTTAAGAGTGAAACAAATTTTTTCAACAAGAGAAGCTAGGTCTACATCTCCTTTTTTCCACACTTCCAGTAGTAGTTTACCATTATCACTTCGGTGAGCTGCAGAGGCACTTTTTTCAATAACATTTTCTTCATCGTCCTCATCATCTGAAGTGCTGCCTTCTTTACGAAGGATAGGAGCTCCAAAATCTGTATAAGCTATATTTGACGGCTCCTCTTGAAGAAGACCCAATTGGGACACACCAGTCAAATCACAAGTGTATGGTTCTTTCATTGAAGGGAAAACAGTAACCATCTCTCCGTCTTGATTTAGAAGTGTCATTTGTACGCAGGCAATACCTCTACAATTGACCTGAGATGTCATGGCTCTTGAATATGTGTTCTGAGTGACCGAGTTATATAAAAATGAAAAATCAGCTGCTTTGAAAACCATATCATCTTCCTCATCTTCAGTAAAGGACATATACGAGAGGTTGCTTGGACTCTCCGCCGATTCATCACTACTAGTCAGGTATAATTGATTCATGTAGGTCAACATGTTATTTCTGGCAAATAACATGAAAAGCAACTTATTGTTAATAAACTTTGGAAGGCTAATTACCACACTCTTCTGAGGCTGTGAAAGCAATGGTCTGATAAACTGTAAATCTTCAATATTGATTTTAAATTGTCTATTTCTGAGTAATAAATTGGATATAATGTTCATAGTGAGTGAAGATAACTTTGCTTCAATAAGGTTTTTCAGTTGGGTTGTAATTTCAATGCTAGGCGGATAAACACCATAAACTTCCAGAACAACAGAAGATACATTGCTCTTAATATCCAATTCAGCATAAAGATATTGACCCATGCTAGATAGAGAAATGGAATATTCCTTAAGCTTGGTTTTGTGTTCCTGCTCATCTCTAACAGGAAGAGTTGGAGATTCTTCATCCTTTGGACTCTGTACGGTAGTAGGAGATTGTTTGTTTCCATCCGTGAGCTGAAGATAAAAAACACGACCACTCCTTTCCTTGTACACAAACATCTCACTTCTATTAGCAACAATGAAGGGATTGAAAACAACTTGATTCAAGTGGTTAATGGCCATGGCAGTGGATAACCTGCTATGAAGTGGAAATGAAATTTCAAAAGTTTTTTTGCAGGCAAAATCTCCCTCATTAAAATTGTCACTGCTTGGTTTTTCATTGTCCTTACGTAAAAACTTCTTGTCAAGCACACTAACTTCAGAGACAGCTTTCTTGTCTTTATCTTTTCTAACAGGAAGAAGTAACGAGCTACATATTCTGGTATCGTGCAAATTGGAGAGAAGAAGCAGGGTATTCACTCTCTTACACACCACTCTAACTGCTTTGAAAATGAGATTGACCACGTCATTGGCCTGCGAAATTGAGAGAGTATTTGGTGAGTAAAACAACATGGACATTGATTTCTTGCTCTCTGTTTTTAAAATGATCCAAAATGGTGCTTCAATACAATTTCGTTCCATTTCTGTGTCATTATCAAACATGGTCATATCCAAGTCATCAAGTTCCTTGCTGAAAATTTTGAATTTGTTTGATACCTCACCAGGTGATGTTTCTTGCTCGCACTTTCTGTCATACTCTTCAAACATGGCATGTTTTTGGCAGCAATTTCTTTTTCGAAAATAAACCACATAATGATTGTCAATACTTTTGAAAACAACATTTTTGCATTTCAACAGCTCTTGATGGAAGAGTTTAACACCTTCAACTTGGTCAATAAAAAATAATGGAATAGTATGTTGCTGATAGCATGACGAGGGGAGCTTTTCTACATTATCAAAAACTTTCTTAATGGAATATGAAGTAATTGGATGGGTTCTCAATAGCGCGTTCAGTATTTCTTTTGAAACTAATGCTTGTAATCGTCTTTTGGTTCTTGAAACAATTCTTCTGATATGTCTTGGAAGATAGCCCTTATCTAAATAAGGAGCTGCTTCATCTGTTGTATCCTCCTCATAGGCATCGTCTTCTTGCTCAAATTTACTTCTAGCGTAGGCGGATTGGGTGTCAGACACGTGATTTCTAAACATTCCCAAAACATCCTTCTTTGAAGGCTCAAATCCGTTAAATGAAGCATAATATTTGTCAGGTGGTAGCGTAATGCAATAAAATCTCAAAGTTGTTTTTACAGCGTTCAAGGAATTAATCCAATCGAAATCCATTTCTGTGTTAATTTTGCTTGGAGTAAAATCTGCTGATTCATCATCCTCTTCGCTATCCTCTTCTTTCTCACCAAATGCAGAAGAAATTTTTGAAAAATCGCCATTGCTAGACCTAATATTCTTTGAAATTCTCTCTATTGGGATGGTTTTGATTGGTAATTTAATATCATTTCCATAATCATCCAACACTTCCAAGTCCTCCCATTCTTCTTTTCCTCTTGTAATTGGAGTTAACACACACTCCATTCTCATAAATACGGGAAGAGTGGAATTTTCAAGTTCCGTTAAATTAAAGGTATCACTAACTGAAGAGCCAGAACTTTCAGTGAGAGAGTCTGATTGATGATCAGATACTTGTAAATCTCTCAATCCTGCAGAAAGACTGGAAAGAGAGTGTGAGGTTTCGTCGTCACCACTATGAAAACTATGTATTTCATCATCTGACACATCTTCTTCATAGTTTTCCTCATTATCAATTTCTTCGAGATGATCAAAACTTTTCACGCTATTTTTCTTCTTTATGGGCTTTGGAGCAGTTTTTGTAGACTTGGGAATAGAAGTTTCTCGCAGATAAAAATGATATTTGGTTCCTCTGATTTCTTCAAAGTACTTCTCGATTATTGTTTTGAACGAATTAACCATGTTCTCACAGGGAGTAGTCTCATTTTCGGATTTTTCAAAGAAATAGTTTCTAGATAATAAAATGGCCTCAAAGAACTCGGTGAGATCAATCTCTTCTCTATACTCATAGCATGACTCAACAGCAGAAACTATGCTTTCTCGATCTATTGTTAATTTTTGGTTCAAATACTTGTAAACTCCATAGGTAAAACTGTATGCATGCAAGTTTGTAACAAAGTCACAATACGTTGCTGACGAAGCAAGTGCGTGTTCTTCGTCGTGTGTCAATGCGGGATGACGATGAACAATAGAAGAATATTTAGAACAAACTACATGCTCCATATTTTCGTTTCGTTTCAACTTGTCCACAAATAGAAGCTGATCCTCTGTACAAACGCATACAATGACAGTGAAATCTTTTTCTTCTCCAGTTACATGAGAAGGCACTATGGTTATAAGGAAATCTTTTTGTTTGTCTGATCCAACATTTTCAAATGTTCTTGCAAAGCATCGAGATTTCATATCCAAATTTAGAGGTATCTTGTCAATACTTATTTCAACATCATTGATATTGCATAGAATTTTCAAAAGTCGGTCATACAAAGCAATATTGCTTTTCTTTGCTATCTCAGTGTCAGTGTCAGTATGAGTCACAAATTTAAATACTTTAAATTTCAAGCTTTGCCGTTCAGAACGTTCGAAAATGCCTTTCAAGTTAAAAGGAGTAACGGTACCAGGTTTCTCAGGCTGGAAAAGAGTGATAGAGTTGTTATTGCCTTTACCAGATTTACAAGCCGCTACTATGCTGTCAAACGTAGAGAACAATGAGATAATTTGTAAGTCTAGATTATAGAACCAATTTTCACATAAATCTGTACACAATTGATTCGAATCAACCTGCATTCCATTGGTATAGGTAACATAGCCTGATTGCGGTTCAATCCACACCTCTGTAATGAGTTTTTTCTCTTTCTTCAAAATATGAATACAATAAAACAGAATAAGCTTTGATAAAAAGTCAGTATTCGAGAAATAATTGATTTTCGTGATTTCTAACTCCTTGACAAACACTACAGATTGTCTAGTGTTCACCAGAGAAAAGCCTTCATTTAACCTTTGCGCGAATAAGCATGATAAAATCGCTGCAACGTTAAGTCTTCCTCCGAGAGGCCATATCCAATTTTTGTGCTTAAGGTACGAAGTAAAATGCGGAGGATGACTGAATAACGACTGGAGATATTGAGTTTCATCATCTTTACAAATTGGAAGTCTTGCCACAATTTCTGAGAAAGCAGTGTTTTCAATGAAATGTGCATGAATATTTCTTTGATAGAAAAGCTTTAGAGACTGTTCCTTGAAATGTCTTAGAACTCTAAATATTGTGAAGGAGGAAACATTGAAAAATTGAAATTTCAGTTCTACAATGGATGTATATGATTTCACAATTTTCAATAAACAAAATCCACAAGAAACAGAGGTATCTTTTTCTTCCATCGTTAATAGAGAGGTATCGTGTACAGTGTCGTACATGTAGCATGTGTGGTCTTGCTCAGAAATAAATAAAATAAAAATATCGTCTGAAACTTTTGTAGAGCACCAAGCATTCTCGCAAAACGATTTGAAGAGAGCTACATTGTTTTGTACAGTAGGAGAAGCATCGTTAGTTCCCATTTGGGCTGTAGAAAGAATTTTTTGTATGGTTGTGTCTGACTTAAAAATGTTCTCATCAGTGTTAAAACAAAGTGCTAGTTTTTGTGTCTCAAAGAAGAATTCTCTTTCATGTTCAAAATTAATATTGGGAATGTCCATTTTTCTTATAGAGGATCGATTGAGTCCAGAACAATTCTCTGACAAGTTAAAATACTGTTCAATGAGAACATCTTCAATGTTGATAGACTGAATATACTCCTGTAGATATTTTAGAAAAGGTTCTTTCGTTCGTTTTTTGAGGAATGTTTTAAATTTTTCTAAATTGTTTTTGTGCATGAAGACAGTTATGGTGACTGAGATTTTAGCCTTATTGGATTTTGAGATTCCGAACCCCGTAAAATTATTCGAAGTCAAGACATCAAGATCTTGTTCTTCCATACCTGGTCCAGATCTTTCGATATGCACTTTGTATATTATTTCTACGTTCCTTCGATAAAGCATGCTCATTTTGACATACTTTAAATCCAACTTTTCGTCTTCAGCTTTGAACTTTGATAATTTGTCAATTGGAGTGGAATACTTGATGTCAGTAATTCTAAATCCTTGAGTTGCTCTTTTCTTTAAAATTGGATCAACGCTTGTCATGGAAAGAGTATAGGTCAGTACATCATATTCAAAAAAATTCTTTCGAATGTCTTTCTTGATTGAATCAGAAGGTATGCTTGGAAAAATACTACCCTCGTTAGCTGATAAAATCAAGCTTTCATTGTCTGCAATCATTATCGATGGAGATTTAAGAAGGAGGTTATATTGAAGCGCCTTTGTTTTTTTCTTTTCGTTAATTTCATTATCTGAGTTTGATATGTAATCAAAATCAATGTAAACTCCATCGGTGCATGTGACTAATGATTCAATCAATTCGGAATCAGGCACATAACTATAAAGATGTCCATGACCGTTGCTTTGAGATGTAATGTTTAAAATAGCAACGCTGACGTCACGTTGGTTGATATCAAACATAATATCTGAATGCAAGTCAGAGAGGTTGAATACACTGTCACTAATTAACATAAATATTGGGCATGCATCAGGAGGAAGAAATTCCAATGCTAACAGTGAATCCTTAATATATTGGCTGAATTTTAAATTGTTTGCCAAATTATCGTTAGTTTTGGAATTTTTTAGAGAGGTAGAGGCTAAATTCTCCAGATCACATAATTGCTGATAAATTTTTCCAAGCATTTCATTTAAGTTATAGGTCGTAATGTGGCAATCTTGAAATAGAGAAAAAACTGGTCTTCCTGCCATACCAATTGCAACACAAGTAACATGAAGCTCTGGAATAATCTCACCGTTATAATTAGGTATGGTTAATGGCTGAATTAAATGTGTAATAACGTTGGATATGGAAATAAATACTCTGTCAAACAGTACTTCTCCTGTTTTTGGATCCATAGCAAGCATTGAGGGACTAATATCAATTGTTAGCACGAGTCCGTACTTGGAATAAATAGTGTGAACTAGAGTGCTTGGTAGGAGCTCCATTGAGGAATTATGTTCCTCAGAGCCAAATAATTCGTCATTGGATGCGATTGAACTAATTTCAATGCTATTGAATGATTCATGTAGAGTGTGAACCCCTTTAGGTGAAGAAGAAAACATTCCACTTTGGTCACCATAAATGTGAGAGGGTAAAATTACGACTCCACCTTGATTATTACTACCATTGTAATGAATTTGATCAATACTGATGCTTCTAACTATCCCACTGTTTGTTGCTTGGTTTAATTGGTCAATGCTCATACTTCTTGGAAGTGACAAATCTCCAGTAAATGGATGAGCAATTCCATGATGATATTGGCCGATAAGAGATTCTTCGGACATGGATGTAGGAGAATTTTGGATGGAATTTATCCTTTCGTTGGTATATTCAGGTGTATTAATTGATGAAATGATACTAGATGTAAATCCAACTACTGATTCGTCAAAGGAAGGATGAGAATGATGATGAAAATGTGATGATTGAATATCCAACAGATGGATGTTATTGCGTAAAAATCTGTTCCTTCGAATGGACAGCTCCTTCTGATGCTTTACAGATGATGCAATGACTTGGATATTTCGGGTACTTAGAGATGGGGATGAAGGAGAAGGTACATGGGATGTATTCACACTACTTTCGCTCTTTTGAATGAGTTGCTTCACATTTGCGTGAAGATGATTTAACTGCCATATAAGTCTTTCCGTTTTTCTAAATAACGAATAGTCATGAGAATGAAGAAAGACATGTCTAGCTGCTCCTGATAGAGAATGATGGTGTGTTGGTCTACTATTTGTATTATTATTGTTATTACTATTGGATCTCATGTTGTGATGATACGCAGTGGTGTCGATAACACCATCATTATTCATCATTGCTGTACCATCATTTAAATTTGAAGCAAAATTATCATTTGTGGGAATAATAAATTCATGATGTTGATTCGTGAGAGGTGAAGTCGGAGATTGATGTTGTTGTGTCGTCCACATGATTTAATTCTTAAAAATTCGTAATATATGCCGAATAATTTGATTTTATGGGGAGGAGATGAATAACATGATCGGAATGTTAATTAGATTGATCTATACGACTGTGAGTCTATCTCAAGTTTAAAAACTCCAAACACCAATCAATTAATATTGAATTCACTATTTTTTTGCTTGGCTGTTCACACTGGCCAAGGATGCGAGTTTTTCTCATGCAGTCCGAAAAAAAAATTTGACCGCCAAAGGAATAGGATGGTGCCAGTGTGGGATGATGATGATTTATTGGAAGAATACAAGAAATCATTTGCTGATAGTAAATCCGATGATGAATTGAGTGATTGGTCGGAAGGGGATGAAGAGGAAAATCAATTCATGGAAATGAAAAATCAAAATGAAAAACAACCATTCCCGATCATTGAGGATTCATTCATACCAAAGAACGGATTGTCGAATAATATTTCGGGTTTATTTGGAACATTGGAGGAAAATGATGGAGAAAAGTTACAGGACAATGATGACACGAAATTCAATGATGAATGGCTTTTTGGCTCAGGCAATGATCACCCACCAACAGAATGTATCAATAATTTTCATCAATCAGTGCCCATAGCAGCTGAAGAATTGTATTATTCTCTTCATTTTGATCCGAACAAATTAATAACTGTTCATGTTCCCTTCACTCATTTTCCACATCAGCAACTATTCGAACATTATACCATATACAAAATATCACAAACACCTCCTCTAGGAAATTATAGAGTCTTGACTCCTTGCAATCACATGGTAAAACAGCATGATTTGATAAGAGAAATATTTTCCATGCTTAGGGGCCATGAAGGATCCATATTCAATATTAACTACCAGGGATTTTTTGAATTATCCCATCCCAATATTTCTGTTTCATTTATTTCACGAACTTTACTTCACACAGTTTTAAAATTTTTCATACAAATTTCAAATGATTTGGAATCAATTCATGTGAAGTGTATACGAAACATACACTCTGTAAAAAGTACAATACTTCAATCGTACTATTCAACTCTACTAGATATTATTTTAGAAATTAGGAGCGACCTTTCGGAGATGGAGCGACAAAATCAATTAGGAAATATGAAAGATAAGGTTCAAACACTATCGTTACTAAGTTTACGTACGCTCATGTTTCGAACTGAACAAAAAGTGAACATACTCAAAAAATTAGACTCTCAAATAGATTCCATTATTGACAATGTTATGTCTCAAAGAGATGCCATATCAGACATTGTATCCTGCTTCTATGAAAAGATCACCCATCTCCAATACTTGAATATCGAAAATACTGATGAATATGATTTTGTTTACCGATTACTGATGTCCATGCTAAAATCTTACTTGTCAATAATGGACTCGTGGATATACGAAGGAGTAATTCAAGACAAATTCCAAGAATTTATGATATCGAAGAACGACAATTTAAACATCGAAACACCTCTATTTTGGACGGAAGGATTTACTCAATTTAAAATTCCAAACATATTTTCGAACATTAAGGATAAAATTATTAGCATTGGTAAATCTATTATTTTGATGAAAGACATTGAAATCAAGCACGAAATTACTTTGGATACAAGCTCACTGGGAGACTACATGTTGGATAAAGAGAAGCCTTCCCTTTATAGATTTTTAGAAACAGCCTTAGAACGTGATTCTAGAAACAGTATTAAAGGTGTAGAAAACCAATTAGACGTTCAGACATGTGAAGTTTCCAAAATAGGAGCATCTCCAAAAGCATTGACACTACTAAGATCGAGCAGCAACCTCCTGAAAAACAGTAATATCATCGAAGACTCAAAAACAGAAGAGTTATTGTCTCCAATTTCAGAAGCAATTCCGATTGGCTCAATCCACTTTATGAGATCACCCCCAAAGAAAAAACGAATGTTATCAATTCTAGAAACTGAGGATTTGTACAGCAATACAATCTCTGACCCAACTGAAAAGGCTGATTCAAAGGACAATTCATTCTTCCAGCTCACACTTGGTTTACAGAAGTCAGACACTCAAACAAGTAATATTTTCAATTTGTTAAAGAAAAAGAGCTTATCAGAAGTAATTGAATTTCAACATTTTTCAGCTCATCAGCCCTCGACCAGCAAGATTCTTGAGACACCTATTGAAATTAATTTTGAAATTGGTCTTTTCAGGAACATCAAAGATCAATATTCACGTATTGCTCCATATTTGTGCAATTTAATAGTCTACAGATCTAAACTTATTGACCACCTGACAGCCATTCGAGCTATTTTCCTTATGGAAGCAGGTGACATTATGGACTACTTGTCAACTCAACTATTTCATCTTTCTGATAGATTCTTTGCATTTGACTTTCGTGGTATAACCGCATTTGACATCCAAATGATCTTGAGAGATACTCTACGTCTTGGAGTGGAATATCCAAGACGATACTCTTTTGCAACCAATAATTCTACTTCTTGCTACACAACGGATGTATTTTCATCTCTTAACTTGGAAGAGAAGATTTCTGTGACATTTGATGATGCTAATGTCAAGATTGAAGATGGAAACTTTTTTGATGGACTTGTATTCCACTTTGATCTGGAATGGCCACTCAATATTATTATCTCATCAGAACACGTACAGAACTACAACGAAGTGTTGATTTTTAATCTGAAACTGAAACAAGCAAAACAAGGTATGTTAATGTTGTTGAAGAGAAAATAATTAACCCATATTTCCAAAGTTTTGGAAACCATGAGCTTGAAAACAGATGCCTTTGTACATAGAAGTAATGCTTATCTGAAATATTATAGCCTATTGAATCAGTTAAAACATTTCGTTAGTGCGGTGCAGTATTACATGATGAATAGGATATTGCACACTCTGTGGAACGAATTATGTGACAACGTTCTTTCATCACAAGATCTCGATGATCTTCGAAATTATCACCAGGACTATATGAACAAGATTAAGGATCGATTTCTACTCAAAAAAGCTCAATTCGTGAAAAATCACATTTTCAAAGTCGTTCAAATATGCGTAAAGCTTCGCGCGAAATTGAACAATTTTAAGGAAACCCAGAGAGAGGATATATTTTTACAAGAGTTGCTCGAAATGGAGGAAGAATTCAAGAAAAGCTTCAAAATGTTGCTTACAATTATTAATAACATCCTCACTCGAGGCGTACATGAGCACTGTAAGTAGTAACAAAAAACATTGCATTTTGTTTGTAAAAGCTTGATAAATGACCTAATTACAGTGGAGGATTTGCGAACGAGAATGAATTTTAATAATTATTATCATTAATAATTAACAAAAGGATCAAAAACATCAGAGACTAAATAAAATCGAATACCTTCCTCGTTTTCGTCACGACAAAGTTTTTTAGATGCCTCTGCTGACAATAATAATTCTTTTGCCAATACAGCGCTCACATTAAGAAATCGTGCCAACGTCACGGCAGTAATGTAGCAGTACGACATGACATCTTTTTCTCTTCCCTCTCTAATAAAAGATTCGATCTTGTTGGCCATTAAAGTATCTGAATATCGAGAGGATTGAATGACGACAACTCCACTTTCAAAACTTCTTAACTTCATTGGTAGTTTCAGCTTTTCAAATAAAGAGCATGCAGTTTGCATGTCTTCAGGAGAAATTAAAGCAGTTCCTCTTGCTCTGTTATATAAACAATAGGCGTCAGTTAGTGTGATCACACCACCATACCGCTCTTGCACAATGTTGTCAAGAAAGTCTACAAGTTGTCGTGCCAGTTGTTGGTGATACTGAGCTCCACTAGATTGTTTTGTGACAGGAGAAGTCAAACCCAAATTAAGTAAGAAATCTAACATTTGATTTTCCTCTTCGTTTTCTTCTTCTGTATTGTCGTGTGTCACATTCTTATGTCGTTGCACAATCTTATTTTTAAATGATTCTGCCAAATTAACCATGTCTTCTGCCTTTTCCATGAGCTTTTTCAGATCTGAAAAGGCTTCATCAAGCTCCTTTCGTTCTTCTAAATTTTCCTCGTCAATTCTTTTCATGATACCTGCAATACCTGCAGTGCTTGTTTGAAAGTTTTTTGGTTTTTTGTTCATACTTTCCAACGAGTCAGTAGATGCCGAAACCAGCGGCAATGAAGACGTCATTGATGATGAAGGCAGCGCTGGAGTTGAGCTTACTGTTGGTAAACTTTCTAACCATTTCTTTTTCTTCAATTGCTCATGAATACAATCCACAAACTCATCTCGTTTTCCTTTTCTAAACGAAATTACAAATTCGCTGGCAAAGTCCTTGGTTCTCATTAGGATTTTGGTTTTTGGTGATCGGAATAATCCTCCACCTTCCTTTTCAACTCTTTCAACAATTGATAACGAGCATGTGAGGCCATAATCCAATGAAGCTCTTGCATTGTTTGATGATTCGGGATGACTCAAAAAATACATTCTGTGTGTGGATAAATATACATGATTAAAATCTTTAATTTCCTTTCCATTATTATCGATCAGAGCAATTCCAACAACAATCATATTTTCAATTTCCTTCATTTCGGATGAATACATGGGTCTTCCTGCTGTTGTTAATTTACATTTTTCAAAGCCCTTCAGGGCAAACAAATTACCCAAAGGTTCCAATGTGTTGCTCGATGATGATGATGATGTAGCACGATTCGATGCAGGGGCTTGATGTGATAACATTTTTTTTCAAATCCTACAAAGATATTTAATATTAAAGCAATTACTGATCTATCTTTTCTGTAGTGTTGATGATCCTTTTGTTTTCTCTTGAGAGTTTATTACTTCGTCCCATGATGCACTATTATTATATCATATTATTATCATCACACTCCGGACGTGTTCCCGAAGAGATGTTTTCTTTTCAGCAGCGCGATAAATTATCACAAAAAAAAATGAGCAATAAGAACAGAGGAGAGATTTTTTCATCGTCGGATGATGATTGCCCACAACAGAAATCACGAGTCGGCCTTCAAGGACCTGACCCCAACAACTACAAGTTGAACTTGCTGATGGTGGATCATCAGCATTCAAAGAAGAAGAATTCAATGACCAACGATGTTGATCACCTGAATTCAGGTAAGATGAAACGTGGAGTATCATCTTGGCCAAGCGGATTTGGGTGGTTGTCCTGTTCTTCTGTATTGTTAGTTGGGCATGCGGAAGATAATAGCTGCCAAAATTATTCTAAAAGAAAAATATTATTATCATCAACAATCCATCATGTTTCACGCAAGCAAGCTAGAGCTACTTCTAGTACGGAGCTCCTTTTAACAACGAATATGCGAACGATGATGATGATAATTATGATTTTATTTATTTACTGTACAGATTTCATGAACGCTACAACTATGTATTTCAATTATAACACTAAAGAATGGAATGATGACAAAGTGACAGTAATAGATTGTAGTAAAGATTTCATGCATCCCATGATCATACGGAATGGAACTATTTCATCAACGAAAATGAACTTTATCAGAGGAGCCACGCAAGAAGAGACAGGGGAATGGTTCAATACAATCTCTACATTGCAAGTGGACTTGAGAAAATTCGTTCTTGATGAAAGCCATAGATATCTAATAGGTCATTCATCAGGTTCTGACACTTTAGTAGCAGATAATGTTGTAACTAGCGTTAATTCTGGAATAACTCAGGCTTTTTGGATTATTTATTCTCAATCATCTCAGATCTCACGACTGATCAAAATTGGTACTGTCTCACGAAACACCAAATTCTATTTGTATACAATGGAATATTTCTTCATTCATGGATTAAGGCGGGTAGGATTTGCTGGTGAACTTCCTGCACCCTATATTTCTATTGCAGATACCAACTACAGACCAAACGAACACTTGATGATATTTCAATTTAGTGTATCACAAGTGAATGCTCAACCAACTGTCAACAAGATAGCAGAATTACCACCTCCTCTATTCGTTCCTCCGAGGATCTCTATTCCTACAATTATGGGCAGCGTTCCAATTGTGATTGTCAAAGATATTGTCTATGGTGACGATGCTACAGTTTTTTTCACTGGAGTTTTCAACACTAAAATCCAATTTCTGGATATTCAGACCACAATCGATACAAAGAAAGAGAGCTCTGTATTTTTTGGAGTTCTAGATCCCAATAATGGAACTGTTGTTTTTATCACCAAGATTGAACCTGCAATCGCTATTGAATATAACTCGGTGAACGTAAACTTGATGGAAATATCTTCTAGTTATCAAGAAGTTTATATAACTGGTACAGTTCAAACATTTCTGCAAGATGTAGGATTTGTTCAAAAAGTATTCATTGCAAGTTATGACATTTCTCAACGCTCATCGCCGGTTTTGCGCTGGAATCACATTATTGGAATTGATGGAGCAAAATCTATAGAGGATATTGTCTGTTTAAATGGAAAGCTCATTATCAATATTTTGCTCACAAACTTTAGTAATGTTATAACTCAAATCTCAACGCAAGACGGAGCATTCATATCGGCTCTACTTATTTATGATAGCCCATATTTTGGAGTACGTATCTCTCTAAACGCAGACAAAGATTTAGTGGTTGTTGGAAAGAAAGGAAATGTTTTTTCCAACATTGATTGGGACAGTTTTATTACTTTTGGTGTACCTAGCTCAATCACGTTGTTTTCACAAAAATTCACAATTCATTCCAAACATAATAGTGACGAACTCGCTCTTGAAGAGGTGTACATGGAACCAATTTTGAAGGGCTCAATCATTGCTACACAATTAATAACTCTGACCACAGATACCTATAATCCTAGAAAATTCTATGTCGCTACCACGTTTAGTGGTAGTGTCCAAGTGATTGGTGATTCAAATGCAAGAGTCAATCCTGTTGGCTTTTCAAATGCTTTGGTATCTACAATCGTTGAAGGATGCACTTCCTGTGAAAGCGAATGCATTATTCCTTTGTGTGGCCCATATACACAAGATGATTCGAGGGCTTGCTCTGGTAGAGGACGTTGCGATAGTCCAAATTCATGCAGCTGTTCACTTTCTACCTTCTCAGGAGAATCATGTCAGTATCCTATATGCTTTGGAGTGCCTCAAAACTCTACGTCTGTATGCTCTGGAAATGGAAGATGCGCATTTCATGATTATTGTGTGTGCAATGATGGCTATTCTGGAACGAACTGTGAGATTGCAAGATGTTTTGGACTCAATGCTACCAATGACTCTGTTTGTTCATCTCATGGAGATTGTGTTGCTATGGATATTTGCAAGTGTTTTTACAATTATACGGGAGAACAATGCAGCTTTGAAATTGTACAGGGATATACTCATTGTGGTGTTGGAAGATACCTTTACAACCAAAGCGATGCCAATCAACTTATAAGCCCTATTATGCTCTATGGATTTCCACCATCGCTGTATATATCCTTTGATGCTGACGGTCAAATTTCATACACAGGCTACGGCATCTCTCCTACCTTACATTCTTTAGGTAATGGCATTTCAGTCAAATTTGGAAGTGTGTTAAATGCATCCACTGAATTATATTCAACAGTTCTTCTAATAGATCAGAATACTACATTACAAGAGGGCATTGTTGTGACCAGTGTGGTTTCTGATGATTACTCCAACACATGGATTGTTGGTTGGAAGAAAAGACAAGTGTTTGGCTTGACGCAATTCGTGGGAGTATTGATCAAAATTAAGCCAGATGGAACCATTTCACATATTAAGGAATTTGGAAATGTCATTCCCGAGTCAGTGCGACTCTCTGTCGACAGTAGTATGATATTTATTACTGGTGGATATAGAGGATCGGTAGAAATTGACTCTGGTTGCACCGCCACCTCATCCTCACTTGTGAACACAATCGTATTCCAATTGTCCTCGTATGAACTCTTTTGTTTATGGATGGCAACAAGTGAAGGAATGTCCAAAGGTTTTTCTGTGCTTCCAGATGCAGTCGATAACGTTGTCATTTCAGGTATTTTCAGAAGTGCCGTTCGATTTGAAGATAAGCAAATTTTGAACACTGATCCAAACGTATTGTCATATTACATTTTGAAATTTAGTCCTATGGATTTAGCTGGCAATAGAAGAGTTCTTTGGATTCAATCCATCACCACAAACTCGAGCTCTGACGACAACATGAAAACGTCAGACGAGTTTTTTACTTCAGAGTTTAGTAGTGTTCTAAAATTTGATCCAAATCGAAATATTTTGTTCTCAGGAGAGTTTGGCTCATTCGTTTCATTCCAAAACACAACAGTGACCAGTCAATACGATCGAAACTTTTTCTTGACAAAAACTGATTCTAACGGATTTCTTCAGAGCATGATCACTTTTCAAAATGTTTACAACACTTCCTTCGATGTGGATTCTAGTGGATACACTTATGTGACAGGTGTTATTAAGGTATGTGTTTCTAGTAACTGTGTGTAAACAATAGTTTCAACAATAATTTGTGTCCACCATTTACATACATGTTTGATATGGTCAATATTGTTTACAGCCCGGAGGATCCAATATTGGTGACCCTAATGAAAAACAGCCACGATTCTTTGCATCAAAGTACTGCGTTAGAAACCATGAACGATGGTACAAGGAACGCCTTTTGGATAGTCGCGAAGTGTATGGTTCTATTTACTCTGCTTACAGTGAAAAAGACAGGTTATTTGTTGTTTCATTTGTGAACAAGACGCTTCTTTCACTTCCAACCATTTATACCATCATGTTCAAAGATGAAGAGTGTCTTCAATGTCCCATTGGAACATTCAGTCCTGACAAAGCAGCAACATCCAATGATACATGCACACCTTGCGAACCAGGTTATTACAGCAACACGGAAGGAGCTCAATACTGCACAGCATGTCCTCCCTCCACGTACAATCCTTCTAAAGGATCGACTTCCAACAACTCTTGCGTGTATTGTGATTTTGGATATTTTAACAATCAAGAAGGTCAATCCTCTTGCTTTAAGTGTGATGTTGGAACCTATTCGCCAATAAGAGGAGCATTGGAATGCTTGAGCTGTGAACCTGGAACCTATGCTCCAACGGATGGACTTTCTAACTGCTTACCTTGTCCTCCAGGCCAATATTCAGACAAATCTGGAGCGTGGGCATGTGAAACATGTCCAGCTGGACATTATCAGCCTCTTTATGGTCAAAATAGTTCTCAGAGTTGTTTACAGTGTCCACCAGGTTCTTTCTCTTTATCTGTTGGTAATGGTAACTGTACCTTGTGTCCTGCTGGAACTTTCAACTCCAATCCTGGAAGTATTTCTGCATTGGACTGTTTCAAGTGCCCAAGTGGACAATATTCAAGCACAGAAGGATCTTCTCATTGCACAGAATGTGATGTAGGAACCTATAACGAAAACATTGGTTCCTCAAATGCCAGTAGTTGTCTCCCTTGTCAACCTGGAACATTCAGTAACAGAAAAGGACAAGCATCTTGCACCAAATGTGCTGCTGGAACGTACCTTTCAAAAGCTGGGTCCTTCAGTGAGAGTGACTGTCTTTTATGTCCTATTGGCTTCTATTCGAATATGAGTGGCTCATCATTTTGTTTTTCGTGTCCACCTGGCTCCACAACATCCTCTGCTGGCTCTCTAAATTCAACAGCATGCATTCCATGTGAAAAAGGATTTTTCCTCAATAAGGATCATCAGTGTACCACATGCCCATTTTCTACATATTCTGATGTAGAGGGTGCTTTGCAATGCTCTATTTGTCCTCTAAGCTTACCTACTTTCACAGAAAAAAACACATCTATGGCTGCATGTATGGTTGTTCCAATCATTATCATTGTCGCAATAGTGGTCATTATTGCTATTGCTATTCCACTTTCGATATTCGGTTTCATATTCCGTCGTCAGGCAGTGGCTTTGAAAAGAAAGAAGAGAGCAGAAGATGAAATGCTCTCTAAACTATTGGAACATAATACCAAATCATTTTATGCATCGACAGACACGAGTGCCACTCATCACCAAACGGCGAATCTCATACCCATTGAAGATTTAGAATTTAAGGAAAGAGTTTCTGAAGGAGCAGGAGGCGTTATTTTCCGAGCAGCTTGGAAAGGAACTGAAGTCGCTGTCAAACGAATCAAATCAAATCAATTTGGTAGTGATGACGATGAAACATTTGAGCATGAAGCTACTATTTTAATTGGATTGAGACATCCAAATGTTGTTTTGATGATGGGTGTCAGTGTTGATGAAGACAACAAGTATATTATTACTGAATTCGTAAAGGGTGGAAGTTTAGACAAGTTAATTTATAACAAAAAGAAGGCTAAGAATGAAATTATTACCTTTGGAAGAAAATTGGAGATTCTTAAAGATATTTGCAGAGCTTTAATTTATTTACATAACACAAGACCACCAATCATTCATCGTGACTTGGTAAGTTTTTTTCCAATTCAGTAGTTCGCTGTTCTTAATATCACTTTTTCAGAAACCACAAAATGTCTTGCTTGATGAAGCTGGACTTGCAAAGGTCTGTGATTTTGGTGTCTCGAAACCATTATCATCTCTCACCATGACTGGTGTTTGTTATGGTACCATTCAATATACATCACCAGAGATTTTGAAACAGTCAAGAAGATATACCACCAAGTGTGACGTTTACAGTTTTGCCATTCTCATGTATGAACTTTTCTTTATGGTTCATCCATATAGCGATCTACCAAAATGTCCAATTTCTAATCATAACACAAAGAAGAGTACTTCGTTTTTGACATCATCCCACAACAATAGTGACTCTTCTTCACCGCATCTTTCAGATTCATATTCTGGATCGGGTAATTCAGGTGACACCACGAACAACATCAGTGACATGCTCAGTATTTTTGCCATTGGTAATGATGTGATTCATGGCAAGAGACCAATGATTCCATGGGAGAATAATATTTCGTCACAACCACAACCTATTCGTCCAATTCTCCAAATTCAATCATCTCCTACAAATCTTGATTCCGCCATTCTCGATATCAATTCTCCAACAACGATTGATGATGATGTTTTGAAGCTTGAATGGTATTTACATTGCAATAAGACTGTGAAGAACTCTGAAATTACGAAACCTGAGTCATTAGTCCCTATCATTGATACTTACATTTCAATCATGAAAGCATGTTGGTCAAATGATGAAAATGAACGCCCTGATTTTTCGCAAGTGTTAGAGTCTCTCGAAGAACTACACCACGAATGGACAGAGTTAATGAACATTCAATGATTGTAGTACCCTTAATAAACAAAATCATGCAACAACAATGTTCAAGATTGGTATTTTCCAATCGCAACTAATTCTTTCCTCAATTCATGACTCCAAAATGATGATCCTAAATAATTCTCTATTCATCAAACACAATTTCATGAGAATTGTCTCTATATCACAATAAAACATAATCTCTCTATACATATGTCATGGGGTAATTTACTGAAAGACATTTCTTTGTGCAAATTTGAAAACGAAAGAGTTTGAAGATGAACACAAGTTGACTACATCAAGCAGTCAATATTATTTACAGAACAACTTTCAATTTTACAATGTCATCACAATGAACTTTCATTACCAGCAACAACCACCCCCATAGGAGTCAGTAGAACTCGGCTCTGTATTGGAGATGTTGACATTGTCAGAGGATTGTGGCTTGTTGCGAACCGGTTCAGTACTTTCCAGTAAGTTGCTCGTGTTAAGAATTTGATAAACAACTTCCTCAAAGGCCTTATCGACATTCTCTTTAGTTTTTGCAGATGTTTCAATGTAGACCATGTTGTTTGATTTTGCAAAGTTATGAGCCTGTTCTGCGGTGACCTTTCTGTCATCCTTTCAATGGAAATTCATAAATATTATTTCAAAAAAGCATTGTAAAGTTTTGCTGAAGTGATGGTGAAATGTTACCAACCTTAAGATCTATCTTATTTCCAATTAATAATTTTACCTATTTGTTGTAAAATTGTACACTCATTAATGCAAAATAACCTAATTAGTACAGAATTCTTACATACACAATCTTCAAATGTTGAATAGAGATCACATTCTTTCAGCCAATTTCTCAAATTTTCAAATGTCTCGAATCTGGTGACATCATAAACGAGAATAATTCCATGAGAATTTCCTGTGTTGTAAAATATTTGATTTTTCAATGTATTCATTGATAATCTTTTATCATGAAACCTACTGTAATAACTGGATGTTAGTGTTCCTACATATTGTATAAATTCAAAGAATATTCTATCCAATACTCGTTTGGACACTTACTAAATCGTTCTTGACCTGCTGTATCAAAAATCTTGTTAAAAACAAATTATTGAAATGTATGAATCGTCGCCATATATACGTACTGTCAGCTTGACTTTTTTCTTATTGACTGTCAAGAATTTTACCTTGCTGATGTGAGAGTGACCAATATATTTCAATTATCAATTTCTGATAATATTATTTTTATCGATTCATAAAACTTACAAGTCAACTCCAATTGTAGGGGAAATTTGTTCTTTGAATTCATCCTCAGTAAACTGCGTAATAATACTACTCTGATTTTTTCAAAATTAAATAATAATATCAAATAAAATATTGTATTCATTCAGCCATGACTCTCGGAATAGAGAGGACTCACCTTTCCGGTGGCGCTATCACCAACCATCTATTTTCCATTCGTACCGTCAGGTCAATGATGATATCGGGTGAAATCATCAAAAAATGTTATCAAAGATGATCAATAGCCATCCGTGCATCATCGTGAATATTCGGCCGAAGAACGTTTTAAACGAATAAATAATAACGTCATCATCACGTACAACAAGCTTAAAATTGTGATCAAAGGCTTTGCTACTCATTTTTTATGAATTTAAAATTGAAAACACTGCTTTGAAATTTGTTGGAGAGAAAATTCGTTTCCAAAACCAAAAAAATATTTGATCACAACAGCGCAACAAGGCTCAAGGCTACTATTACTTGTTGGCATCTTCATTATCGTTGTCCAAAGAAATGGCTCCTGCACAACAATCATCATCCACATCTAACAATAATACGGGTAAAGGATCTACCTCATTCCGTGCCTTTTCTCTCTTTAAAAACTTTGCCGAATATTTCATTGATGTGCCAAAGGAATCTCACTTTTATGAGAGAGGTGTTTTGACTCCAGAGGAGTTTGAAAAGGCAGGTGATTTGCTTGTTTCCAAATGTCCAACGTGGTCCTGGAGTGCAGGTGAACCTTCCAAGCGAAAGGATTTCCTTCCTGCAGAGAAACAATTTCTCATCACGAGAAACGTTCCTTGTTTGAGACGTTGCAGCGAGTTGATCGAGATGGCAAAGGACGAGGAACCTGTTGAAGACGGGGAATGGATTGCTACTCATGTGAATCAAACAAAGGAGAAGGAAGAAATTGGAGAAATTGAGAGCGGATCAGCATTGGCTCAGAATGATCTCGTGGTTCACACTGCCGATGATGAAGAAGATGATGACGAAGAAGCCATTGATATTAATAATTATTCTGATTCGGAACTTGAGGATACCATCAAAGATAAAGGAGCTCTCGAAGCCAACAGCGGAGATGATATTCTCAAGACGAGAACTTATGATTTGAGCATTACCTATGACAAATATTATCAAACACCACGAGTTTGGCTTTTTGGATATGATGAACGTGGTGCCAAATTGGAGACTGAGAAAATTCTCGAAGATATTCATGCGGATTATGGAAATAAGACAGTGACCATTGAACAACATCCACATTTGAACACTCAGTGGGCCAGTATTCACCCATGCAGACATGCCGAGGTCATGAAAAAGATGGTTGATCGTTTGTCAGGAGGTGGCGATGGTGACAAGCAATTTGTGAGAGTTGATTTGTATCTTTTCTTATTCTTGAAATTTATTTCTTCTGTAATACCAACCATTGAGTATGATTTTACTACTCAAGTAGATTAATTTTGAGATTGTTAATGAAAAATAATTTTTAAGTTGTTGACATTGTTTTTGTAAATCGTTCATGTTAAAGATTAAGGTTGTTCCAATTTGAAACTTCCACCAAGAACAAGAAAAACAACATTGCTCAGTTGTGAAAAAGGGCCGAAATCTATTTTCAAAAACAGACACTTTGAATGGGTCTCGAACGATTATTCAAACGATCAGGGACACACGAAAAGCTAGATCACATTCAAAGTGTTTAAAAAGCAGTATATTTATTGGAAAGCAAGAAAATTGGAATGTCTTCTTAAATCTGGGGAAAGGCACTCAGAAGATTACATCCTAAAACAAATTGTACATGGAAAGATTTTGCATCTGGTCAAACAGGATTTAATTCCGTACATCATGATCTAATATAGAGCTTTTAAGGTATTTGATCATGCTTATTCCACAGACCTATTCCTTTTATTAATCATTTGGATAGTTTAGGGTGTACTAACTCTACTCTTATGAACGATATTTGCAAACTCATATACAACTCAAACATCGTGTGTGATTTGAAAAAACCAAGTAAATTCTATTGGGCTTGAATCCAAACAGAGTCACAAAAGATTCGAATGGCACTATGCGCTGCGACTGAACGATATAATAGTCGAGATGCATTGAAATTGCTTGTCGTATTATATTATCAATTTCCATTCTCAACAAGTAAGAACACAAACAATAATGAAAAGGAGAACTTGCATGAGCTAGTGTTCAAATCAATGCTTACCGTTTACAAATATGAATCACACATTGAAGAAATCTCTTCAAACATGGAAGCACGACAACTCAAACCCATCAATTGAATGGACGAATTCATGAATAGAAACAAGTTGGGTTGTCAACCTCCTCCTGGTCCTCCTCTGCTCGAAATCGTTCAACCAAAAATCTCACACCCTCCAACGAAGCACACAAGATCACGAGAGAAGAGTAGCAGGAAAATGTTGAATTTAAGAAAAAATATGAGCACAGAAGCCATCGAGCCGTCCTCTCTCTCCTCCGATGATTTGGGTAGTGCTCACACGAGACGACCTCGCAAGTTATTGAAGAGAACACCCTCTTCCCATCACAACAACGATGATGGTAGTAACGGTCATGCGTACGACCGTCGTAATGATGGAGATGATACGATGCAACAAGACGAAAATATTTCTTCATCAAACCGAACAAACACAAGAAAACGAAATTTTGGAAAACGAATAAACGGAAGACGAAAAGAAGAGGTTTCTGATGATAGTGAGGATGAAAGAGATGTTAAAAAATATCAAAAACAACAAGATGAGAACGGTGATGAGGATATTGAAAATTCGGACCAGTTGAGTGCCTATCTCAAAGGTTCTGCTCAAATTATTGAACAAAGAATTCCATTTGTAAAGGCTCAGTTGCCTGATAAGTATGAAAATCTATTTTCCAATATGAAACCCATCAATGGCACATCCACGAATGTGTTTGTGTTTGATTCAGCTCCTCAAAGGACTCCCAATGGTACGACATTGTCCACCTCTGCAAACAATTCCATTTCCTCTACGACATCATCATCGTTGACGACACAAGACAATGGCATTGAGCATAACAAGGAATTAGAGACACCATCGACATTTCTATTTCCGAGAGAAAAGATCATATCTCTTAACACATGGACCGAGATTAAAAAGATTGGACCTGGTTTGCAAAATCTAGGAAATACATGCTTTATGAATGCAGCATTGCAATGTATCATGTATACACCAGGTATGCGCAACTTTTTACTCACAAGAAAGATGGGAGAACCTTCCAAAAAGTTCAATGCACTAGATGCCATGTCAGCACTTGCCCGAGAAATGTTTAACGAAAAGTCCGAGTCGTCATCATCATCTCGAACAAGAGCCTTCTCATCCGTAGCACCTACTTTTATTGCAAAACATTTAAAAGGCATTGGCGGTTTTGTGTTGGGTAGACAAGAGGATTCTCATGAATTCATTATCAAATTACTTGACAAGATGGAGAATGCAATCGTGGAAAAATACAAAGGAAAACTTAATAATATGGTTCTAGAGACGAATCCAATTCATCAAATTTTTGGTGGCTACCTTAGAAGCCAAATCAAAACTCAAGAGACAAATTACATTTCAAACAAGTACGACGCATTTATTGATGTTGAGTTGCAATTGAACAATTGTAGCTCAATTGAAAAATCCCTTCAAAATTACATTACACCTGACCGATTAGATGGAAAAAACAAGTACAAATGCCCTAAAACAAACACCTATGTCACAGCCTCCAAAAAACTTACCATTCATGAAGCTCCAATTAATTTAATTCTTCAACTTAAACGATTTAACATTTTTGGAAAGAAAGTCAGCAAAAAGATATCCTACGAAGAAACTTTAGATCTCTCCCCTTACATGAGCAACAAAAATTCTGTGGCAAGATATCACCTTTATGGCGTTTTGGTGCATTCTGGCGGCTCCTCATGCTCCGGTCATTACTACGCCTATGTTAAGAATAGCAATGGTATATGGTACAAAATGGACGACTCATCAGTCACACAAGTGAGCCAAAGCACCGCACTTTCTCAGCAGGCCTATATATTATTCTACTCGAGAAACATGGAAGATTTTAATCACCTAGAATCATCCACAATTTTTCAAGAGTCTATCCGACGATACATAGAAATTCAACAACAAAACAAGAATGGAATCTCTGCCTCCTCCTCTTTAACCCAATCTAAAGATGTTGAAGACTCATTTGAGTTGCAAACTCCTCCACCCATGCTTACACCCTCCAAACCTATTCCTACGGCAACAACAACGCCTCAAAATAATGGCTCACCATCCACCGAAGCCAATGATCAAAACTCTGCCACTCCCACCCAAAAGTCTCGATCTAGAAAAACATCCAATCTTGCAATTCAAACCAATGGAACTTGCTCACAAACTGCTGACTCATCCACTACTCCTAATTCTTCAGGAACAGTCGACACACCTCAAAAATCTTCCAAAAAACCAACGAACCTTACCATTCCATCCTCTCACCTTACAGCACCTGAGCTTCCATCTCCATTTTATGCCCCAGTTAAGATTGACATATTGGAAAATTTGACGCCACAAAAACTACAAGTCTTAAAATCTCAAAGACCTTCAAATTCTGTTGGCATTCTCAACCTACGAAGTGTTGGAGGTTTATTTAGCCCAATCTCTCTCACTCATTCATCCAACATCAATACTATGTGGATCAATAAGAATTATCTCGATACTCTCAAGAAAGACATGTTCAAAAAAGAACGATTGTTTCGTACTGACACACCTTCCACGCCTCTCAAGGTTATAAATCCCAACGAAGGAATGCCACAGAATCCATTCCCTCTTGACAATTTTGTGTCTGACTCCCCTCTCTTCTCTCCAACCTCACAAATTACACCATTTGTGTTTGAAAAGAAAGGTATCAAGAGAAAGACTATGGAGGAAGGTGATAACGAAGAAGAAGAGTCCCAACACCACGAACTTGAAAACGAAACAACACAAAATTCCCAAGCTAACTCATTAGGCACTAAAATTTCTGCAAAAGAACTATTCACCTCTCCTTCTGCTCAATATTCTGAAGAGGTCGATATTTGGGAGAATGATGACGCGAGAGAAAATGCAAAACAGCAACGATTCATCAACGAGAAAGTTCTTGCTCCAAAAATATTCAAAAGAGATGAATACGATCGAGCTTTGGATGCAGGTAAAAAGAAAAAGATTAGAAAGAAAGAGAGCTCTGAAGATTGGATGCAAATCAATGAAGCTATTCAGAGAACAGCTGAAAGAAAGCACAAACAACGAAAGTAAACTGTTTTTTATTTATTCTAATATTTTCTTTACTTTTTCAACAGGTTTTCTGGAAACAAGACAATCAACCCCAAAGACGCACTTGGTGAACTTGATCAAAAATTCATTCCAAAAAAATAACAACAACATGGATCTATTTGGTGAAATTCCAGAAGCCTATGATGCTCTTGGAAATGTTTCTACTCCATCAAACACCCAACCTGTACAAGATCACACCCCGATCACACCCCAAACACCTTCTGTAAACTTTACAGAGCTCATTGGTCTCGAAGATACCCATACCGAAATTCAAAATGCCGAAGCTGCCCAACAAAAGTTAGCTTCTCTCTACAATCAGGAAGAGTTCTCGGATATTGTTTTCATGATCAGAAAGAGAAAGTTTTATGCCATTAAAGCCTTGGTGGTTGGATGGAGTCCCGTGTTCAAGGTAAGTTGATGATCAATAATGATTTCCATTGAGTGAGGACCAACATTACGTTCCAGTCCATGTTATATGGTGATTTTATGGAGGCAGATCTCAAAGAAGTACCTCTCGATGATGTCGATCCAGTTGCATTTGAAATGTTTTTGCGTGTGATTTACTCTGGAAAATCAGGATTGTATCCTGTTCATAACTTTGTAGATCTTTACGCATTTGCGAATAGATTCGAAATTCCAGAGATTGAAAAGTTATGTTTAGATGCATTGCATGAATCGAGTTTATCAGAACATGTTTTCTCGCTCATCGATGCGTGTGAAAAGTATTCGGATTTGGAAGAAATTGAACAAATCAGAAGAAATGTTGTTGCCAAAATATGTGGTGAATTTGATGATGTTGTGCAAAGACCAGATTTTGTCAACATGACACCAGATTATCTTCTTCGTTTTTTGAAATCTGATTTAATTGTTATACCAGAGGATGTTCTCTTCAAAGCTCTCATGAAGTGGATCGATCACAATAAGGAAGAACGCGCAAAGTATATTGATGAATTTTTAAGCTTCATTCGTTTCCCATTAATGGACCCTCAAACGCTTACTGAAGTGGAATATCATCCACTCTTGGTAGACAAACAGAAATCACTTCAACCAACCATTTTTGAGGCCATGAAATACCAACTTTATCCTGAATCAATTCCTGAAGATAGAAGAAAGAATGTATCCTTTTTGCAGAGAGAACTTCCAGAGGACGACTCTTCGTCAACACCCAAATTTTACAAGAAAATGTTCACACTTACTTCTCTTGGATGCACCGGATCAACAGTTCCCACTACAATGGAAGGTCATTATCCAAAGGAAATTTGTAAATTCCTTACTTTGAAGAATGGCTTTCAAAATTGGAAAGTTCATGCGACAGGTAAGATTTTTGTTGTGAATATGTATTGACATTATTCAAATAATATCAAACAACAGGCAAGTATAAGATTGTAGCAGTAGGAGCAAGCGGTACGTTTCAATAATTCTTTGTGCACTTTAAACTGATTTATGTGCATTCAATATGACGCCTCAATTATTAGGTGGAGACAATCCATTTAGTGCCACAACTAAAGGTAAGAGTTGTGATTCATCTTGATTGTAATTATTGACTCGTCATCTTTTAAACAGCTGGCAAAGGAGCTATGGTTGCAGGAGTGTTTAAATTGAAAAAGGGTCAGAATATAAGCATCATTGTTGGACAAAGAGGAGAAGATGCTAAAGGAGGTACAGGAGGAGGAGCAGCAGGAGGTGAGTATATCTAGATTGTATTAGTTTTAAAATATGAGATATAATTACAATTTTAACAATCAATGTAAAGGTGGAGGGGGAACCTTTGTTGTTGACGCAGATCTTCAACAACCACTGCTCATTGCTGCAGGTGGAAATGGTGCAAACTGGTATAGTTTCACAGTGAATGGGTAAGTGTGAAATAATAGCGTCATTTCATCTCTTATTGTGACCAACAACGAATTTTTGCTGAACACTATTGTGTGAACATATTTTATAGACCTGATGGCCAACTTCCCAATCCATCCATAACTGAAAGCCTCAAAAACACCCCAGCAACTGCTGACAGAGGTGGTGGAGGAGGTGGATTTTACGTCTCTGGAGCCAACGGATCCTCTTGCACGTAAGTATATTGCATCATTTTGAATCTAATAATCTATTATTTTGACATGCATTCAGAGGAGGAAAATCATACTTTGAAGGTTTGTTGGCAGGCAGAGAAACCAGTGTTAGCTACGGTGGTAATGGCGGCTTTGGTGGAGGTGGAGGTGCTGAACATGAAGGTGGCGGTATGTTTATTTTGTTTTTTAAAACGTAATAGTGACATTCGATCTAACATTTTATAAGGTGGTGGAGGTTATATTGGTGGCAAGTCCTTACATTCAAATGAATATTCCGTTGCAAGACCAGACTATGGCGCCTATTCTTTCAATTCTGGTGATAAACAAGAAGGACAAGCAGGTTACAACACAGGCAATGGCTATGTAACAATTAGCAGAGTCTTTTATTAGTTTGCATGTACAGACGTTTCGCAAATAAATACTGCTTTCCATTCCTTAAAAACTTCAAAAGATCAAGCCTCACCGTTCTTGCAGGTATCATTTCCTCCGTTCTCGTATTTCTCGTCTTACTCGCAAAAGAATCATTTTGGGGTCAGTTACCACTTGGGCCGAGGCGACCACTACCACCAGCTTTTCATCGGCAGTCCATGAAGCAGTGTTAGGTCTCACGATTGGAGGTGGAGTGGTAATGGCATTTGGTTTGTGTGTAGTGTGTGGTGGATGCTTTGGATGTTATTTTGGATGGCTTCAATTATGTCGAGGAGGAAGTTGTTGTTGTGGAGAGGATTGTTGGGCATGTGTTGGGGATGGATGTGAACGTTTACCTGAGACACTCTTGGAAACGATTGGGCATGTGTTGTGAACGGAGGTATGAATTGGGTAAAGGTTCTTCGAGAGTGTCTTCTGTTGGAAATGTTTGAAAGCCATTGCATTCATTCATTGATCGGCTTGGATCTCTTGAGCATTCAGAGTTTATTCTCCGCTTTCCAAATGTACTTTTTTCAATCGATTTTGTTGACATTTACTTTTAGATTCAATGTATGAAGTTTTGGTGATATTGACCTACCTTATTGGCCGCCCGTTTTCCACGAAAGCAGTGCAGATGGTGTTACTTTGAATCGCGTTTCTAAAAACAGGCTCAAAAAAATTGAACCACCAACGATTAATTCAACCATCATCAACACGTGGAATTCCGATCAGAGAGATTAATCGCTCCAAAGCAAAATCATCATCATCACGTATTATTCTAAATTGTCTTTACATCTTCAAGATATCGTTGTTAAGAGTGTAACTGCTTCTTACTCTACGTCATCATCATCATCAAATTAATCATCCACAAAAAGATCGAAAATGGAGAATGATAAATTTGTTTGTTTGGTTGAACCTTCAAAACTTGAGTTTAGTATAATATCTTCATCAGCTAATAGTAATGAAATGTCGGGACAAGTGTTGTTGAATTCGGTTACTTCTTCTGCTTCCGATATGGGAGCTTATGAAGGATTTTCGCCCGAGTCGGTTATGTCCCACACTCTCACTCTGTTTAATCCATACAGTTATAGTATTAATTTTGTGATTGCGTGCAATAATCCTGGACACTACTCATTGAAAACAAGCAAGGGTACCATAGAATCAAAGTGCGAAACGAAAATGTAAGAAAAATTTGTTTCATTGCGTTTTGATAGCTAATCCTGTTCTGATGACGATCGTTTGTTATGATTTCTTTAAAAACACATTCATGTCCTTCACAACAAATATTTGAAACATCAATGAATTCTTGAAATAATTACCTCTTTGTGTACATCATCTTTAACGACAATAGCAAGTTAAGGATTAAACCTGACTTTCTCAATGAACTGGTCAAAAAGGTGAGAGATATTAATGTTGAGGAGGTTGAACAATATGAAGATATCTTTCAAGTGAAATACATTAGAAGTTTAGATAAGAAAGAGGCCATGAGAGCGATTAAATCGACCATCAAGGTTGTGTTCAAACCATGGGTAATAACAACATCGCCTCCATCTCCTCCTTCGAATACTGAATTGCACATCCAACCTCCAAGTGATTACAATCAAAAGAATCCAATCATTGAAATAACAGAGTCTTCTGAAATTGAGAATTCAAAAAGTAATTTTACCAAACCTGTAATTGTAGAAAATCACTTTGAAACGTCGTTACTGAATGCTGTGAATACCAAACAAATTAATCATTTTCAACCATCCAGAATTCAAGACAGTACAAATCCACAACCTGAACAATCTTCGTCATCAACTCAACCATCCACTATTTCTACACCACCAATACCATCCGTAAATCAATCTTCAGATAATAAGCAACAATTAACGATCGAGGAGAATATGGAATCAGGTAGCTCAATTGCTGAATCAGAAGATTTTCTCCAATTAGGAAAAAACAAAAAAAAGCATTCGCCAGATTTGTATTTAGATATACCTTCAAACGAAATGGAAAAAGGCAAAATGCCAAAATCTATCCTCAAAAAGAAGTCCACAGAAACATTAAGAGAAAAGACTAGTGGTGAGGCAGAGAGTTTTTCAGAACGAGTATTACAGCTATTCCCTGTGATTGGAGGCCTGATCATTCTAGTAGTGTTCGCTAAATTCAATCGGGTCGATCATGACACAGTAGTGAACATGGTCGCTTCGTATCTGGTCGGTCTTGGGGCCATGTACATTCAAATGAGATTTAATGAACAATAGTTTGTCACTGATAATGTTGACAAAACGATTATCAATACAGAACCAGTGTGAGTCTGATAACCATGATCTTTATAAAAATGATTGGTTACAAAATTTTACGCAAAGATTCTATATATTCTTTTCGAAAGTTTCGTAGTACAGTAATTGATTATGTCACATTTACAGTTACATTATGAAACAAGAAAGTCCACAATAATAACTGATCAATTTTATGGAAGTTTAGCATGAGCAAAAAATTGAAATAATTTTGAATTTGTGATCAGTTGTCAAAGTAATCGACCTTCCGAATTCTTTTCAAATAATTTGCAATCTGATGTCAAACGAGATTAGAGTTTTATTGTGAGAAATAACTCTTTTGCTGCACTTCCCATCTTCGATTCTGGAAAATGTTATTTAATAGCATCAGTTGGAGTAACCTTAACCCCAACAGAAGAATTAAAACGGGGCCTTCGTTTTTCGCAATGACGAAGACACTTGAGGTTTGTTTCCACAAATTATTTCAATATTTTTACACCTAAAACAACCACCGAAAACCACATCAATTAGGCCATCTTGTTGCCAAATTATTTACAACCTCGATATAAGAAAATCTCAACATCGCAACATTTACCAATATTGACTTTTAAAATTAGTAAAGGTTACAAAACCTAGGTGGCACCAGCCAAATTCTTCTTTATTACAGAGACCATCCGTTTAGATCGCCAATTCTAATTCTACCATGGCCCTCATAGTGGCAGAAAAACTCAGACCAATTTTTTGTTCTTGAGAGAAAGTGAATTCATTTTAGCTTTTCTTTCTTTCTTGATTTCATTTCTGCTACATAAAAAGGCAGCGTTTTTGTAATGTTTGTTGCGTTTTTGTAGTGTGAGAGAAATGTGAGGGTGTATAATGATTGAGAGTGAGTGTTTAAAAATCTCCATGAACGCAGAATAATTCAATGACCACCATTGGTATGATTTTGGTAAGTTTTTTCTTCCTAATGCAATAATGCTGGATATTTTGGCACCATTAAGAGTTTCTAGTGTCACTGAGTTATATTTGTCAAAATAAAACAACTCATGAAGAGTGGATTTATATCCATCGTCTAAATGTAAATCATTTCCAATCAAACACTAAATACTAAATTTCAACATCAAAAGAGAAGTCTTATTGGATTCAGAGGGTCTTTTAAGTGCTAATAAACAATCCACATGAGCATCGTTACTGGGTCTGAATAAAATATTCACAACTCTTTCAGTATGATTCATTTCATTAAAGAAATACAATTCTTCCCCTGAAATATCCCATCCCTTTTCTTTGCAATAGTGTTTGTATTCATTTGATGTCAATATTCTTTCGCATTTAAAAATCACATTTTCAATGTTTTCTTTTGTTTTCAAGTTAGATAGTAATGTTTTCAATTTCATTCCGTTACGATTTAACATCATCAGTGAAATAGCATATTCCATTCTATTTGGTGAATCTGTTTTGATTGCAACAGGTTTTACCATGTCAAATAGAGAAGGTTTTAAGTTAGACAATTCTAAAAAAGTTTCGGCAAACTCAAAGCCTAAATGATCCATTGCTTTAAATTCTGTCACAGAATTGCCGAATATAGGGCATGCAA